CCCCCCCCCCCGAACTTCCCTTCGCTCAGGGGATGATCGTCCGTTAGGCGGGAAATTTGAATGTCCACGGATGCAAGATAATAATATATTTTGTTCTTTCTTTTGTCTCTCGCAGAACAGGGTGTATCCGGTGCGGAGACTCCAGAGCAGAGTGACCACTCCATTCCCAGGGTATAAATCCTCAGGGAGGCCGGATCACGTACCTCGTGGAGCAGGAGGGCTCCTCAGGATGCTGAGCGTCCCGGCGAGCATCCACGGGCCCCGAGTCTGCGTGCGAATTGCCCGGAGGATAGCCAGCTGAGAATGTCGGAGCAAAACGGGCCCACGGAGGGCCCGGGCCCGGGCTGGTGGCCTCCGGCACAGTCCTGGAAGTCATCTTCGTTGGGCGCACGCACCGAGGCTGGGAAGAACGTTTCCGTCACTACGATTAACGTACCGCCGGCCCATGAGATGCATGACGGTAATATTTAGAGCCGTGCTCGAGTAGGGTTTCTTGTTATCAGCTACCCGCTATCGCTGCCACTAGCACTAAAGCTAATACCAATCTCGTATCACCAAGGGATTGTAGTATGTAGCCATTTGCGTCTTTGAGTACTTTGCGCTACTCTGAGAACGCGGCGTGAGCTTTCTATGACGATACGGGAGTAAATAATATTATTGCACGTGGCGCCTGGATGTCGCTGGCTTGTTTGCTCTTTCAGGCACGTTTCCATTGTATATGGGGTAGTATTCATGATTATGGTGAACCCCCGTGCATAGCCATGCTACCTGTAAATATGTAGCAAACAGGTATATGGGTGTAATATGGTGCGTGACGTTGATTAAATGAGTGGAATGTTTCTCCGTAGCCCGCTCATAGTGCATGGTTGTGCGTATAGATGTGAATTGGTAGTTGAATTTTTTGTCGATGAAGACGGAAGTGACGTTGGTAACTCGAGGGACGTTTTGTTTGACAGGTAAGAGCGTCTGCAAGTATCTGGGTGGACAGAATGGCGTGACGGTTTCAGTGGTGTCCAGCTGCGGATCAGCTTCCGCTTCTGGGTCCAGTAATGTCGTCGGTACCGGAAACGCTGGCGAGTCCGGTTCCGTGGACGACGTTGAAGACAGTGACGGTGAGGTGAGCAAGATCGACTTCCGGGGTGTTAATCTGCGCACGAAGAAGAAACGGGATGCTTCCGGCGGACAAGAAAGTGAGAACAGTGCAATTGGCACTGACAATATTCAGCAGCAACCCGAAAGGCCAATGTCTTGGGAGGGTGAACTCTCGGACCAAGAAATGTCTTCCAATACTATCACGAACCAGGTGCGTAAAGAGGGGCCATCCTCGATGAGGTCGTGCGAAAGAGCAAGTTTAAGTTGTTGCTGTTACGTTATATTTGACTTTTAGGACCACGAAGAAACGTTTATGGAGGGTGTACAAGTGTGCAGTGCGAGTCCTGGACCACAGGAACAAAAGTTTCCAATAAAACCGGAGCCGGACTTTAGGTCAAGTCCAGGACTCGCTTTGGGCTCCCATAATGAGACGGCCTTGCCGCTTAATCATGCTCAGCAACTGCAGCAGCAGCAACAGCAACAACAGCAACAGCAGCAGCAACAACGTGGTCTGGACGGTCTTGAACAGACACAGCAGAGCGACCTACCCTTGCTGGTTGGCAAACTCCTAGGGGGTTATAATAGTTCAACCCCGAATCACAGTCCTGTACTAAATCCTCGGCATCATCTTACTAAGCACAGTCACACCCGGTCTCAAGTAAGGACATTGCCAAATCAGGGATTTTATGGTATGGGTGTTTAAATCCTTATAAAATCTCTTTTCATTTCTTATGTGTTACATCAGGTCCCTTCGCCGGATTCGGCGATTCACTCGGCCTATAGTGTCTTTAGCTCTCCCACGCAGAGTCCTCACGCGGCACGGCACTCTGCACTAGGTGCTGGCAGTCCTGTACCATCCTCATCGCTGTCACTTTCACGACACAGTTTCAATAATTCCACGTCTTCGTTATCCTTGTCTCTGTCGCACTCTCTATCGAGGAACAATTCGGACGCCTCCAGTAGCTGCTACAGCTACGGATCCCTTAGTCCGCCGACACACTCGCCCGTCCAGCAACCGAGGCATTCCCATCCGCAGCAGCAGCATCATCAAGTCACTCAGGGCAGTCCTTTGCATCTACCCGCAGCCACCGGTGCCACTCATCATTATTCCACCCCGGGATCGGAACTCTCGGAGGGTCTCGCAGAGGACCAAGAAGACTGTAGGATAGCGCCGGCACCCTCGGGCATCTCCACAAGGCAGCAACTTATAAATAGTCCATGTCCTATATGCGGCGACAAGATCAGCGGCTTCCATTATGGTATATTCTCCTGCGAATCCTGTAAGGGATTCTTCAAGAGGACCGTACAGAATCGTAAGAATTATGTGTGCCTACGTGGCGCGGGATGCCCCGTCACCGTCGCCACTAGGAAGAAGTGTCCAGCATGCCGATTCGACAAGTGCCTGAACATGGGAATGAAGCTGGAAGCGATAAGGGAGGATAGGACTAGAGGCGGTCGCAGTACCTATCAGTGTACCTATACTCTACCTGCTAACCTTATCGGCGGGCCTGCTGGTGGCATTTCCGGTGATAAAATCACCGGTGGTACCTGCAGTCCAGCACCGCCGGGATCGGAGCATCATCACTCAATGAGACATCATTCAAATCATTCGCACAAGCTGCAAATGGTGCCACAGCTCCTACAGGACATCATGGACGTGGAGCATCTCTGGCATTACAACGACAATGATCGTATGACTAGTGGGCAGGGTAGTGGTATCAGTGGTGGTAACGGTAGTGGTAGCGCTGGCGGTGGCGGTGGTGGTGGTAGCGGTAGCGTTAGTGGTGTCAGTGGTAGTGCTAGTGGCGGTGGAAATTCATCCGGAGGCGGAAGTTCATCCGCCGTCGGAAGTAACGGGAACATACCTGGAGGAGAATCGTCGAGACCAAGTTCCGCGGGTCCTCCATCCTCTAATCACGAACAACATTCACCACCGGCGAGTACCCCTAACTCGAATTCAACCTCCAATCCTAATGGGAATCCCACGCAGCATCCGGACTTTCTTTCAAATCTGTGTAACATCGCCGATCATAGACTCTACAAGATCGTCAAGTGGTGCAAGAGTCTACCGCTCTTCAAGAACATCTCCATAGACGATCAGATATGCCTTCTCATCAACTCCTGGTGCGAACTCCTCTTATTCTCCTGCTGCTTTCGCAGTATGAGTACGCCTGGCGAGATCAGGGTGTCCCTTGGCAAGTCGATAACTCTCGAACAGGCGAGACAGCTAGGTCTTGCGACGTGTATCGAGAGGATGCTGGCCTTCACAAATAATCTTAGACGACTCAGGGTGGATCAGTACGAGTACGTGGCGATGAAGGTGCGTTCACAATGAAATAACGTAAAATTAAGCCTAACACGAACTTTCATTATGAATCTCTGTCTCTTACTTGATACCCGTCACTTCATCTCTGTCCTTCTGTCACAGGTCATAGTTTTGCTAACCTCGGACACCAGTGAACTCAAAGAACCCGAGAAGGTAAGAGCGTCCCAGGAGAAGGCTCTTCAGGCGCTGCAGCAGTATACAATCGCAAGGTATCCCGAGATGCCGGCAAAGTTTGGAGAGCTGCTACTCAGGATCCCGGACCTGCAGAGGACCTGTCAGGCCGGGAAGGAGTTGCTCAGCGCAAAGCGTGCCGAGGGCGAAGGCAGCTCTTTCAATCTACTAATGGAACTTCTACGAGGCGATCATTGAATTCGTCATATTCGTTAACGTCGCCCCTTCAGGTTACTATAAATATATATTTAGACGTAAAAGGAATCAACGACAGACACACAAGTGTACACACACATCACCCGGGGACGAGCTTAAGGTTGCGTCCTAGCCATAGAACACTCGTTAAACTTCGACGAAGTCTTATAAACGCCCGGTCATCTCGTTCTCCCAGATTTCGCAGGCTTTTAAGTAGGGTCCATTAAAGTATCGGGAATCAGGTAGTACTAGCGGTAGTAAATAAGAGGAGCATTTACAGAAAGATATCATGAAAAGTATTGTTAAAATGGTATGTGTGTCTGTATGAAACTTACGAGAGAGAGAGAGAGAAAGAGAGAGAGAGAGTCAACGCAAAAAGCAAGATGATAGATCAGAGAATAGGAAAGTGATGGTGCGAACGAATAGTGTAAGAGAAGGATGGAGAGAGCCGCACGAGAAACGACTGTAATACGCCTAGAGTCCATAGTAACGTTAGCTCGTGGTGAGGGAACTATATTTCTAGAACTATTAGAAAATAGGCTGATAGAGAACTTATAGACACTAATATATGTGTATACAAGCATATATATATTTTCTACTGAAATGCTTCCAATACGGGGCTTGCGTTCTAGCATTCCTGCATTCCTGCCTTTTTCAAATACAGGAGTCTCGATGCGGCCTACGGTATAAGCCCCACCCACAACGTCCAGCGTTTGTCCAGGATGCGAGCGAGACTGATCTCTAGAGAATTCCGATCCAGGCCGAGGCTGAGATTGCGAGCGAAAGTATTTTCTATTTTTCTTTTCTTCTGCCGCTTCCCACCCTCCGGTCAAAAGCCCTCTTACCAATTTCTTTTGTAGTAATCGCAACCTTTATAAAAACCAGTGGGATCATTCTTTTCTTCGTCAGAGATAGTACGAATGGTTGTTCCATATCTTTATGTGAAATTAAGGAAAATGAAAAATATCTGTGAACAAGTGCGTGCGCATCTGTCTCTGTATGTGTACCAGTGAAGAGAGTTAAGGGATGTTTGAGCAAGTCGAGTGCGAGTGTGACAAAGAGAGGGCAAATCGGTACGTGTCTTTTTTTTTTATATACATGCGGCGCTGAAAGTGCAACGTCTTGCGACGACGACGTTTTATGATAAAAACACCACCAGTATTTTGTATTTTTTTTTCTTCTTTTTTTTTTCTCTTTCATTCACGTTTACTTAAAAGCAGTGTCACGGTGCGTTATACATATGTAATATGGAGCGAACGATAAGATTAACGTGCGACAGACGACGGCGAGAATCAGGAGCGACAACGGTGACGGCAAAAGCAACAAGAAAACAATGTACTTAACAAAAAAAAAAAAAAAAGAAAAGAAGAATCGAGCGGAGAATTCTTAATCCTTAAGGCTTACCCGATTATATCGCGTACACCTTTCTTGAGGTATTTTTTTAATATACACTTTACACATCATTACACAATATTAAGCCCAAAAATATATATATACACATTATATATATATTCTGTATATAATAAGCATTACGGAAAGACACGCCAGCGTCCCGCGTGTAAATACGTCCTGATCCGACGACTCGGCATTAATTAATTATACTATAAACATATATTTAAAAAAAATATATATTATATACATATATCAAGCGTCCCGTCTTTTGGGGCGTTTCCGGTCCGGAAACAAAATGAAACTAATTATCCATTCTAATTCGATAGGGGGAACGGGGTGGGTGGGTCGGGGTAGGGGTACAACAATATTTAAGGGTAGATACTTTTTGTAGCGTGCCTAGCGTGCCAAGGAGCAACTATTGTTACATAAGGTGGTCTGTGCCAGAGTGTTCCAACGTAATGAAGCAAAAATACTAAAAATAAAATGGAAACTTGCAGAAGCAAAACTAAATGTGTGAAACAGCAAAAGAGACAAGGAAACGATAAACATAGGCAATTTGTAATCCCAGTGACTAGACACGGGTAATCGACTAGGAACATATAATGTGCGGTTGGTTATGCCTGTCGAGGAAGAAATAAGAATTGTACGAATAATAATGATAATAGGATGTCGGATAAATATATTGTCTCTATTGGAAATGCGTCTTATTACAATATATATGTTTCACGCGCTCCATCTGGAAGAGGAATATCTTATTACGTGGCGCGTGGGTTGTTGGCCTTTTCTAATTACATACTGAACATACATAAATACAGGCGCAGCCTTCAATATCGATTACTGCTGCGATTAAATCAATAAATAGTAATTTGATAAATGTTAAATAGTTAAGTAACAAATCTACGTGAAATACGTATGCCGAGGTAAGACTGCTGTAGGATTGGAGAAGACGAACAAAAAGAAATAAAAGGAAATAAAAAAGAACGCCGAATGGTCTAGGTTCAGGTCGTATTTTATATATTATATAATCGATCAGTGAAAAACAACGTGACGGCGATATAATAGTATGAGGGATGAATGTAAGATTCACCCAGCACTCCTTCACGGGGTGGATGGAGCGTTGAGTTTATTACCGAACACAGGACGAATATTCATGTTACAGATTGAATATATGCTAAATGGATATACATCTCTTGGCGGTTATTCAAGAATTTTTATTTGAAACGATTTACGTACTACCAAGCAATATTTACAGAATTACGTAATAAAAGTTAAAGAGAGAGGAAATAAGAAAAAAATCACATACATTATCCTTCGTACACATGCATATGTATATGTATATATACATGTTATTTATAACTGCGCTAATTAACACTCACAATCACACAACCGATACGATTAATCAATGGATACGTTTTACCACTAAATTCAAATGACAGTTGAAATACATTGACTGTATATCTATAGTTTACTAATGTACAGATATACAAAACGTGTGCTTCATGGTTCAAATTGTCTCCGGTAGGAACGCAGTCTCTCGCGTCAGGATGTTCGACTTCTCTCGATTAATGAAATAACTGAAAGAAACGAAGAAGCTAACATTTTAACAAAAAGAAAGGAACATTTCCATGGGCACTGAAAGATGAGGATCGTTGTTTATAATTAATATACCTAAATGACAATTGTAATAGAGGGAACGGTGGTATTAGTGTGATATGAACGTGGATAGAGTAACCAGCTGGTTAAGAAGGCTGACGACGACGACGACGACGAGGATGAAAGAAAAGTAAAACAAACAAATATCCAGTATTCCCGATGATTCATAATGAATTGGTATTATCGTCGCTGAGAGGAGATATAATTGATAGTTCTCTAGGGTTGACGTGAAAGTAACAAACATTGTAAATAGAGAGAGAGAGAGAGAGAGAGAGAGAGAGAGAGAGAGAGAGAAGTTCTTGATTGTTTTTTGAACAATAGCGGCCAGGTTCGTAATTGCTGAATGACTGACAATGGATAACTGCGTGAAAGGGGAACGTGCGTCAGAGGGTGTGTCTGTCTGATATGTGACATGAGTTTATGAATATCACAAAAATTGCACGATGAAAATATTCTGTATGAGTATGAACTGCGTGCGTGAGTGTGTGAATGAGAATAACGTTCTCTCAGTTTTCCGCCTTTTCAATTCTGCTTTATAGAGAGATTAGATTGGATGATATTGTGTGACGCAAATGAGTCGTGGGGTCGGGGGAAGTTCTGAAAAAAATAAAACAACGTAATGGTAGCATACGGAGAGAACGGATAGGATGGATGCGTGAGAGTGGTAGGTATTAATGATTACGAAAAAAAAAAGTAAAAAAAGAAAGATATTTGCCTGTTGAAAAAAAAGTGTCTATTCTATGTTTATATTTGATAACAGTTATTTCTATATCTTTGAATATAATACTTATATTGCAATTCGAGAACAGATTGTTTTTATATACAGCAAATTTAATGATAATAAAATTATTTATGAATTCTTTTTCTTAATGATAAGCGAAATGGAGGAGCGGGAGAGGAATGGAGGAGGAGAAATAGTAAAAGTAGAGAGGAGAAACAAGTATACAAAAAAAAAAACAATGGTCTAATAAATAAATAATGATAATGATTATTAAAGGTGGCAATAAAAATACATGCAGTTTAAACGGGACGATTCCATCGAGCCGAGGATGCTAGAATTAATTAAGATGTATCGTTAATCGAACGCGATTGTCCCTTATCGGTATAAGTAATGTAAAAGGTCTCCTTCGCTTGCGTTAATTTCTTTTTTATACTTTTTTTTTTCAACCGATCCCATTCATGATATAGTTATCAGCACGTATAAATATTGTCGTGCGCGTTCTGTGCGTTTTACATACAATAGTATATGTATGGATACACGTTCTTTTTTTTTTTTAATAACCCTTTTTCTATTTCACTCTGACAAAGTTCTTTTGTCTACGATTGACAATATTTAGGCAACTGTGTAATAAAGCGAGCCGTGGCGGGGATGGAGGAGGTAATTAAAAGAATTATTCGATATTCGAAGAAGAGCTTAAATACGACAGACTGTACCGACAATTATATATTATACACAAACTATAAATATAATAATAATAATAACAGCAACAATAATAATATTAATAATAATAGGCATTAAGGAAGCATACGAGTAAGTGGTAGAACCCGATGTAATAATAAATAAACAGACGATATCCTAGTATAATTAATTATAGATACTCACGTATAGTATTCTTAATCGATATTACGTTGAAATGAGTATATATATATATACACACACACACGTGTATCTTATATAGGTCAAAAAAAGATGAAAAATTATACAAGAAATTTTTGTAGGATTTGACGTGTTATGTCGTCAGCGGTTATATATATATTATACCACTAACGATTTACCAAGAATTGCGTAACACGTGAGTTACGGGGATAGAACGAGGAAGACGCGGAAATTTTACAAACTCGCGGTTCTACATGACTCTTTAATTTCTGTTTTTAAAACTTGGGTACAAGACTATTCGATGCGAATACAGGTAGAGCGTAGTTTTATACATACGGTACGATTAATTATTATTGCAAAATAAAACACTTTTTATGAAGATACTCTTGTCAATCCTCGATTGCCTCATAACGATAAGCGATCTCACAAAATTGTTGTTCATTGAAAGGAGAATGAAGGATACGAATGAAAAATACTTTTCATTTAAATTGGCATTTTCAAGTATATTGAATTTTGGACGGACTACATCACTTTGATGCTATCTCCAGCATCTCGTTTATGTCTACTATTTTTTCACGTGGTTTACCCAGTTTTCGACCACGTTCTTCCTCCACTTTATTTATCTTCTCCCAGTCTTGGTAGAATACTGTGGTAATATTCTTCTTCTTTAGAATCTCTGAGAGCCCCTCATATCCTGGTTTGATTATGTCTCTGTTGATCTCTTTGCAAACCATGCTACCTACTTGAAAGGCATTGGTCATTGTTGATAAAATTACACCGACTGGTCCAGTAGCGACCCAGCCCGCGGCGTACAAGTATCTTTCTACTTTGCCGGAAGTATTTAGAACATGACCTTTACGCATATCGAACGGCACTTTATTGTCAATTGGAACGGATCTATAGCCAATACTCCGCAGTGCGATTCCACAGGGAATTTCTTCAAATTGTCCAGTCGCTTTGGCAATTTGTGCTGATGAAATTTCACCTTCCAGGACGTTTACGGAAAATTTAATTTCCTCTACAGAGTCAGAACCTTTCATCTCTATGGGACTTCGTAGAAATATTGGATGTAGATTTTTACTGCAACTTCGTTTGTCCTGGATAGATTCGTCCAGTGACTTCAGCATCAGTTCCATTAAGCGCTTTTTGGGACGCTTTAATTGCTCTACTATTTCTCTGACATTTGAAAAGTCGTCGGGACGCCAGTGCGTCTTACAGTTTTCTAGTTTTATTAATTCACGTAATTCTGCTATCGTAAACGCTGCCTGTAAAGGACCACGTCTGCCCACTAGAGATACTTTTTTTATTTTGCTACGTGATAGCTGCTCCAGGGCATATTCCGTTATGTCGGTACTCTGTAATATAATAGAATTATTGTATTTTATAAAATCAAAGAGATGTATGATGTTGATTCATCTTAAGAACCTTTAGCTTGTCTATGGGCGTTAGAAGAATCCTGGCTATGTCCATAGCAACATTACCCTGTCCAAGAACAATAGCTTCCTCCACGTCCAGATTCACTTGCAGATTCTTGTCTGCTGGGACGCCATTGTACCAACCCACGAATCGGCGTCCCGATATAACATTATTCAAATTCTCACCGGGAATTCCTAGTACCCTATCTTCCTCCGCACCGTAGGTCTGAATTGTAAAAATATCGTTACTTCCGGTACCAGGATTCTTGTCTGGCATTAACTCGTGGACGTTACCAGAATTACTGCATGATAATTCTCCTTGAGTTGTTCCACAGTGACGTCACTACCGACATTAACGTTTCCCAGGAATTGGAAACGCGGGTTCTGAGCTGTCTTGTTGAAGGTGTTTATCACATTCTTAACCTCAGGATGATCCGGAGCTACACCAAAGCGTACCAAACCAAATGGTACTGGTAGTCGTTCCAAAATGTCAACCCTTGTATCTGGCAAGGTCTGATAATTGAAATAAGTTTTTTGAATTTTGGATTTCAACTGAAAGTGAAAAATTGTTACGCACCTTCAGTACTTGCTGCGCTGCGTAAAAACCTGCTGGTCCACCACCAACAATACAAACACTGGGACCAGAGCTTTTATTGCAAAAATGACGTATAGTATCGTGTACATTGCGACACTTCATTACACTGAAATTATTAATTGATTTTAAAAAATGCATTCTTTTCGTTAATACATATTTTTAAATAAGGATAAAACACTGCCGAGGCTTACACCGACATTGCGCAGATACTCAGAATATTTTCCAATGGAACTAAACTCCATCTGTACTCTAAGTCAACTGGTGAATCGGATCCAGACATTTATATGGACTTATACGGTAATTCGGTCAATGCTCAATGCATTAACCATTTCGACCTTATCTTGATGATTCTGTCGAGTTTTCATGATAGTAGATTTCTATTATTTTATAAAGAACAAAATAATTTTTATCATTTGGCTCATGTGATATTGTTTTATGTAGAACACGTGGGATCTTTACAATATTATTAAAATAAAGTTATTAAATAATGTCATTTTACAATATGTTCATTCATTTTGCATAAAGTTTTTTACGTTGTATATCTGTATCTCTTCTGTTTCAATTATCCATATTGTCTTTGACCATTTCAGCAACGTAGTCAATGCAATACTTGACAAGCCAATGATTAATTTGCATAAGGTAGGGATACAGAGCCGCCCCTGGAATACAAAATTTCTATATATTTCTCATCTCGTATCTTGACTTTGTAGCCTATCGTCTACACTGTTGCTTACCGCATAATTCTGTTACAGGCAGCACAGACAAGACAGTGTTGCCATTATCTTTGGCAGTCTCTGTGGCTAGGCTAATCTCTTTCAATTTTTCCAGGACATTGTCCATGGCCAAGTTAGATTTTAATATAATCACACATCCCAATTTAGGATCAATCATGAACTCTAGGTATTCAAAATTATGGGATATTACGTAGAGAAGGCCCACATAAAACTGCGTTAATAAACAGTAGCCTATTAACACTAGACTTTCTCCCTTTGGCAATTTTAACACTTTCTCTCGTATTTTTGCAACTAAATCGTTTATACCATTTTCGGTATTCGTATATTGGAAATGCAAAATATTTTTACTGTATTCGTTATTTGGTTTTTCACAAAATTCTTGCACACTCTTCTCAGTCGGAAGACGCAACTGCAACTGCAAAGTTTCAGCAATCTCGAATGTTGCATTAAGCACTTTCAGTATCTCGCCAGCACAGTATTTTGAGCTCTGTATTTTACGAAATGGTTTTCCCATGCGAATAGATAATACACCGAGTGTCTCAGGTCGCTGTAATTGTAAAATGAAAAATCTTGTTCATGGTGTATGACAGATAAAAAATAAACACATTTTTATTGCTCACTTGAATCCAGCGTGACGATATTGGCACTTCTGTGAAGTGCAGATCCTCTGCAAACGCCATTAATCTACTTTTTGGCTCTAAATCTTTTCTCTTTAGACGTTCGTTGTAAGAAAAGTATTGTTTCTTTGCGTCGAAGTTCATACAGTTAGTACGCGCCAATTTGGTCTTTCCAACTATTTCCTCTTCCTCTGAATCCAGTTTTCTTAGGTTATATTCTTGAAGAAAATGTAATGCCACAGCACGCCTTATATGTCTTAATGTGAAGTCTGGTTTAGTGTCATTGACACTGGAATTAAATGAGCTTATATTATTGGAAATGACTTTGCACTGATGATCCATGAAAAATTTACCACACTCAAATATTTGTTTTATAATAGTGTCTGGGATGTCATTTCTTCTGAACATAGCCATGTCTGATTTAAATGTATAATGCTTTCGAAGAATGTTTAGGTAGGGTGCGGCATACTCTGGTCCCTTGAAACCCAGACATATCATATACACTTCGGAATTGCCTTCTTTGCTTGTAACTGGTTTATTTATGAATACTCTATCAAATAGACAGCAGAGCAGATAGGTCAGACAGACTGAGGTGTGTTCAAATATTGTGAATATTTTTAAGAGAAAGCTACCACCTTTCTGGAGAATGTGAATGGCTGCGACGGTTTCGCAATAGTGAAGATGTGACACTACTGTTTCTTGTTCTCCAGGTGTGTCCAGACAGTCTATACTACCGTCGGCTGTCACCAGCATTATTTTATCTTTACTCTTTGTCATTTCTACTAGATTATCCAAATTATTGATGTCCATTAAGTTACCCGTGTTATCTGCTCCAAAGCACCAGTGGTCCAAAGTGTGGAGAATGAATCGATCATCAGTAATCATACGAGATAGAGGATTCCCTTCATAGTAAGGATTCAATGTTGTGGCTATCCAGTCCCATTCCACTGCAGGTTGGTTACTCTTTAACCAATGATTTAATGATGTCACAAAGGCACCTGGCGCTTCGCACAAATGCACAGATGTGAATTTTCTATCTGCTATTGCCTGCTCTGGTACCAAAGGAAAGGATGAGACGTTCTCATAGAATTTACACCAAGCTTGAGTCAAAAACTCAGGATCAATATGCATACGTAGTTTCCAATGGACATCTCCAGCTTGATTTCTCTGGCCAGTGTGCCGATGCCATTCCAATAGATTGTAATCATTCAATCGACTTTTTGTTTCATTCAATTCTTCTTTTAATTGTTGTAATGCCTCAGTTTTCCAAGGTTTTTCCATAAACATGTATTCCGGTTTAGGTATTGTAAACTGGCCATTGTTGACAATTGAGAATCGCTTATTAAACAATTCAGAAATTACTTTCTCCACCTGGACATCAAGTTCTCTCGGTCGTTTCAAAAATCTTGTACAATGGGATGTGCCAAAATCTTTTGGTAGTTGTGACCTCAGCATTGTAGACAGATTTCGTTTTGTCTTTACAGTGTCTTTTCCTGTTCCCATTATACAAATGTATTTTTGTATAGATAATAAAGGATAAAGTGATTGTTGCTCAATCTGTCATTCATCTTGGTATTGTTGAAGAAAATTTCTTCACTAAAATCTAACATAGTTTGTAACTTAAAATTACGATAGAATTTATATAAATGATTTTAATATAAGTTACTGTTGTAAAAGACAATTTAAAAGATGTTTTTATAATTATCATTATCAAAATACAAACTACTAAAAGTCTCAGAATAATGTCTCTAATTAGTGTTGCCTCGGCTCAGTGTAGAAAAAAAGATATATAACCTTACCCTTTTAGGTAATGATGACATCCAGTTAAGTTGTATTTCATTTTAAAGTATCTATATTATAGAAATTACTGTATTATAACGTAGTGATTCATCATAACCTCAACATTTCGTTTAATCGTGCGGGAATGAGTGTATAGAGTCTGTTCCAAAATGTATTGATAGTAATGCCAGTACTGTAACCAACGCTGTTCCTTATTCATCCATACGCATCTAAGAGGAATGTAATATTAATTTTACAGTACTTTTAAGTAAAATTCGGAACACACTCAATGTGAATCGCAATAAAAGATGACACCTGTTACCTGCTGCGCAACCATGGTATAAAAGCAAAGGTACGTTATTTTCAAACACGAGTTTTAAATTCATCTGCGCATACTGAGTTTGCCGCCATTTTTTAACATGGCCATGTCCAGTGCAGTAACCGGTACATACTAGTATGTAATACCTTCATATTTATACCAACCTATGCAACTGTCATCACGTGAGACAACCAGTAATAGTGAGAAGTTCCGTTTGAAACGTAGAGTATTCGATCACGTTAAAGACATAAAATAACTGAAGCGCTAGTCAAATTGCAATACCTGCGCTGAAATCGACCATATTAAGTTATAACTTTAAATGCCCTCGATTACCTTTAAACAGTATAACACCGCAAGATTCCAGTAAAATAAATTGATTCCAATGAAGTGATAGCTGTAAGATAATAATCAATGACTTCAAATGCTGCGTATTATCCAATTATGATACTTACCTTAAAACGGTAAATGCATCAATGGAATCCAGGTTACTTGGATTACGGAGCAAGGTAAGTATAAACAAGGAAAGGAATGGCCATATCAGTAATCAAACGTACATATACCTAATACAATTTATTTACACGGTAAACCTAGGTATGATAGTCCGATACAAAAAAATGAAAAAAAAAAAAAATACGAGATAAATGCAAATATGACAAGGAAAAGGGGACTGGATCGTTAATTGGTATGGTTGGACTCTAGGCAGTCGTTGTCCTATAGGAGTGGCTATTGCATGATCACAGTGCATGACCGTGGATTACAATGATGAATATACTGTCAGAACGTGCATTCTCCTTCATGTCTTCATTGTGTACAGTGCCAAACGACCTCCGATCCGTTACCTTTATTGTACTGCATTAAACTTACATTTCTGCTATTTTAGCTCTTTTTCTCTAGGCTTTCAGCGGCACGTGATTACTTCTTGTATCCCAGCTTACGAAGAGCCTTCAGATCCACGTCGCCATAGTAGTCCTCGCTAGGAAATTTATTTTCTCTTTACTCATTCGGATTGGCTAGTTGCAACGCTATACTTATATAAGTATGAAATAGGAACTATCATATGTAACGTAATGATAGGATATATATAGAAGTTCACCCTCTCATACCGTTATTTACTTTTTCCCCCCACTATTCAAATTCCGTGGGCATCTTGAACAGTCAATCTATGTAATCGATCAATCATTGGTTCAATCATTTAGTATGGTCGCCCTTGCACTTTGATGTTTGATACAATGCAAAACCTATTCCGTTATGCTCTGATTCACAGGTGTCATGCAGATTTATATTGTAACTATACTCCCGGTTGCTAAGAAGGAAATGGCCGAGAGAGCAAATGACCGTAATGCTTCCTGGTTGCATTTTTCTCGATAATAACGTTTATGGAATTTTTGAGTCGCATGAGCCCTTGCTATTTGAATTGTCTGTGTTATATTGTTTTTCTACTATTTATTCGTATTCTATTATACCCATTATTGGCTCTTTCTTATTTCATTCGTTTTAGAAAACACAGTTCGGTTAAAGAATTATTAGAGTCACAGAGTCACAGTGCATGCAACATAGGTAAGAAACATATAAATATATTAATTGTTGAGCAGGCTTGGATAATGGGGTTGATATACACTTTATGAGAATTTTAAGATCGCGTGATGTATATGATAGTATAAAGAGCGCATAAGACAAAAGTCACCTTAGACGATGTGAATTTTTAAGATTTTTTTATTTTGTGTCTTTTACTTTTTTGGTTTATTTAAAAATAAGTGAGCGGGGTTCGGGTGGTATAGAGATACTTTTTGGAAGTCCTTAAGAAAGAGAGAGAGAGAGAGAGAGAGAGAGAGAGAGAGAGAGAGAGAGAGAAAGATAGCTAGGGGGCAATATAGGAAAAGGAGCTGGGAGAGTTTAAGGGATAACGAAGTTTCCCGAGTCAAGAGTAGAAAAATTGTCTAGGGAATTTTTTTTAATTTCTAATTTTTCTAGTATTTATCAATTGTGGGAAACAAGACCGTGAATACGACTGTATTCTATTTTTTTTTTTTCCATTACGACACGTAACTTAGATTTTTCACTTATTTTTTGGTATCGCGCCGCGAACTTTAATCCTTCGGATGTTTCTTAAGGTGTTTTCCTTTTTTTTACGTAGCAAGATGTAGTCTCGACTTAACGCGATTGCTTGGTCATTGTATAAGGGCGTCGGGGGCCGTGGTTCGGTGTTTCCAGGATCTTGGGATACCGGATAGAAAAATAGGAAATGAAAAAAGTTAGTCCTGAACAGGTGCGGAGGGCCTCGCGGGTACAGATGCGGCAGGTCTGGGCTTGCTCGGGGGCTTAGGCGCGTTCCTAGACTCGCCTGAGCTTTGGATTCCAGCCAGAAGTTCGCTCTTCCTGATGCTCTTCAAGTCCAGGTCACCATAGTAATCCTCACTGTAAAGCAGAACCGAATCCAGGGGTGAGGGCATGCCGTGCGTACGTGCATACCAGGGTGAGCCCTTTATTCTGTATTTACATTAAATGCGTGCATGCGTGCTTGTACGGAACGTGCAAGATTATAGGGCGGACGTGGACAGAGTGTCAACGCCTGCGTAAGTAAAACTTCAAATTAGAGTTAGTATACACGTAGCATATAAGTAGAGACAGAACTCTACATAGAAAAAGAATAGCGCGTCATTAATTGAATTTTGAATCCAATAGAGTGCGATGTGTTAAAGTACTTTTTGAAAATGTGTATAGAAAAGCTCAGGGCTCAGCAAAAAGTTCGCATTGGCTCGTCCACCGGACGACTTCCGCTTTCCATATTTTGGGCCAATCTGTAAAGAGAGTTCAACGACCTGTATAAATAATAAACACTCACCATCCGGGAACATCTTCAGGATCCTCGCAGGCGCCGCTACCATCTGCATCACCAATTTTGAAAACGGTACCAATGGGGCAACCATATTCCCTGGCGGTGCCCTCGAGGCAGATATAATATTTCCTGCAGTCATCAGGATGTGCATGCCTGGAAAAGCTACCGGATGCGCCGCTCACTTCTCCAGCAGCCGGGCAAGCGAAGCCTCCAGCGACCTCTGCGAAAGGACCATAATAATCAGCAACCCGTAAGTCAAATTAAACTTAAAAGAATAATCTTCATGTAATATTTTAAAAAATTACCGTCGTTCCTGCACTCAGGAACCTGGTCAGCCCACATGCAGACTCTAGCTTCTCTGTCGTAAGCAAGTCCAGGACTACACTGATAACGAGAGGCTTCGCCGTTCCAGCAATTCCAGAAGACGTCGCATTTCTTCTCATCGGCAAAGATACCATAGAGACGTGTACAATGGGGTGTGCTAACGGCGGGCTCGAGCTGCGTCCTCTCGCCGCATTCAACGTTGTGAAGGTAGTCGCAGTTCTCAGTAAGGAACTTGCTGTCGGAGGCGTCAAATGCCAAACCGTTTCCACAGGTCTTAAGTTCAGCGACGTTATTGTCACATTTCCAATATTTGTCACAGGAGATGTGGTGGGGGTAGAAACCGAAGTCGTCCGGACACTTGAAGCTCTCCTGCGCATGCGCTCCTGTAAATAGGGAATCGCATAGGTTAATACCAACATACCGCATTCTGAACAGATGACCACGTTATCTATATATTATATAGTATGAAGAAACAAATGTCGAAATCTCGAAAGGAGACAAAAAGTCTAAAGAAATATATCTCTATATAATAGAATGGCATCAAGAGACAGGAGAAAATCGAAAAGAGAAACGTGGCGCTATAGCTATTAATTCCACAAGAGGAAATTGCGCATTTGTTGAAATTGCATTTTCATCTAATCGTTATGCCACTGCTAGAATCAAGCGTCTTGAATCTCGCGACGTGCTTCTTAATGACTGCAATCGTCTAATAACCACAGCGGCATATGATTTCTGAATAGCTAAATGTCTTATGTAAGGGTACAAAGACTTTCGCCAGACACTTTCACTCTGGGCCCAGCGCCAAGTCGGAGTCATACCCCTTCTCCTCGTTGCCCCTCCTAATAACCCCGACAAGTCCCAGCATCCCGTTCACTCGACTCATGCGCTCTAAACAGCCGGTTTCATATATATATATACATATATAAGGTATAGAGAAGCGAAAGATATATGCCCAGGTTATATCAATCTACAGGAGCCAGTCGATATTTACTTTCATTTTTGTCAGGCCCCAACTTAGGGTTAGGGACCGAAAACTAGGTCTCAGAGACCCTGTTGATCTCGTTTATTCTTCGGCCGTGGTAAAGTCGATGGTATACGTGCCGGATGAAAATCGAGCGGCATACGTAAGAGACTTATGATGCTCTAAGTACATGTATCCTTCGGTATATATATGTATGTAGATCACAATCTTGAAACCTCGCCCCAAGGAAGAAAGTATATGAATTGTGCCAAGGTTACTTTTATTTCCCGGAATGACGCTCGAACCAATTAAAAAAAAATGGTCTTATCGGATGGCTGAAACTCTCAGGCTTATGTGCGTGCATGGAGTCTGGAGCGTTCTAGATTTTTTGATTAGATCGGGGGGTAACGATATCTCGTCCTTTCTAACAAACGTAATAACTAATAATAACTATCATACCTCGCCACGCATTAGAAATACGCTAATTGCACGATTAGTTAGGCATATTAATTGATGATTGAAGTTGTTGGATGAAAAGTCGATTTCGATGCACTGTATTCATTTTGAAATAGAGGCGGGAGAAGGTGCACGCAGAAAAGAAAATTTGATATGAGTGAAATTAGACAACACTCCAATTTGTATTTAGAGGATAACACGCTTGTCACACACAATTCCACTGTGCCCCACTGCTCTGAAATTTGATAATTTCTCGAAAAAGTATTTCATCCTTATAGTTCCGCGTCAGTCTATCTTGTTTTAAAAATATTTTTTCTGTTTACTTTTTTAGTAAGGCTTTTTTCTATGTGTGGGGGGGGGCGGGGCGGGTGGAGGGGATGTCAGAATCTTCTGCGATTTTAATTTTGTTACGTACCGGCGAGGAGGATGGCGGCTATCACGAAGTACGTCCTCATGGTATAGTCTTGGTACGGAACTGATATGTATAAGTATATATTATATGGCGCAAACGTGATTGAGATAACAACTTTAAATAAAAAAAAATATACTTGACGGACACTATCCCCTTGCAAGGAGGACTCTCTGTGTTGGCGCCCTGCGGGTCTCCACCTTTATATAAGTCATTGGTCACGTGTCCTCCCCCTCCCGCAGCCTTCTCAAGAAGAGGTACAACCTCTCTATGTCTCACGGAATTGTTGGAAGAGGGGCCCTCCTGAAAATGCCACCGAAAACCCCACCGAATACCTAATCTATCCTATCATCCTAACCTAGACGGGGCCCTCTTAACAGGCCACTTTTGATGTGGCTCATTTTTATTTGTCCCGGGTCCGGTTCCAGTTCGTGGAACAAGTTTAGAAGCCGCAGTGGTTTTGCACGTCCGATCAGTAACTTCCAAATACTTGCACAGTGCACCTTGAATTTGTCCTTGCAACTATGTTTCTTGGCACTGTCAATTGATCTCAAAAAACTAATAAAAGTTGATACTCCGATTATTTCAACTTCATTAGAATAGATTGCATCTCCTGCTAAGTGCGCATCGCTTCTGGTGAAACCGCATAAGCCACAGAGTATCTAAATAGAAAAATAATGATCATTCACCGGTATCGTGACTGAAGATGATAACAATTTTTTTGTCAGATTCTGGATAGTAAGTCGTATAACTATACCTGTATTGTATGTTCCTGTATGACTTGACGTAAAACAGGTCCAACAAAAGTTGAAGAGACGAAGGCCATCCCGTTTGACTACCGACTACTGAGTCATTGTCAGGCTGGTTCCTCTCCCTTGTCCCCATATTTACGCATTAATAATCAAGCCACAGAAGTTGTATAAAGAGTGTACCTGATTGGCCATGACTACTCGTAATGATTGCTCCAGTAAATCGGCACATATCTATTGAATATTCATAGTGCCGCCTCTTATACGCTACGCTCTACTACGAGGACTTTCTTGTATCCTCGTCGTATCTCATTCTTTCTCAGTAACAAGAACATGCCCACGCGAAGGCCAAAATTTCATCGGCATTGCCCAGGGAAACACGTGCTGGCACATTACAGTAACTATATGTTCTTATTGTGCTGAGAAACGTGTAGGTCGTCGTCGTGTGTGTCTTATACGAGAGACTGTTACATACGACATCCAGTTCTCAATACAGAACCTCAAGCCTCGTCTCGAAGGACGCCGAGCGTCGAGAACACTTTCGGCATCAACGAAACTTTCTCGTCCATGCATAATTCCTGTTTATTTAATAATATGGACGGCCGAGCCTAGACAAATGCTTTCCGACACTTTGAATGAAGCCATTGTAGATCATCAAGGCGCATGCGCACTAGTCACTGTGAATTTAAATAAAAACATTCGCAGTTTAAATCGACAAATTTTACAAATTTAATCGTATACATAATTATGTATACCTAATATCTATGTCTTTTCATGATTAACCATCAAATTCAATTCGATCCAGTCAGTGATATATGTATGCAAGATGCATGTTGCATTTCAGGCAGCTCAGGTGGCAAGACGGAAGTGCATGATTGGTACTCCTGGAATCGAACGCTCTTCCGTATAACGGTAAAGTTGTACCTATGGCGGACAAGGCGGGTCTGTCCCATTCGAATCGTACGTGTCATATTTTCTGTTCATATGAATAATTATATATATATGAATACACAAGAACAATACCATAGAAATATGAAGATTCTATGTACATATAAAATCGATTGCACACATTGACAATGTCTCATTGGCGGGTTATTGCCGCTTATTACACGTAACCTGATCGCTGAGGTAACATCTTCCCACTGCGTTGCGTAATAAGGCCACTAGATGGCAGAGAGGCGCATCTTGCTGTTGCAGATCTCCGTGTATAGAAATAACTCCTGGGGCTACGGCATGTATAAGTTCTCAACACACGGAACATTTCGTATATTTATACAGTTTATCTGTAAGGATCGCGCAAGTGAAAGTGAAGAGGAGCTCCAGGTACACTTGGACAGCATCCGAGAAATCCTCTTCACGGTATGAGATCTACATCGCCGAGAATAAGGTTGTTGACACTTGGGTAAGTCTCCTTCGCGGGCTCGAGCCCGTTTACTGTCTACGTGTACATGCATCCTGGCATGCCAATGAGTGCTCAAGTAGTTATATGGAGTTAATACGTAATGGAATAGGGTTTATAGCAATCAGAACTATACACACCATTGCCATAACCTCTACTTTCCTTGTGCTGTCATATATTGTATGAGGTTATCACGTATTTTCTCAATGCTTATATGGTTGGTATGACTGTGATGTGACTGGGTATATGTATAGCAATACAGTTTCGGTAGACTCTCCTGAGACTACGTAGCCTCGACCTTTACTTAATGCTCTTAACGTTCATCGCAGCTCTGTAATCTCTTTTCTCCTGTAGAAAGTGCCCATGGAGACTTCACTGCCCATGTACTACATAAGTATTTACGGAGTTGCACGAGGATCGAATAATACAACGGAGTTTCACGATCTAAGGCGAGTGGCTATATCTTCCATAACCTTTTTCCCGCCATGCGTGCAATTCTCTTTACTTTTTCTTTTATACCGCGTGCGCTTCTCTCACTTTTGTCACTCGCAATGGGAATTATAATTGTTATACCTAGTTCACGCATTTGAGATAAATCTGTACATGACTAAGGACATATTCGGTAATGAACCACGGTTACGGTTATTAAATTTCAGTCAATTGCATCGATTGATTTCGACTGGTGAAAAAAAGTCAGTCGATGTCATTGGCTGAAATTTAATAACCGCAACCGTGATTCAATTACGGAATATACACTAATTTTACTTTTTTCTTTCATACAGTGCGTAGCTACTCTTATCGATACCAGATTGTTGTTGTTGCATATGGCTACTCTGTTGAAAAGGCCAGGAAAAGAGGTGTAGCAGGCAGGTAACGAGGCGTAAAGAAATTCCTAGATCCTAGAAACGGCGCTGTTCCGTTCTGAATGTGACTACGGCCGACCGGGTTGCAAATGAGACCCTGCAGCTGCGATGACTGATCTCCTTCTACAATTATATATTCACGTTGGATACGTACCTTGGGATTCCGGTAGGACTAACGGTTTATCAACAACGATTAAGACTCATCGTACGACTGCCCATAGATATATATATATATATATATTCAACCAATGGAAATTGTTACGTGCATTCATGAGTATTCATATGTTCTTGCGTAGACGTCCGTCGGGACGATGCGATTTGATTCACTTGTATTTTTTTTTCATACGTGAGAAGTAACTATATTAGTTGGACATCAAAATATCTTCACTTTTAAAATTTCAATTTATTACTTTACTATTACTTGATATGTTCTCAAATTCTTTCTGTCTTTTTTTTTCATTCTGCACCTCACTGTTTGTCTCTCCCAATGAAAGAGGAGATGGATGAACCGGAATGCGGCATCGTCGTCCAAGGAGAACTACTCTGCGCTGCACCCTAGATTCGCATTCACATCTGTATGGACGTATACGTATATTACTATTTGCCATACAATTTTAAAGCACAGGTTTATCTTTAGACGGGACTATTGGCAGCTCTTCCGCGAGAAAAGGTCGCCGATTCTGTATTAATAATAATTAGTAATGATTTATCTTGTAGAGATGATAACTCCTAATGGACTCTGAGGAACTGAGTGAACGTAATTATGAGGATTTACTCTAGTCGAGTAAAGGGAGGATATCGGATGATATTATAAGGACCATTCGAAGGAGCTGCCTAACAGGGAGGAGCCATCTGTGTCACGGCCAGTATCTTAATGAGTGACCGAGCTACTGTAATTCAGTGTGAATGGTATTATTCTATCTGTATTAATAATATGTATATACACGCATGCTCGAAAGACCGCGCCCTGACTCGCGCCTTTTTGCTTGAAGCCATACGAAAATACGAAGAAAGCAACCGGGGCGACGGGTGAAAGTCATCCAAAATGTCACTGAGTTTAACCTTAACGTTGCGGAGTACGAGCGAGGAGCGCGAGTTATGCGGCAACCTATAACGGAGAAGGGTGGAGAAGGAGAAACCTCTTGCATAAGCTACCCTCTAGGCTCTTCGTTATCGTCATACGTACGCCCGGTGGCTTAATGTCGAAGTTAAATTCATAAGAAAGGCTGCGTCTATGTGCACACAGTCAATTTTGACAGGATTCGGACACTGTTGTAACAGTTACTAATAACAGAAGGGGAAATACGTACATTGTAGATATCTAAGCATATGTATCATAATGTAACAGAAATATGAAAGGCAGGGGTGAAAATTAGCGAGACAGCAAGAAAACATATTGCAAGAGGTAAAAGATTTTTCTAGATTTCATATAGATAAGATTTATATTTTTTCTGGTAGAAAGAAGAGTTTTTATGACTACTGTTAAATATGGCGGGCTGTTTAATGTCTTCTGAGAATTTTGGGAAGGGGAGATTTGCCACTGGGTGAGAACGGCGGTGGAAGCGCATTGACGCGCCTGGAGGCATCTGCGCGCCCTCGTCGCTGAGCGTCGTTGAGCGTCGGTGGCCGTCGCTATTTTTCCCAAACCGGATTTTCAGACAGTATATGTAGCAGTCGGCTATAGTTTCCTTAGACACCGGAGTTGCAAAACCTCCGGCAAGGTGACCTAGTTGTACAACGAATGAAGTAGGTTGAGTAGATCTACCATACCATTGGATTTCAATTAAGTAGTAAATTTATGAAGAGTCAGACTTCAACTCCCTATTATAAAGCATTTATACATAAAAAAGATATACGAGCATAAATGTCAGAGGATGTTGATATACTGTCTTGAAGTCTTAGAGAGAGAAAAAAAAATATAATGAAAAATAGCTGCGGCTACGAGTTCTCAGTGAAAAATGTTGGTGCTTTCCAAAACGAAGACGTTGAATATCAGTTAGATGAAAAATCGTCAGGGTTGCCGGTGAAGATTGTTTTACTAATCGTGGGCTAAAAATATCCTGAGAATCGTTAGAGTGATAAACCATATTGTTCATTGCCAAGTGAAGTCTAAAAGACATCCTATCTGTTTCTCTTTTCATCTCATGCTCATTGCTCATTATTGCCTCTATAGGTTCCATGAATGTTGGTCAACTTGCAAGCCAATGGGTCACGTACGAGAAATGCAGTTATGCGTCCCACGCAACTTTATAAGAACCCACGGAAGCCCAGCCCCTGAGGAACAATGCGTTTTGAACGCGCCGCCGATTGCTGGTTGCACATATATGTAGTTGTTCGTGGATATATGTCTATCAGGCACGCGTACAGGTGGTAAAAAATTAACAGAAACACCGTCACGCCCAAGTCACGGGCGTGACCCATGCATAAAGATGCCCGGGTCACGTAACTTTCCTTTGATATAAGGCATTAAGGCTCTTGTGTAGTACATTTAAAATTTTCAGACTTTTGCCAATCTACATTTTTGCTTATGCATTAAGCAATTAGGATTGAGACATGTGAATTTCTGTTTCCGGAGGCAGTGGCATCGTCAAAAAGAATATCTACATATACTCGCAGCGGATTCGCCGTATTCGAAAGTTTTCTGGAAAGGTCGAGGACGATCCTCTGTACGAGCGTAAATATATGTAAGTCTCGAAAGTTCCAAGCAAGCCGCCGGCTACAATAGCAACTGTCATTATTGGCAGAGTTTATGAAATTTTTAAGAAATTAAGTTTTTTTCCCCTTGTATAGTTCGGGAATGTAATTTCGTCTTCCTGGATTATTGGGAATGGCCAGCGCAGCTCGGGCGTGGTCGTCAAGAAAGCCGGGAAAGTGATATCAGAGTCTGGAACGAGTGTGTCCGTGTTCTCCTAGTCAACATGCAAGAACCCAATGGCGCACGACAACCTAGTGAGTGTCGTCACGGAATAACTGGTTCGTGTGTGCGTCGTTTCTCCTTGCACTGTAACGTCAATTCCTAGCCGATTTCCTTGCTTTGCGAGAAATTTGCACGTTGTTATCCGAAGTATGTACTGAGATATACCTAACTTAACAATAAGGAAAAGGTATATAATATCATTATTCGGAGACTCTTATTAAGTATGGACATAGCGTAGTTTCAGTCTAGAGACTCTCTCGCAAGGAGAGATGTGACCACAGCTATGTCCCAGTTACATGTGACTACTGATGCTCTTTCTACATTTACTATAGGCAGTGTATAGCTTTTGGTACGAAGCAATCGTATTCACAATTTGCGCACGCTTGAGGCTCCCTCCGTTTAACCATTCGCGGCCATTTTGAATGTTAAAGGAGCATCGGAGAAGCGCTATGTGAGGGTACATAGGTACCCTCGATTTGGTGTCTGATTTAAATATTCCGACGGCGTGTCGCCATTTTCTAAGAATCTTTGACTACATTTCATTGCCTTATGAATGGCGCGAACACCTTCTCGAAGGTGGAAACCTTTTTAGAGAGATCTTCCGTTATAGAAGTGTATGCTGGAGGTTAGTTAATGGTAGTGACAGCAGCGCACTCTGTTGGCAGAAGCGGAAGGTATTTCCTTCGCAAAATGCAATGGCAGATTCATTTACCATGAAGATCTTGCTTGATCGTTCTCGAGCACAGGTGGAAAGAATATCGCTGTGGGTAAGGTGGGATTCTCAGGTGACTGAATTCGAATGAATGGGACCGGCTTTAGATATAAAAATTCATTTATTCAAGCTTGCATTACAGAGCGGAAGTTCTAGATGGCTTCTCGGTTAGCTGAAAAAAGAAGATTCTCAATGAGTTTGGATATCCTGAGTCTCTTGCTAGTTTCATTTGAAATTGAACTTGCTGCTGACTCACCATTTAGCAATAGTAAAGTGTCTGCAGGAGTCTGATGGTTTGTCATATATTTGACCTGATGGACACTGCACCAACTGAGGACGACTGTTCCTGCAGACCACGACGCTGCTGCAAGAATCCGTCAGTCTGTGTACATTTCCATTTTCGCAGGGCGCTTTCGTCAGCTCTGCTGGAAGTGCCTGTACTAATCCCCAAGGGTGTTGTATGATGGGTGTCTGCGTCTCGTCAGCAAGAGCTCCTACTACCGAAGGCGGCTGCTGTGCCTGATTCTTAAGGTCTAATTCTATTTGAGAAGCAACAGGTCGCTGATGCCAGGGGTCTGGCTCTACCTTGGTCAACCAGGGATTGCCGGGGTAAGAGACTGGTGGAGGATATCCTGGTTGAGGAGGGTATGTTATTGGTGGTTGAGGCGTTGATGGTTGTGTTGGATAGGGATTTGGGATGTACGGTGGCTGAGGTTGAGGTGGTTGAGGTAGAGGTTGTTGAGGTTGAGGTGGTTGAGGTTGAGGTGGCTGAGGTTGAGGATATTGAGGACGCGGAGGATGAGGTGTTGGTGTTATTGGCTCGATTATTGGCGTAATTGGTGGTGGTGGCTTTGGTGTGGCAGCTCCTTGGCAGTCTACTTTGTAAGGGTAGTCGCATACGCCCAGTTCCTGAAACATTCCCATCACGAACTTCTAGTACACACAAGCTAGTAAGAAATCCCATTTATAGTGTTACGAGTAAGCAGTGCCCTTGGAAGGGTTATGACTCCTAATGTTTTTTACTACGTAGTTTCATGGATTAAAATTCAATGTTGAATCTTTCGGCAAATTCTTACATCACTGTACACGAGTCCACGGGGACAGCTGAACTTGATTGGACGACCGTGCAGGCATACATAGAATACCGAACAGTTGGTCGAACTTCTGTATCGCCCATTTAGATCTGAGCAGTATTTGGATCCGGGTGGTAAAGGCGGTTCTATACAAAAAAATTCGATTGAATGCGAAATTTGAATATCTGTTATTTTCTTGTAGTTGTACTACTTACTAGGCGTGGGACCAGGTCTGCTACCGCAATTGACGTTGTACTCAAAGTCGCAAACACCGTTGAGGTCGTTGAACAAGAGTCCACCAGGACATTGTTGTTCAATCACCACATCGTCCCAGCAGTTAAGGTAACTCGCACAACTTTTGGGACTTGGAAATTGTCCTCTGAGACCAAGACAGCCTGGCGCAGGAGTCGGCGGTAATGGAGGCAACGAAGTACTTGAAATTGGTCTAGGAATCTCTCCTACACCGGGAGAACCAGGCGAACCAGGAGATCCCGGAGAACCAGGTGATCCCGGAGAACCAGGTGATCCTGGAGAACCAGGTGATCCCGGCGAACCAGGAGATCCTGGAGAACCAGGAGATCCTGGAGAACCAGGCGATCCCGGAGAACCAGGTGAACCCGGAGAACCAGGAGAACCAGGTGATCCCGGCGAACCAGGAGAACCAGGAAATCCAGGATAAAACTGTCTGACTGAGGTCACGAACGGTTTTGAAGTAGTAGTAACATCCTTCGCAGGATCACGTTGTACATCCAACTTGTGAATATCCACCAAGTCCCACCAATGATTGGATCCCAAAACTGGGGAACAATGATAAAAATATCATTATGAAACCACTATTATAAAACACTCAAGAAACACTTACCAGAAGGTTGATGTTGAAAACCTAGTTGTCTTCCTCGTGAAGAAATCTCCTGCCCAGCCACGAGACTTAGAAGGGCAAGTATAAACAAGCCCATCATGGCCTCCTTGTCAATAAAAAATATTCTTATCAACGAACTGAACTCTCACAAAAACTAAATAAAAAATTTTCAGAGTACTCGCTGATAATCCCGTTTCGTCAAATCGAATTGCAACCAACTGGCAAGTCCTTGGTTCGTGTCCTGATGCTGTGGGCTGGACCTCGTCCGTCCCAGGGCTTACATAGGGCATCCCCCACCATCGGCTTACAGGGAACTACAGGACCCCAATTACACGCTTGCAAGGACCTCACCTCTTGCGCAGGAAGTGCAACGTCTTGCACGCAGAGGAATCCCCACCTTGTAAAAATCCAATGAAAAAGAGTAAAGAAAAAGAAAACAAGAATTATGCACAAGAGTGCACGCACTTCTTTTGGGTGCCACAGCAATGGCACATGTCTTGGTTTGTTCTGCAAAGAATGTAACTGCAATCATCCTCAAGAATCCTTGAAAAATTCCATTCGCAGTACTTACCCACGACCTACCATGCTTCCTTTCAAGGGGGCCCTTATGCATCTTGCGTCGACTGTTGGCGTCACATCATGCGTTTTATTATCCGGTTCTTCTCGCAAATCCAACGAGTTTTGGGCAATGAGGAAGAGGTTACAAGTGGACGGTATAACGTAATCTCTGAAATCGGTGCGTGCCAGGATGAGCTCCTCCTACAGTTTATCACGTGAGTCACGTTTTGAGTCTGCTCAGATAACAGCTACTAACCAAAAATGGCCGTTTACAGAAGCACGTGCAGATTTCTGTTCTCACGTATTTAAACATTTTATTAAGTCAATGAACCACAATAATATTCATTCCAGGCAGTACGTGACATTGCTCTACCTATGAGATACGTGATGCGAATCTGTTTGCATTGTATGGCATCTCCCTGTACGGAACTCGAAGGATCATCTTCCAGGAGCCTCATAAAGTAGTCGAGGATGATTGAACGATCCTGCCGGTATTACTAAGCGATTCCAGCGTCTCTCGCCAGGGGATAGATATATTTATATCTTGCACTTCTGCGAAATGGTCCCGCTCGCAAATTCACCTCTCTGTGATCCTATATACATACCTACACATAGATATAACAGCCTATGGGCCTCCCTTGTCCTTTAGCTACGTCCCTTGTTTCCTTTTTCCTTTTTTTTTTCTTTTGAATTTTTTTTATTGCACCGTTGCTCCTCCGCTGTTCACTCTCATCCTCTTCCAAGTCTGTTTACAACGACCGGCTCTAGGAGGACCAGAGGGTGGAATGCCGCGAGAAGAAGAGGAGCATCGGACCCCAAGAGAAAATAAAAGAAGGAACGAGCTCATGGATGGAATGGAAGAAAAAAGGTGAGGAGCGGAGGTTGGATGCTGGAGGAAGAGGAGGTGGACCAAGTGCACGCCCTTTCGAACAATTAATTTCGCAGGAGCGATGGTGCACAGTGTATATAAGATATGGGATAAGGAATTACTGTCATGGCCAATGTACACCTTAAATTTGGCAAGCTTACACGACATGCCACTTAGCGTAATCATCAACTTCGGTACTGGCTTGATATCTTCGTAATGGCGACTATCGCCATGTCAAATTTGGCTAAATCCATCCTTAAACGTTTTTCTCTTCTTTTTAGGCTGTCTTTCTAATTTACATTGAGTAATCTGGAACAGCATAACGGCAGGACCTCAACTGTAAACGTATGAATTTCCGCAAGTGCAAGAATACCTTAGGTGCATACAATATTAAGGAAAAAATGTCCCGTAACGTCACTTGGGCATTCGGACCACGTGTGAGCCAGTACCGTGCATTCCTCAGTAACTGGATGCACCCCCGTTTACCCTAAATTACAATCCTCAAGGGGCTATCCCTTTGGCTAGTGGGATAAGCTACATTACTTATGACACCATAGGGGCCATCTAATAAATCTGGTAAACGTATAGTATAGCTGCATATATACACTTGGTATACCCAAAGAAGAAGCGCCACTTAACGCGATCTTTTAAGATGCTCAGGTAATGTATATTCGCATAAGGAAAAATCAACCGTTTTAAGAATTCCCAGGCGGTAACATTCGTCGGTTTTCTACATACGAAGATAAATACGAATTCCCATACGTATCTTGGTCTTATATGTGCTGTATAATGTGAGCACACCTTTGCACAACTGATGCAGGACGTTACATACGGATGACCGTAGGATCCCACGTAACTCGGGGCCTCAGACCAGATACTTGGTATCCAGCCTGTGGCTCCGGCTAAACGCTCTAATGAAGCGAATACATTTCGGGGAAGGAAGAATGGCGGTACTGGACTCTGCTGTAAAAAATAATTAAAAAAGATACTAAGAGGACTCGCAGGATGATGGTGCGCAAGGGGAGTGCGGAGAATCCGTACAGCCAGAAGAAGAGGCTGAGGAGGAAAAGAAAGGAAAGAAAAGAGCAGATAAAGAAGGTGCTCGAGGAGGTGGAGGAGGAGGAGAGGAGGTGGTGCTGTGGCTCGAACGCGTCAAGGCCCAGGGGTCCTTGCTCTCCGGGTCATAGCGGCCCACAGACTCATAACATTTCACCTTACCCCGCCTGCCCGCCACTCGGCACTCGAATCTACGGTCCCACGGATTAGGAATTAGGGGATCGTTCATTAGCTGGATTACATAGGGAGCTGGATTCTATGGGGTTTTGCTTTCTTTTTTCAATCTATAATTTTACGTAATCAATAGTAGATTTGATGAATTTTAGTCATTTATTTTAACTTCTACATACTTCATGGCGTTTTCTTATTTTTTTCTAGAGGACCAAGTAATGTCTTGCGTAATCAGGCGTACCTTGTAATACGTAGCATGAGAGATTCCATGGAATACTGCAACCAGATTTACTTGACTGTATGACGGCTTGCCATTACGTACGGAGTCATGTGGCGTGATGTCGGTAAATAGAAATTTATTTACAAAGCTACAAAGTCAATTAGATAATTTTCATACTGATAATAAACGATACTCCATTGGAACGTAATTTTTGGATAAGGTAAATAAAAAGTATCAACGTATTATATTTCAATTATAATAATGGTAGATTTTCGCATTAGCATTCACGCAGACACCACACGTATTTTAGGTGACTAAAACCCACAAGAAATCAGGATCTGGTATCGCAACAGGACGACCGTCGTCAACATAAACAGTGGGAATTCTCGAGTTTTTGGAAGCGAATCGTTAATCCAAACGGAGGATTTCTTACACACGTTTTTCATGGGATGTCCAGGGTACGGTTTAAAGAATTTGTTTCCTGGAGTCGGACCGAACGTCGTGTAGATTCGTATCTTTTCTAGAGAGTCGACTCTAATTCTAGTGAACGATGGCGACGCAATTGCCAATGAAAGCTGCCATTTTCATTTCGAAATACGTATATAACACCGGCTGCGTCACTGGTGACACGTATCTATATGAAACTATGTACTACATACATCACAGTTTCTAGTCCCCCAGACGTCAACAAGTAGCTACCATGAGGTATATGACTATATGAGCTTGCCGATTTCGCATAGCGTCGACATTACGAATATTTCGCAAGCGCTTCGGGCATTGTTTCATTCTTAAATCTGATTTCCTTTCCGCGAGAATTCTCACCGCATTTAGTTCAGAGAGATAGTCTCGCCTAGGTGCCGTCACCGCTCTTGAATGCCTTCTTGAATGTATACGTAGAGTTACCTCGGTGCGCTTCTTGCACAAGGATTTAAGGAGACAGATTAAACAAGAAAGAGAGACAAGAACATGAAAATATAAAAAAGTTTATAGAAATGTCAGGAAAACGTCAAGGTTCAAGAATTTCGAGTATGTATACCCAAGGTGACGTAGCAGTGAAACAATATCCGGCATTGTCGAAATGCGCTTTTAGATTCTTAAGATCTTCGCCCCTAGGGAATTGGCCATTACATATCTATGTACAGCTTATTGAAACAGACACCGTCGTTCAGAATTTCGGGCAAATATAGAAAGGAATAGGAATTAATTTTTTTTTTCTTCATAAGAAGTCAGGGTACCGTAGTCTTAGTTAGTATTAACGATAAGAGCAAACATTAAGGCGCGTTCACATCACCACTGCGTCCATGATGAGCTGGACAGTTGTATTATTAATATACGAGTCTTAACACGGTGTCCTGGGTAATTTCTGTGCTATCCTCGTATTTCACTTTTGTTTTCACCGACTATATTAGCATGGAGATGCGCATGGCGAGACGCGCGCCAAAGAAACCGTGAAGGGCCTTGGTGGCGAACCTGACATCTTGCATATTCCGCTGGAGCGAAGAAATGTAAAAGGAATAAGAAAGGAGAGAAAAAAAGATAAGGAGGAAGAAACGTCGTAAAAATGTTCCAACGATTTTGCGCGACGAGCGGCTAACGAGGAAAAATGAAATCAGTTCAGGGATTATGAGATCCAGAAAAAGAGAAGATGCTGATAACGATGTTAAGAGAAATTGCAAGAGGTAGGATAAAAAAAGGTGACATCTTCATTCGTATATTTTCTAATAAAAAAAAGCCATAACTAATTATATACCGTTTTCAGTGGATCTGGATGGTGTTTTTCTGCTATCCTGTCAACATCCGTTAACTTCTGTAGCAAGAATAAATACTGTGCTATCATCAAAAAAGCGTATCGTCAAGCGTCTGATCAAAGAGATTGAATTAAAAAAAAAAAAAACGGAACTGTAAGAAATATTAACAAGAGCAAGCTAGTCGACGAGTTACCGATGGAAATTGGCCGATGTGGAATGAAGCGAGAAACGTAAGAGAAATAGGAAAGAAAGGAAATAAAAAAGAAACCTGAAATCTACTGACTCACGTAGTCAGTGAATGGTATTCGAGATATCAGAAACACCGAAGTCGATTTTTCTGGAGGTTCCGATGCCCCAGCGTCTCGACGACGGACGTCGGCTTCTCGATACCGCGGTTGCAGTGGAAGAAGCAGCCTGCTCGCCAAGAAGGCCTTCCTAGCTGAGAGACCGCGGCCAGAGAGTGGGGAGCTCATATAAGACCCAAGCCAAACGCCTCTCCCAGTGACCAGTCCCGACACGAAAACCCATCAGTCGAGCTTCTTCGTTCTTGACTGAGAACTTTTTGCTTTGGCACTTTAATGGTTCCATCGCCGGAGCTGGAAATTGTATAGAGAAATAACGAGACCATTCTACCAGCCCAGAACACGAGGAACCGAGTATAGCCGAAATTAATAGCAATAATGGGACCGTACCAGGTAGCCACGTCCTTCCTGGTCCTCATTGCTGTCCAAGGTGAGTCATTTCAATACCTGAATAAGATCACTCAATTCTTTCAATGAGTATTCGATCACATAACATTCGATAGCTCAAAGAACGTCCTTGCCACTAACCATGAGGTATACTATATTCGATATAACTCGTTGGTTATACCTTACTTACTTGCTAAAGACATCTTAGGGGTATCACAGGGCCCACCGCTGTGAGCGCTGCCATAATATAATCGGTTGGATGCTGCGCACGCGATATTTAAAACTTGACACTGGGTGGGTGAGAATGTCAGAAGAAAATAAAATAAAAGATAAAAAAGGGATACGTGATACAGTAAGCTGTAACGTGAACGATATATTTTGTACAGTCAATTAAAAAGTTGTTTTTAATCAACTCGCCCCACTTTCTATTTGAAGAATATATATAATTCATTGAAATAAAAAGTTTTCATTAAATTCATCGTTGATTTTGTTTCATCGTGCCACGTGCGCGCGTATATCCCGTGTTTATTAATATATAAGTATACTGAGTGCTGACCCAATTTTTCTATAAGTTCAATAGTCTAGAGTGGTACTCCTCTAAAAGTCGAGGACGGTCCCCCGTGTTTTTATTTGGGTTCGGTCGTTCTACGAGCCAAGCGCGTAAGGCCCAGCTGTACCTCCGGCTAACTGCCCAATTACACGCATCCTCGCGAAAACAATGGCGGCCATTCGCCGGGCAGGTTTCACGCATCGCGTGTAGTACTTTCTCTCGTGTCTCACCGGGTGAAAATATGAAAGTAGCTCAACGAAACAGCTTGTACTCTCTCTGGAGAGTATATCTCTGGTGTGTACGAACATTTAATTTCCAGCCTCCCGTATATCCCGGAACACTATGTTTATCGCATGAGGGGCCTTACGAGACACCGATCAGACCCCGACACTTCCTGATAATAGAGGCTCTTCCGTGCTCCTTGCAGGATAGCTAAATGACAAAGAAACCGGATTAACCGTTCCGGCGATTGGACTCGTTATATCCGGATGGTGATAAAAAGAAAGAAAAAAGATAAAATGAAAAACAAGGCCCCTCGTAACAAACGAGACGAAATTAAATGAGGGTTCGTAATATTGTTACGTGTATTGCGTTGCACGGAAGGAATCGTGATATCCCAGTTAAACGTAAATGGGCCTGTGGTCTTATACCGTACCGTAACCGGGGCCTGGTCGCCGTCCAGCCGGTCATTTCCATGGAATAGGAACGTAAACATTAGACGAAGACTAACTAATGGTACTGTACAGGGTATTTAATCTTTACGGAGTCGTAAAGGAAGGGAAAGTAACCCAGTGCCTAGCGCTAACTAAGCAGGGCCTTACATAACCGGCTGGTACTCGGAGATGTCTCCGGGCCCACCATGTAGATATACGCCTATCGTGTCGCATTAGTCCTACATAATCCGTTTAAAAGATTCCCTAGACGGAAATCCCTAGGATTACTGTCGTCTTTACATCAGGATCAATTATCTCACTACGCTCATCCTGTACGTGTTGCTTGTACGTTGTGCGTGCAGGATATGATTTTGTGAAAGGAGACCCATTAACGTAGTGATCAGACAAAATGATACAAGCATTAAATTGCTAATAGCCACTAGTATTTCTTATTCTCTTTTATAGTCTGTTCTTCTCAGAATTCACCGGTACACCAGATCGACCGGTTACCGGAAGTGCCGTCCCCGGGTTAAGGACGCGAGCCAAAAATAGAGGTGGATCCTATATGATGATTCCTACTAACTAGACGCGGAGATAAAATCTCATTTGGAAGGAGTTAAAAGAATAACCAGGGGTGCCCTGAAGGTTGCAAGTCAAGGCTAGGCACTTTCACTTGCGCTCTCTTGGGAGCGCAGTTCCACTAGACTTCCCACCTTCTTATTTCGATATTACTTACGATCAATAGATTCATCCATCCGTCTCTGTATATGCACTGTGCATGCTGGGTAAAGACTCCAGATTAATATCGTGATCGTGATCCTGGTGTTCTTGGCTTCCTGGACCTTCTATTGTTGAGCTAGCTAACACCCTGTATCCAATGTAATTGTTACTATATACATGGTGCAATTAATCTGGTAACTTTTTCCATTTCCCATCATTATTCTAAGAGACTGGAATACACTAGAAATATCACTAGATTATAAACGTTGATATTCAATTATCTGTATATTTATTGGATTATTACATATCCTGGTTTGTTGCAGGTATTCTGGCACAAAAGCAACAGCAAGAGGATCCTTGTCAGACAAAAGCAAGAGTCGTTGGGGACGTTGAGTATTGTGATCGTTATTGGGAATGTGTCAATGGTCGCCCAGAATTGTTTGACTGTCCCAATGGGTTAGTATTTGCTGGGAAGCATCGTGGCGTCACTGAGGGTTGTGATTATCCATGGAGGGCTAATTATTGTGAGGGTAAACGCCAGGCTAATCCGCCAATTGGTGCTGAGCATTGTGATTGGCTCTATGGTATATTTGGTCATGAGACTTCATGCACGAGATATTGGACTTGTTGGAATGGAACTGCTACAGAACAATTGTGCATTGGTGGACTGTTGTATAACGAACGTGCGCACTCTTGCGACTGGCCTGAGAACGTAGAGGGTTGCCAGAAGCACCGTGAGTCTCGTTAATTATTATAATTTGTATACTTTATTCGTTTAGCATTTCAAGGAACGAGAGGTTATGTTCGCCGGTAGAAAATATAATTTTGTCATATAATTTTTACTTTTTAAAATGTCAGTGGCCTCTGTCGTTTGATTCATTAATATTCATGTGCTATCGCCACACCTTCAACTCGAAGATTCTATATATCGAGTTTCGCGGAAAGTGACGGTTTCTTTCGAAACATTAGAATGTATCGCGACGTGTGACACGTACCTGTATGTATATTTTAATGTTTACCTACCGCAGACGGAACGTGGCGGATGTCTCAAAAATTTGAATAACTTTTCTCCCAGACATTTGTCGGATCTACGATCTTCTTATTTTGCATATATACAGTATGGGCATGTAATAACAAAATTTTATATCTATTTCAGCACTTTGCAATGACGATGCCAATGGGAATGTGCCCCTGGGTAAATCCTGCAACCGCTACTGGCAATGTCAGGGTGGATATCCTCGACTCCAGAGGTGTCCCGCCATGTTGGTCTTCGACAGAAGGTCATTGAGATGCGTTGTACCACCTACAGAGGATTGTGAGGTACCAACGACGCCACCTAATCTCGAGGGTGAACTTCCGGATGGAAGGAACGAACAGGAACCGGAAGAGGAGAATTTACCACCTGGTGTACCATCCCTACCAGCGGGCGCGGTACCGATCTCGTTGAGAGGACGTGCCAGAAATTAAATTGGAGTCTTCCGGTTGGCTGATAAAAAATCTCACGTGGAATTTTGATTCTGAAAATTCGACGTTCTTTCACGGCACACAAGAGGATCGGTCGATTCTCCGTTAGCACGTAAACACTTCTTATCGTTTCTTTTTTAGAATTATTTCTGATATCGTTGTTACTATACTATACCTATTCGATTACTATAGCCGCGCACCTCTGCCCTTTGAATTTTCTCATCCTCAATCAAAATGTAAATATTCCTTTTATTCATTTTTCCTTTTGCGCTTTATTCACATGCACCCGTGTGAATATGCACGCATATATACGTTTACTCTTACGCATAAGTACGTAGGTGATTCGTGCAATAAAGTATCGTTGTATATTTTTTTTATACGTAACATCTAAATTGTGCATTTATTTTTATTCGTTTTACATTCTGTATTGTCTCATCGAGTTGCCACGACCCGTAAATCATGATTATACCATAAGCACGTTGTACTGGATTCCTGTAGGATGTTGTACAGTTATACGTGGCAAAATCCAGGTGGCTTTCTTTAATGGTCAACAAATCTCTCTAAAGACCCCTCAGCTTTCATCTATTAGAAAATGTTTTTCTTTTTTTTTTTTAAATTCTTACAGACGTCTTTACGATAAAGGAGGACAGAATCCTGATTGATAAAGACATCGATAAGACTGCTAGATCCTCCATTCTGACCAATATTTATTACAGATGATTGGCGCTGTGTAAAAAGAAATGCAGAAATAATGAGCTGCTCGGAAATGGTTATACAAAAAACCCAAATTATTATTATTACGTACCAGTGAGGAATTTCCTCGGGATCCAAACAGGTTAGGGAAACAGCATCGAAAAGTTTACCCTCACCGCAGGTGATAAGACGCGGATGACCATCTACACAGGTGATGAGTCTGCCGCAATCACCAGGTACAGGGAATCTGCGAAGAGATAATGAATATATTCCCATTCGTGAATCCGTCATACCTTCCAATCAGCATGATCGATCAATTTACCTGGGGAATGGCCAGAACTTAGCAGCAGCTGTACGAGCAGGAATCTTCTGAGGACATTTGAAGCCAACAATAGCCTCAGGATTACAGTACGGAAGTAATTGATCAGGCCAGACGCAGGTATGACTCTTAGGATCATACGCAAGACCAGGGGTGCAATGTTCCTGAAGAGGAGTTCCGTAGGTGCATTTAATGTAGGTGGTGCTGCATGAATCACTGTCTGGATAAAGTCCAAATTGATGCTCGCATCCTGGACTGCTTATGGGCGTCACTGAGGAAATACAAAAGAAAATAAGAGAGTTCTCAGTAGGTACCTTAGAAAAAAACCTCACAAGATCTTGTCTTTTAATATAAAAAAAAATACCATTATTGAATGTCCCGTGTTTATCGGAGCGTCTAGATTAACAGGATCTCAAGAAGGAGAGCGTAACGTGATATACTCACAGTCAGCCTTGCGTTCTCCGCAATGTACTGCCCAGTGGTAGTTGCAATGATTATGTATGGCACCATGTCCATCGAAAAGAAGACCGTTTTCGCAGTGTTCCAGAGTAAGCGTTCCGTTGGTGCAGAGGAAGAATGCAGCGCAATCTTCGGGATGAGCGTAAGCTTGGACGCCATGCTGTTCAGGACACGCAGGTGCATTGAGAAGGGCAGCGCCAAGGACTAAATATTAAAAAAATTATTAAACTTAACCAAGGGAAAGCTTATGAAATAGACGTATGCAGTTCGATATACAGTTAGTCGTTCTATGTCCACCGGCCGTTATCGTGAATAATGCATGATCGGAATGCACAGTGGAAATATTCTGCTAACGCTGTTGCGAAATCTTGTGCGTCGCATAATCAAATAATTCGCGAGCCAGGGTGGCGACAGTCACGCACTTGGAGATGGTAATAGAAAATATGATAGATCATGGGGGACTAGACGATGCGTCCATATGGCGAGTATAAGTAATGCAGTGAAAGCGGTTGTAGCTAAAGAATTCCTAAAGGTGTCGCAAGTCGCGCGTTGTAAGTCCCGTAGTCGCGGGGTCCTATGCTAGAGAAGTTGCGGTATAGATGTGTGTATGTATGGAGGTACGGTGAGATTTCTGAGTGCCATAAGAAGGGGAGTGAGCGTATAGGGTCTCACCATAAAATCATATGTGAGAGAGTGAGATAGGAAGAGTACCCAGGGCCGTATACACCATCGGGATTCACTTAAGCTAAGGTCGCACCAATGTAATTATCCGTATTACGTACCTGTAGATATGAGGCCCAACAGGCCCAATAGACTCGCGCTCATACCGTAGCTCATGTCTGGTCTCGGTACGGACTGACTACTGAACTTAGAATCCCACTCATTGGCGAGTAGCGTTGGCCTCGGCTTGTACCAAGCCCCCTTCACTCATAAGAGGGGCCCCAAAATGGACCCCTTCCCTGTTCACTCTCTTTTTCCCTGCGTTGATACTAATTACCAGCGATTTGTACGAGATCTCTCGACATGAACGGATGGGTTTCGATTGTTCTCTGCAGTTACGTGGCTTCACTTTTTGGCACTTTGCTCTGGGGCCTCATGCTCTCTAAACACGCCCTCTACTATCGTTATTTACCTGCATATCGATCCCCAACAAATTCGCAGTGTTTAAACTTGCAATATTGGTTTTAAATTTTTCAAAATTTTTTCTTACCCAAAGGCAATTGGGTCCTCCGGGCTGGGTGATACGTACGCTATTCTGATCCGAGTCTATTGCTGTAGATACGGATAAGGCCTCAGGCGCCTGACGTGACGACTTACGCAATTGGTAAGCAAGAGGGGTCTCCGCCCCGAGGGAACCAGATCGCCTGACACGATACCGATAGTGAAAGCCGTCAATCTGATATTACACACATTCTGTAGGTTATACAATGGCCTCCTGTATGCCTCTTATTCAGCTTCTATAAGAGGGACCGTTCACCAAACTACTTTTAGGGAGCGAGGCTAAGGTCGTTTGATTTTCGTTTTGCTTTTGGGCCAGCCGGAGCTCGTGTCGAGGTCGAGCCTTTATCGGGTAAAATTGACGACGGCCGGCTCTAATTATGCAAAGAGAAAGGTCCCGGCTGAACCTGAATACGGAGAATGTGAGATTTTACATAGGTCGAAGAGTCATCCGCAATTTTCTCTACAAGAAAATTACCACAGTGGAAAGTGCTTCGACAGACCAACTGATTTACACACAGATTTACATACATTCACAGATTTTAGTAGAAGTTTAAACTATATTTAGACTCTGTACTAGGATTGGGTATACACGAGTAAAAAAAGGTAAGGATATTAACAAATAATTTGAGTATTATTGGAAATAGCTATTTGACGCAATTATATAAAGAGAAAGGTACTCCGTCAAATATAGCCACTGGGTGAACAATAACTTCGTTGCAGTTTGTAATAGCACATTTAATACGAAATTGCATAAGATTAAAATATTTATTGTTCTTAAGGAGTAAAAGTCGTTGGTTACATTGCTAACGTTGGCACGTGACTCAGTTCTTTTTCTTGTAATAGTCCTCGCTGCAACATAACATAACATCAATAGAATTTCTCGTTCTCATGCGTCAAGCGTAATACGACAAAAAAGGTTATGTACGCAGGGAGGTTAGAATGATAACAATGTGGATAAACTATGAAGAATAAATGGACATAACTTCGAAGGATTTCGAGGTGAGCTAGTATATCATAGAATTACTCACCATCCTGGTACATTGTCCGGATCAGTACACCTGAAGCTATCTTCATTGTAAACGGTGCCATACTCGCACTGGCCCTTTTGTGGCCTTACGCCATTCCTGCATATGTAAAACTTGGCACAATCCTCAGGATGAGGATAAGTAGGATGTGGCAAGATTCTTCCTTGTGGTCCAGCGACGTCTCCCTCGGGACAAGTAAATCCATCATCCAGAGCATCACGTTTCACATCTTCGCAGAGTCTCGTGGCGTCTGCAGGCCACACGCAGGTGGCCATCTTGTCCTCGTAAACAAGTCCCGGCGGGCAAGGCATTAATTGGGCGACTCCGTCGATACAGTTCACAAAATGATCGCAAGAGGTTGGATCGTCAAGTTTGAAATAGCCATTTGCGCGTGGACATTGTTTGCTGACCTGTGGTTCCTCTGCAAAGAAATAAAATTTTTTTAAATGTCTACGAGTAAAATTTTCAAAAATATTAAAAATAATCAATCCATCAGGGTACTGGAAACTCACGTAGCAGGGTGCGGTCGCCGCAGGGTACGTTCGCAGGTATGTCACAGAAATCTTTTTTAGGATTGTCGTCCCTGAAGACGAGGCCGTCCTTGCATAGACGTTCTTCCGGTTGCCCGTCTACGCATGCGTAGTAAAGATCGCACTGTTCAGGGTCCGGAAAAAAGCCCTTAGTCTCTGGACAGCGAAATTGAGCCTGACTTTTGGTTATAATGGCGGCAGCCACCATAAGCGGTAAAATAAACCGACACCCTGCAGATGCCATACTTAAGAATCTTTGCTGATCGTGGATCTTCCTTCTCTGGCAAGGAGCTACGCGACGTGACTGACTTCTCGGTCCCGATTTGCTCGACTGCATTCTACCACTGTCTCATTTCACGACCCCTCCCCTTTCTTCGAAAGCCCTCTCTTCATCTTTCTTCTACCCAGTTCAGGTAGGAGAGGGCCGGACAGCTGTTCTCATTGCTATCCTTTATACCTAAAGGCCTGCCTACTCTCATTTGCATTCAGTTTGGTCTATTTTCCATTGGCCGCTGCGGTTTGGTGGACACGTATACATATATATCGATTAAGAGGGGAGCAGGCATATACATATGCAAAAAGACAGGTCGTGACTCTAGAAAGCTTTGACATTTGTCTGAATGTCAAAACGGGTCCTGCGATCTTTATAACGCGATCTTCAAACGAAGACCTGGTAGCATGTATCAATTTTCACTATATGTATATACTACTGTACCTGAGTGCATTATTGAGTATGATATATATATATATATATATATAATAACCAGATACATCTGAATTCGCGAGATTTCACTATATGTATATACTACTGTACCTGAGTGCATTATTGAGTATGATATATATATATATATATATATAATAACCAGATACATCTGAATTCGCGAGAAAGCACGCGTCACGGATTCCTGAACACATGCTTATGTTTCATACCATTGGCTATTGGTATTCCCGGAATTCGATCTATGAGAGAAATGTAAAAAATATAATATGGTCACGTCTTCATTCATCTTTAGTTTCATCTACTAACAGGTTGTATGTACGTACACGTGCTTAGATACTTGGTACTTGCAGGTACTGAGTCCTGCCTCCCGTAACGTAAGAAAGCAGAACCGATCGATTCTTAGTGGCTTTTACTCAAGATCAATAGCTGCAAGAAACTCTGCAAGTTCCAGGTTCGACAGTCCCCATCGCATCGCGATATCGTCTCCTTTGGAAAAACGAGGAAAGGCTTGTCGCTCTCGTGTAAATAAGGTGAAAGTCAGTGCAGACGGCGACGATCTGCCTGGGTGAACATTCAACGATCGACGCCCCTTTTACCAGCGCGTAACCACATACAGTTTATATATGTTTTTTATTCGCTTGTTTATAATATGTTATATGATTGCTACTGTGTTGTTGGATACCTTCTTTAGTACGGATATAGTATATTGGTAGTTTCAAAATTTATGAGAAATCTGTACGTACCCAAAAAAAAACAAAAAAGAATGAGTTCACAGTGTTACGTGATTTTTCATAGTAGGTAATTTTCGAGGGTTATTTTTATCGATGCAACCAACGTTTCCAGGGAAAAATGGTCATTTATTGTAAAACATTTACAAGGCTAATGTCTTTCGTATTTATACAAAATATACGATAGGATTAAAAAGGTGGCTTTGGGATCCCGATGCGGGACAGGAGTACTTCCTATGTCAGCTTAGGCCTTCTTGTCGTCATCCTTGTACCAGTCCTCGCTGTATATGAAGTGTATTGCTAGATTTGTGTCTCTTTGTCAAATTTCACTAATACTATATTTACGTACCATCCAGGAACATTCTCAGGAGCGTCGCACCTCTGCTGCTCGTCGTTGTAAACCGTACCGTCGCTGCAACCCTGTTCACGTGGTGTGACGCCGTTCAGGCATACATAAAATTTCTGACAGTCTTCAGGGTGAGCATATTTGGGATGATCGACGGCCATTCCTCTGCTGTCAACTTGACCTTCCTTAGGACACTCGAAACCATCCTTAAGCTTGTTTCCAACCTTGCCACAATTCTGTGAGATTGATAAAATATTTTATTAATTTTTATTAGGCTAATCAAAAAATTGTATCAATTAACAATTATAATTAATAACTCTTATCATTCTTCATTTCTCGTTACATACCTCACGACCAGCACTGTCAGGCCACACGCATGTTCCGCTGTACTCATCAAAATGCAATCCAGTGGTGCATGTGATCTCAATGGCTTCGCCATCGATGCAGTTGTAGAAGATGTTGCATACGGTTGGGTCAGGATGGGCAAAGAAACCATTACGTCTTGGACATTTTTTCGTAGGTTGTGGTGGTTCTGTATATGAAAATAAATAATACTTTTATTGTCAAAATTTAATATTTTCAAAATTTTTATCAAATCCACAGATTCACTTACGCAATTCGAGACGGTCGCCGCAGTCCACGTTGAAAACGTGGTCGCACTTGTTCACCTTGCGGTTCAAAGGGTCGAAGACAAGACCATCCGGGCAAAACTTCTCCTTCGCGACGCCATCTACGCAGTCGTAAAATTTGTCGCACTGTACTGCATCCTCAAATTGGCCATTGGTTTTTGGACAGTTGTAGGCGCCATCTGTTGGAAAAATCATAATCAGTGAAAGTTATTAGTTAGAATCATATTTGGTACAGAGGCTAAGCTATGTTGAGATCGTGCGAGAACAAGGACGTTGAACCTTGTATGGTTCATCTTATGTAGATCGTTATTACTGTTTTGGATTATGTAATTCGCGATGACTACTGTTCCTAAGGAGATATCACTTATGCAACAGGGAGACAGCTATCTGACATTTACATTTTAGAAAGTAACCCCGGTCTCACCCAAACACGCTGCCTTAAGTCTGTGGAATACGAATATCATCTTGGAAATTTAACAAGGCGCAGCATCCCAAGAGAAAGAAGTGGTGGACATTTATCATTAATCGTATATTAATTTCTTGTGAATAACGATTCACCGTATTTATTTAATAAGTTCCACTTTCCATCCATGCTAGTGAAATCGCGGAGTCGTATAATGAAAACAAATAAAAAGTCCATGAGTCCCATAGATCTGATACCATATGTTACCTTATTGGCTTTTCCATAGAAAGTGGGCTCATCGTAATTTTACTATGATAGATTATAAAATTATTAAATTCTCTAGGCTATTGTGAATTGTGTATTTTTTTATCTATTGTCATTGCTATACTCACTTGCTACTGTGGCTAAAGCCAGCATCAGCATCAGGCACACTTTAGCCATTTTGTCGATGGTCGTGTGAACTGTCGTAGAGATTAGGTACCGGTTAATAAATATACAAGTGACTTTGACAACTAGAGGTTAATTTTTGGGCCCGCTCTTTGGAATAGCGTCTCGTCGCGAGAGACTGCAGTCAGAGAACGGCTCTCCTGAGGGTATACCTTACCGATCCCCACTATGGTACATTTCCCCACTTTCGCTGCGTGTACACACCAGGAGGCCACACCACGGAACGTCACACACCATCGCCGGGGATAGCCGTTGAGAATTAAGATTACCTGTGATCCGACCATTACGAACTTCTACCGTGGATTTTACCTTCTGGTTATTCTATACGCTTCGCTCTCACGTTTACTATACGACATTTCTCTGGGATCCGTTTGATTTTCTGTTAATTTTTTCGCTTTTTTTTCCTCTATACTTTTGATTTTATTTATTTTACTCACTCTCAGAGACTCGTGCATTCGAATGTGGCAAAAGGACGGTTACTGGCATTTTGATTTTATGCAGTATTAGCTATACTTATTTTTGTATTATTTATTTATTTCTGTCTTTCAGGAGAAATCGTGGTGTATATTTGTCAATTTTTCATTTTCTTATGACAAATTTTGGAAAATTTGGAAATTTTTACTTTTGAACCATACGGTGGTTTCTTAACATAGCTTGTCAGGATTCTATAGCCGGTCAATGTAACGGTTATATGGTCGTCTATAGGAATGGAAGAAATGGACGCTAAACATTCGATGGCGAAAGGCTGGTACCGTGTGGTGACGTCACGAGACGCTTAAGAATGTATTTTCGCTGACTGCGTCGCATTACGACTCATTTTTGTTGTTGCTTCATTGAAAATTCAACAGGATACTCGAAGGATGTATTTTTAAACCAGGCCCTCGGGGGTTGAATATAATTTCATAAGAATTTCACTACTTTTAATAGATAATCCATAGGGTAGAATAACGAAAACAATAGCGGCGAATTGATGTGAAAATGTTTATTGTACAAATTAATAAAAATGTATCTTAATGCTAAATATCGAGTCTTGTTTCTACGTGGGTCTTGAACTCTTTCGCCTGCTTGGTCCCCCAGTAGGTTTTGGTTTTGGAGGTGGATTCTCCAAAGCATCCAATTCCTGATCAGTGAGTTGACCCTTGTACCAATCCTTGCTGTAATAGAAAAAAATATATGTAACATTGAAAATACATAAAAATGCCAATAACAAAAATTGCCATTGAGTTATGTCTAAAAAAAGATGAAATTACGTAAAATTGAAAATCTATCAAAATAAAATGTGGAACCGCATCCGATTAATCAATAAAAATTTCTTTTGCTGTCAGTACCGTGGAAAGTATAGCATAACGGATCGGCCGAATAATGGCGGCAATTCGCCTCACGTAACGCTCAGTCCTTGAGACTGAAAGCTTTCTTTTTCCAGAGTTTGTTATTTTATTTTTTGATCCGATCCTACGGAACATACATACATGCATGAATTATCACAGAGTGACTTACCATTCTGGAATCTTTCGGGCCCAATCGCACTTGCCGGTCCTTTCGTCAAAAGCCTGTCCAAGTTTGCATCCACTTCTTCGTGGAATTTCGCCATTGACACAGACATAAAAGTATTGACAGTCTTCGGCATCAGCGTAACGAGGATGCGTCGCCGCGACCGAGTCGTCGACCTTGGGACAAGTGAAGTTGAAAAGTTCCCTGGAGCCGCAGCCCTTTTTCTGGGCCTCATCGGGCCAGTTGCATATGCCAGTCTTCTCAGAGAATACCAAACCGTCAGGGCAGGTGATCATGTTGAATTTACCTTCCACGCAATAATAAAATGTATCACATATCTTTGCGTCTTCATGTGCGAAGTAACCATGCATACGTGGACAATGTTGACTGGGTTGAGGCTTTTCTACAATTCCAATCAATAAATTTCATCATATTCCTATTAGTCATAAATCAGTTCTCGTTCAATGAGTACTAGAAATTTGGGACTTACGGAGTTTCAGCCTCTTGGAGCAATCAATACCGAAAGGCAAGTCACACTTTTCATGTTGGGGACTGAAGTCATTGAATACTAGCCCATCGGGGCATAATTTCTCAGTACCCTTGCCGTCGCGACAATCATAATATTTGTCGCATTGTTCAGCATCCGGAAAGTATCCATTAGGTTCAGGACACTCATCCGCTAGTTCCTCATCCTCGTACTCGTCTTCCTGAACAGGCTCTTTTTTCTGAGACGGTGAGGCCGTCTTACGTCGACTTTGTTCAGCAGCCTCTTGCTTTCTCGTCAGAGCGTTCACGGCTCCTGAAAAATATCAAAATTCTGATTACATCCGTAACAACGACTCTCAATGATATAGCAAAGATAAAGATTAATAAAGAAAAAATATTACAAATATCTAATTAGAATGCGGAAGTCGTATCGATAGCAATAATAAAATAACGGTACGCACAAGAATCCAACGTGATTGGCTCTTGACATTTTCAAGGTAGTTTATCCGGCCCTGAACGAAGTGACTTATATGGGACTTATATCTTGTAAGTGTGTATAGACGAAAGGATAAAAGGCGCAGTCAGATAGAAGAGAAGGAGAAGGCGTAGTAGGAGATAGACGCCGGTCGACCTCGCGTATGAAAGAAAGCGAGAAAGTGCTTGGGGCCTCATGGCGCAGACAGGATCTTTACTATTGTGGGCCCGTACGTGGATACCGCTTTCCAGTTTTTAGCGAAATTTCAATAGAGACTGTTAAATGGGGGATCAGTCAATTTTTTTTCTCTCACTCTTTATCTCTTTCTATCGGTCATTCAAGAGATTTAAGACAGTTCATTTCGTAATGCCACTTTCTTGCCCCGTATAGTACAGATTCTCATGCAGATATAATAATTTAATGTTACTGTGGCTCTCTCATGTCTTTCTGTAACTTTTCTTCTCTTCCATTTTCATTTTTCTAATAGCCGCCGACTTACCCAGGCACACGAGGAGACAAATCAGCTTTGTCTTCATGTCTGCCACAGATGATGAACACCAATTGTAATTTATTGTAGTCTTGCGGAACGACCGATATCAGTCACGGGGTTTTCCCTAATGCTTCGGTAACCCTCGGTGCTTTACGTGATGATGACTAGAGACTACTGGGGCCCGAACTGGGCCTCAAAGCCTTATATGCGGCCCCCACTTTTATTCTTCAACGGCAACGGGTTACAACACTCCTGCTTGACAGAGGAGTGTAGTCTAAGGAGAGCTACTCTTCTGCATACTTGCATCGGCACGATATAGTTACACGTATGGTGCATACGATGTCATCAAGAGTTATCTTCGTAGTTATTGTTGGTTGGGTGGTTGGTGGAGAAGTGGGGGAGCGAAACAACAAAGAACCGATTCCGTACCGGTTGGTGTATTTATAGACGTCCAATAAAATAGTAGTTATTAGACAGTTCAGTTATTAAAAGTTCTGGAATTCGAATCTGACTCAGGTTTAATGTTGTTCATGAAAATCCTATGGCAGATATTTCGAGGTCTCTTTGAGGAGTTATAGAATTTTGAAAATCTTAATACGCCGTCTCACGGTCCCACCATCCACCAGGATTTCTTCTGATCCACAGTTTTCGCAATTCGTCGTATATCAGGATCATCAAAGCGAATGGAAGTCCTGGCAACCACCATTCTGCTTTCAAGGGATACGTCTTCAAAATGGTATCCATGTATGGAGCATAACACACCACACAAGCCATTCCGGTTTCGAAGAGCAATCCGAAATTTAGGAACCAATTGTTCATTCCTTGTTGGAATATCGAATTTCTACGTGTTTTGCATATTATTACATCTGCCCATTGTACTATTACTATGCTGACGAAGAAAGCTGTGTGGCATGTATATTCCAAGACTTTTCTTTGTTTGTATGTCCACTCTTGACCGTAACTGTCCATTAGATCGTTTATGGCGATGCTGTCCCAGTATGATCGAAGATCGAACAGCCTCCTTGGTAAAAATCCATGTTCCGCCATTATTACTAAATAAGTAAAGAAGCCGGCTGCTGCTTCTATAATCCCAATCTGTCCATAAGCCATGAAGATCAATTTCCGACTTACTAAATGGTCCATTTGGGGAATTCTGGGTCTCCTAAAAATAAAATGGGAATTTCATGTTCAACCGTCCTTGAGATAAATATGAGTGACAATTACCTGGACATGATGTCACTTTCAGATTTTTCATAAGCCAATGAAATTGCTGGCCACATATCAGTACCGAGATCGATACATAATATACATATGACACCGACCGGAAGTGGTATGCCAAGTGCAATGAACGCAAGAAATGGCGTCACCTCAGGAATATTACTAGCTAACGTATAAGCTATGCTCGATTTAAGATTATCAAAGATTCTACGTCCTTCCTCAATTCCAGTTACAATGGAGGCGAAATTGTCATCAAGTAATATTAAATCAGCCACTTGTCTACTGACGTCAGATCCTTAGCAGTTCCCATGAAAAATAAAGAATATTATAGAATCTATGATTGAGACTGTGTAGATACTTTGTATTATATTGACTATGTGCGTCCGCCCACAGTTTTAATATATAAGCATGTATTTCTGTGCACGTGCATTCTACCAGCGCCACTAAATCAATGAACAGCATTTTCCCCTGGACTTTTGATTTGCATGAATAGTCAAATACATGCTTAAATATGGGATCTGTGTACGTACCCGCATAACGAATAGGTCACCTGCAATTCCCATGGCAATTCCAATATCTGCTTGTTTAAGAGCCGGTGAGTCATTAACCCCGTCTCCAGTAACAGCAGTAATCAAGTGTAGCCTCTGACAGCTTTCAACGATCTGAAGTTTCTGAACCGGTGACGTTCTGGCGAAGACAATTTCCGGATAACGTCGTATAATATTGTCCAATTCAATGGGTTCTAGGTCCCGCAATTTCGGCCCAGTCAATACTACGGAATGTCTTTCCGACTCGGTTTGGTCCTCGGTGATGATGCCTACGTACTTGGCTATGGCCCTGGCCGTGTCAGGGTGGTCACCCGTAACCATGATCACCTTGATACCGGCGTACCGACATTTGTAGACGGCGTCGGGGACCGGCGGCCTCGGTGGGTCCATCATTGAGATCAGGCCCACCTGTATATACAATCGCATATAATTTGTCACCTTTCATTTTCAATCTTACACCCGTTACATCTATAATTCACCCGAGCGGATGACCTTTACTATACTGAATATGCCTGTTCATACCAGGTGTAACGGGTTTCTTCCCATTGCAAGTAGCTCAAGATGATATACGGTATGGACAATCTATGAAAAGAATTAATTCCTACCAATCTTAAATCATGAACTGGAAAGTTCGGTGGGTCTGCATTAAATTGAAAACCCTGAGGAAATTGAACTGGATCTAACTCCAAGTCAGCAAGGCCTAGTACCCGTTCACCATTGTTCGCTAGGATCTTGCAGGCTTCTGTGTACGCCATTTTGGTGTCTTCGTCGAGATCACGAGTCTCCTTGCCGGATGAATATCTTGTACAGCGTTCAAGAACACTTTCAGGCGCACCCTTAAGTGATATTAGGTGAACACCCTGGTTCAAGTGAACATTGGCTTGAAACTTGTCGGTAGAGTTGAATGGAATTTCGAAGACCTGAATAGTTTCAATGGATCGTAAATAAATAGTGAAATCCCTGAATATCGTTGAATTATATATATATATCTTGTATCAGTATAAATAATGTGCAATATCTAGTTTCTACTTTCACTGGCAAGATTTCCATTATAATTAATACAATAGTTATTACCTTTTTATATTCCTTTCTGTATGATTCAGCACCACCTTTTAGAAGAACTTCCATACATTTAAGTAAAGCACCATCAGAAGCATCGCCTAGAATTTTTCTTTTATTCAATGGCAATGGGGGCCCAATGGTACTATCTTGTTGGACCCATTCAGCTCTATTACAGAGACTAGCTATCCTAGCTATATCCTGAAAGCATGGGCTATTCACATATTTTATCCAGGTATCAGAAGCCATGATTTCTTTCAATGAACCGTCGTACCACATATGGCGAACCTATAAATTATATGTGCCCGTAGATACTAAAAGTCGACGTACGATAATTAATAAGTAATATATCAACGTTCAATTAGATCCTCACGGTCATTTTATTTTGCGTGAGCGTCCCAGTTTTATCAGAACAAATAACAGCAGTGCATCCTAAAGTCTCAATGGCCTCGAGATTTTTCACTAGACAACTTTTACTCGCCATTCTTTTGGCAGTCAAAGTCAAACTCACTGTCACGGTAGCAATAAGACCTTCTGGCACATTAGCTACTATAATGCCAATAAGAAATACTACTGAATCTACCCAATCATAGCCAAGAGCTAATGACATTCCAAAAAATGACACTCCCAAGAAAATGGCCCAGGATGATATAAATCTCATAAACAAATGGATTTCGCGAGACAATGGCGTCGGTCTCGAAGAAAGCCTTGAAGTTAATTTAGCAACTCTACCCATTATAGTTTGATCACCACAAGCGACTACTATTCCTTTTCCAGTTCCTAAAATCATTTTAATACAAGTATAGAGATATGGAAAATGCTATGAATTATATAAAAGTACCTTCTACGACGCTAGTAGAAAAGAACGCCATGTTTCTAGCTTCCAACAGAGGTCCTTCTGACATTTTTGAGGATCTTAGTTGCGGTATGGATTCTCCAGTAAGAGAGGCGTTATCTACCTTTAGTCCTTGATGAAGAGGGGCAGAAATTGAGTCGAGGAACAAAAACAGGATTAAGGTGAGGCTAAAAGAATAAAATCGTTCTGAACAGGTTAATCCACCTTGGCATTCCAGGATTCTAATGTCAGCAGGAACTCGGTCACCGGTTTCCAGTAGGACGATATCGCCGAGTACCAATTCAGAGACATATATTTCCTTCAATTCGGAATCGCGCAGTACTTTCGTTTTCTCCGGTAGCATTTGCTTGAATGATTCCATTATTCTGGAACTTTTGGACTCCTGATAGTAGCTAAACATTCCCGTTACCATAATCAGGATTACTAGAACAACGCCAAGCCACAGGTGATCCTGAGTCGGTTCCCCTAAGGTTTGTTGCTCGATGAAATAACTGATAAAGCAGAGTACAGCTCCAAACTGTTAAAGAAATATTTCCACGTAATGAATTCCGTATTAATCATAGACTCCTTCGATTATTAACAAACCCAAATTAATAGTGAAAATCCTTTGCAGCAGCAGCGAATAGCTTTTACGATTTCTGGGGTTTGCTTTGGCGGCGTTAAAGAATTCATTCCGTGTTGCCGTAAAAGTTCTCTAGCTACGTTAGCCGACAATCCACGTTGCGAATCAGTTTTAAGTCTATTCATGAGAACTGTTATGTCCACCTTGTGGACGTCGGTATCGACATCGCGACGAAGAGCATCTGTGTTAAGCGATGGTCCAGCCTTATGACGTCCTGACATTTTTTTGATTCACGAAAAATTCTTCTCTGGTAATAAAGTCTCTAAAAAGGTTATCCCAATAAATCCTGCATTCATGTTATTAAAAAAGATTAGAAGGAACAAATGAATGATAACTAGTTAGCCCCATAAAAATGCTGCGCTTAGTACTTATCCAGCCATAATCTTTTTTCATGACATTTATCCTTTAGGTGGAGCTGGAATCAGGGTTCACAAGAGATCAAACCTAGTCGCTAGTGGTAGGATATGTCGAGAAAGTAACATAATATACAAGTGCTGCCAAGGTGGTAAACCTTGCTAATCGATAAAGAGGAATCCCAACCGATGCGGCAAAGTACGACATTACTGACAGAGCATCAAAGGGAAGCGAATATGTAGCGGCTATAGCGGCGTCGTGGCGCTAGTGTGCAAAGACCGAATTCGGGATCGAGTCTCGTGTCTGGACTTGGTGAGACGACGCCACGCAGAGGAAACGAGTCCGGGCTGAGTTCCGCCATAGCGGTGGTATACTTTGTCTCGCTCGCTACTTGTGACGCGACGCTTACCGACGCTCGGCGTTGTCCCCACCGGATGCGCGATCGGGTAAAATTAACGCGAGTGTAAGTGCTTTGCTTCATTTTAATATTTGCGAATCGTACGAACTTCACTACAATGGAGAGCAGGCCGGCGCCGCTCCGTTCCAGGCGGGTTTGTAGATTTTGCCTAACGGAGACCGAGCCGCTGAATTTCATCTACGAGAGGGACCACAGCAAGCCCTTCCAGGTGCCGCTTACCCTGCAGATTATGTCGTGCGTCGCCATCGAGGTAATACAGAATATAAACTAGAGCTTCTAACTTACTTAGAACGTCATTATCTTTATAGCTCCTCTAGTCATGGAATTTTCATATATATCCATTAATTGATGTTGGTGCGATCGGTGAAATGTAGACGAGTCAATAGCTTTGACTGGCACGGATAACGTAGGAATCTTCTTTAACGACTGAGGCGGCCATTGAACGCACAGCGTCGTATCTTTTTATTCATGGAGGAAAGGACGTATGTGTGTGTGGTGTGTGTTCCGCTACGTATGTGGGGCTTGCTAGCTATCCTCACCAGGCGGTTTGATGCTTCAACATGGAATCTCAGACAATAGATATTTTGGCGGGAATAATATTTTTAGAGAATGTCAATACTTGTTATTAAAATTGAAAATATAGGGTGGCCACTGAAAGACTGAAGGGTTTGGCGGGGTTTTTGTTTTATATCATTCAGTCTTCCAGTGGCCATCCTGTAGTTTATTGCATTTGACTTTAGCGCGATGAAATTAGGATATATTTCTCTTGGGGTTATGTTAAGGAAATTTTTCTGCACTGCTCTGATTCTTCAAGGGAGCATGATCTTCCTGAATTGTAAATATACAATACTTTGCTTCTTGTTTGTAGGTATACGCCGCGGATGGAATGCCACAGATGATATGCACCATGTGCCGCTGGAACTTGGATCGCTCCTACAAATTCAAGCTCCAGTGCAAGAAAGCAGACGAGGCTCTCAGAGCTTATCCACTGTCAGGAGTCTTACCGAGACCGTTTCCACCTATTTCAAATGACCCACCCGAGACAGGCACTAAGAGGTTGGCCGAGCAGAGGAGCCAGAATGAGCAGTCAAAGAAACCAAAGGTGGAAAACAATGAACGCGACAGAAGAGACACCAGGGAGCGAGAGCGAGAACGAGAAAGACAGTCCGAGAAGCAGATAAGCAAAGTTGAGCGTCATGACCTGTATGACGAGGAACAGGATGGCGGGAGTGAAGGCGATCATGAAGCCTCTAACGAGAAGGAAGACAGGAAATTAGAACCTGGTGAAATAAGGGTTCACGCCTGTGATCAATGCGATCGCACTTTCCCATTGAGACAAGCACTCCAACTTCACGTGCAGCGAGCACATCGTGATCGCAACTACAAGTGCACTGAATGCGACCGCATGTTCTTCTCTAAGTACGATCTGGCTAAGCATATGACCACGCATTCCGAGGAGAAGCCATTCACTTGTCCGATTTGCCATAAGCAGTTCTCACGAGCTAACCTTCTCCAACGCCATGAGAAGGTTCACAGAGAGGAGTTGCGTTATGGTTGTCAGCACTGTGACCGAGAATTCTTTACTACTGATGAACTAGAAAAGCACGAGGAGACCGTGCACAAAGCCATCAAGCCCTATCAATGTAACATTTGCAACAAACGCTTTACTTACAAGCAGGGTCTAGAGCGACATGAGATGCTTCATAATGAGGACAACACCTTTGTCTGTGAATACTGCAAGGAAGCCTTCCGAACCAGCACTAAACTTGCTCGTCATCTTTCTACCCATTCTGGACATAGGCCATATCTCTGCAAACTGTGTCCACGTACGTTTCTTCTCTCTCATCATCTTACTAGACACATGCGTTCGCACTCTGTTGAAAAGCGACACGTTTGCGAGGACTGTGGCAAAGCTTTCAAACGCAAGGAAAGCCTTGAGGTACATCAGCTAACTCATAGTAAAAGGTCAGGCATGGGTCTTACTTGCGACGTATGTCAAGAGTCTTGTAGAAACAGGGCTGATTATGTGACACATATTAAACAGCATATTGAAGCTGGTGAGAAAATGGGGCCAGATGGATTACCCCCTGACACTACAAAGGATAAGCCAGAGACAGATTCTGAAGAGGAAGAGGAAGAGGAACAGTACTCTGATGGAGATGATGATTATGAGCCACCATCTTATATTGTGAAGAAACTTCCAAAAACTACTGATTTGCCAGACAGTGAGGAAGAACGTGACAGAACAGAGAAGGAAGACAGAAAGGAGCAGATCGTCTTCGTACGTGGAAAGGATGGGAACGTTGTCAAGAAAACAATCAAAACCTTGATGCCCATTCAACGCAGAGAGATTCAGGAAACGAAGATGAAGCCAAGCCCAGCTGGTCAATCAAATTCAAAGGTTACTCCGATCAAATCTGATGACACACCGAAGAGCCGCGTCGACGAGACCGAAGCACAGGTACAGAAAATCGTCGCGTCAGTCTTCAAAGAACATAAAATACCCCTGAAACATCAGAACATTCCACAGGAACAAGCCAAGGACACCGCCGTGAGCTCCTCCAGTCAAATCCACACCAGGTCTCAGTCCAGCCACACCACGCCGAATCAGTCCATGAAGGAAGAGAAGGCCGATCCTGGCAGCGCTACTCCAAAATCCGTTAACACGGTTAAGGTAATCAAAAGGATCGTTGTACGAAAATCTGCAGGAGGTACCGAGACATCAGGATCAACAACCACCACCAAAGAGGCAGACAACACGTCGACGACTACTCAGGGTACTCCAGGGACAGCACACAAGGTCACGAAGCGAGTCATCGTTCGCAGAATCATCAGGCAGGGTGACACGACCCGAGAAGTCATCATGAATCCGGATGGGACAATCATTGATCCAGCAGAGCTTGCCAAACTGCCAGCTGGTAACGTTGTCAAAAGAGTAGTAGTAAAGAAGCCAATGGACAAGAATCAGACTCTGGCACAGAGTGTATTGCAAACTAGTGATCATCGTCAGGGTACACCCATAAAAACTGAACAAATGGTTACTGATTCGCCAAAATTGGAATTGAAAACATCTCAGACATCAACCCTATCTTCTGCATCTATGAAGACTGTTACAGTGCAGAAGGTCGAGCAGACTCCAGGAACACCTTCGGGGCTGACTAAAGGAGATCAGGAGACCAAGGAGAAGCTGGAACAACTTGAGAAACGCGTAGAGCAGCAACGTCTGAAGATTGAAGAGCTGCAGGCCAGAAAGCAGCAGGAGTATGAACCCATGGACGAAATGTTACCAGAGAGACATGATGAATCTGAGGACGAGCAGCAATTGCCGTTAAAGAGGGTTTTCGTTAAGAGGAAGCAAAGCATTTATGATGAAGAACAAGAATATAATGACAATGATAAGCCGATTGTATCTAAGGAGGAGAATCAGAGTTCCTTGCAGGAGGAAAAGTTTAAGATTGTCAAGGAAGACGTGAAGCAGCAGGAATTGACAACGACGGAATCGTCTAAGAAAGATTATAAGAAACCAACAGTGATGAGTACGTCCAAGGTATATGGTAATAAGAAGATTGTCCTGGTGAAAACTGAAGAGCCATCTGAAGTTGAAGAAATGAGTCGTGAATTGAGTAACATCCTAGATTCTGCAGAGAGCGTAGTGAAGATGCAAGAGAATGTTCTTAGTAGTCTCAGTCAGATCCCAGCTATTGGAGAAGGTGAGCGTAGAGTAGAGATCGAGACCACAGAAGTTGAAAATACAACATCTAGTGAACCGATGGAAGTAGTCGAAGAACAAATTGCTGAAGAATCTTGTAAGATTGAAGACTCTGGCGTAGCCACTAATGAGGATAGTCAGGGTAACCAAGATGTAGTGGAGCAACTGGAAAATGAGGATAATACCACTGTTCTGGATGAGAGTCATGGTGAGTCCTTATCTTTAACAGGTCAAGATCTGTCCGAAGCCACAGATATATTTGGAGCATCAGAGTCGACGTTAGATGGGCAAAAATCTGAAGACAATAATCTTGAAGATTCAGTAATCACCTTGTCTCAATCAAACGACACGATCAATCTGACTGACCCTAACGACACACAGGATAGCCTCGAGGACAAACTCTCTCAAATGGAAGGCTGAGTAATAGTTTATATGTCTATGCAAACATAGGCTACGCCATGAGGGATCCACCAAGCCCCATATGCAGACAAAAATAACTAGATAGAAATTACCTAGATTTTACACGATTTTAGAAATACCTTGATACGTGCACCTTCATTAGAAATGCGACACATTAAAGCCAACATTCTATTCCAAAAGATGGATTCCCTTCAGCGTTCTACTCAACGGCAATGTATAATCCATTGCAACATTAAAGTAGCCAATATACCGTATGTTTCATCCCAAGTAGGATACCTGAAGTTGTCGCGATCGAAAATGAATTAAAACTTCTTACCATACAAATGGATAATTCGTTCGGTAAACGCGATTATTATTACTCGTTTTCTATCGCAGCAACTTCAAGTGTCCTACTTGGGGTGGGACATACGGTATACTACGTATATTACTATCGCCATTATTTCTTATAGATACGTCCCGAAATTCACTACAAATACTGCGAATATGGTTATGTCTCAATCAATTGCATTCAAGTAAACAAGGACACAACGATACACGCAGTCTCGGCAGTGAATTTCATAACGTACGCTATGTATGTTCACTCTTCTTTGTAACTTTTAAAATGTATAAGCTGATTCTAGTTAGACGGGAAATTGTAAAAGATATATGGAATAAGTATGGTACACTTATGTAATACCATGGATAACTGAAAACAGATATTAATCAAGTATCCTTGAGATTTTCTTGCGTATACGGGCATTTTATTTTCAATCTTTTTTTTATAAGAATTTTACAAGACCTATAAAAGAATATGTAAAATTTTGTTTACAGTCGAAAACTAAATCGCATCCCATAAACGTCTTGTCTGGTGAAAAATTAAATAATTAACAAATAATTGTATGAATTTGCAGTTTAAGTTATTAACGCCAGATATCACTAAACACGTCCTTCTCAATCCCGCACATTTTATTTCAAATACTTCTCAGTTGCGCCCGTACACGCTTGTATATACCATGCAAGGAATTGCAAATTTGTAATTATCTTTCTTCAAGTTTTCAGCACAAAGATAAACGACAACTGATTGTCTGCAACATCTGCATTCGCTGAGCTATTATTTTATTGGATGTGGATTAACTATCGATCGACGTATACCTTCTTATCAATAATAATAATAATAATAATCACGTATAATATACGACGTATTCCGTGCAGTATTACAGAATACGTCGTGTGAATTAAGACAGTAAGAAAATCACAGTATGGATTCGAACACGTCGCTATCTATAAGTGTTTGATTATCTAAGGACACAGTAATCCACAGTAAGTAGATTATACGAAAAGCAAAGAAAAAATAGAATATAATGAATTAAGCATACAATTTATTTGTAAACTTCTGTATCAAATACAAAGTGTGGTGTGTACGTGTCCAATGACTGGAGTGCTAATTCTTTATTTGTCATACTTCCTCCTGTATCGTTAATCCAGCAATAATAATAATAATTGAAGATCGTCACGTAATAACAACTCACAAGGTATAGAAAACATGCGTACATTTTTTTTATTGCACATTACGTGGATAAGGTATACAGTCATAAGTTACTTACTAAACTATACTACAAAAATGCACCTGGCACGTGTTTAACATGCATATTCATAATATTACATGTTCTGTCTATTGAGTGAACGACAAGAATAATAAGAAAACAAGAAAATAGGTATGACAATTATAAAGTATAATTATCAGCCTATTTTTCCGTTGAGTAAATTGGGACTCGATTCCGTCAATTTGTTTCTTGTAACTTCTCCCCACAATCACGGGGCAGGATTCCCTTGTTTTTTCTCTTAAATCGAACAACTAGTATAATACTTATACGTACGCACCATCCACGTATCTCGATTATTAAATATATGCTGCACTATATTAATTAAATGAAAATGACGTTACGGCCCAGCTCCGCGTGCCTGTGATAAATGAAATAATGATTGACTTTAGTTAAAAAAAAAAAGAGTAATTACCACTGGACGATAGATGATTGCGATAAAAATGTAATCAAAGAGAGATAATTTCGAGATGACGAATGAGACGAATAACGTTAGTTCGCTAAATAATCAAAACAGGAACAGGATAAAACCGGTGATATCGTGAATGGTATGATAAGAATTTTGTACGTTTCTTAATTTAGCGCTTTAAACTACTCGTAGTTGTAGGTAAGCATAATATGCGTCATGCTGGTTATGGCGTCGCGCAAGGAGCGATGCTCGTTAGTCGGGCGATTAAAGCGTCAGGGTGTCAAGCAGGATTGGCGCCCTTCTTTCCGGTAAGCCGCTGGAGCTGGAAAAGAAGGGGAGCATTTTTCGTAGATCTCTTACTTATCTTAATAGGTTTCCATTTAATGCTTGCTCTCGCCCATTTTGATTTTTATAACTTCACAGGCCACCCCTTCCGCTGTCTATGTACTCGAACCGCTGTGGGGCACATAATACTGTCTTAACCCGTGAATTCTCGCGTGATTTTATTCCACATTTAAAAAGCATTGAGTTGGGATGACGTGATCACCCCGCGCGAGTTACACCGGAGTAAAGGGGTACAAAGGACGTAACATCTTTTTGAAAAATTTGTATAACCTTCAGCAATCCCTAAGTCTATCTGTCAAGTTCCATAACACCTGACCGAAACTTAAAAAAAAATTAAGTCAATGTACCATAAGGTTCTTATATACACAGCTTCATGGAAGAATCAACTTATATGACAGTTCAGTGAAAACAAGGTAAGAGGTTATGAATCTCCTTAATATAGAACCACAATAAAACGTCCTACCGTAAACTATATCAGGTGTATCAGAATTAACTCCAGCGGTTATTGAAGTAGTAAGACGATCAACAAAGTTCCGGTATTACCGGAAACAGTGCATATATCTAAAATGATCATTAGGATTTACATCTTAGTTGTGTAATGTACCTCTTTCTCTTCAGTAGCGACGGTCGAGTATGGTTTGGGTAGTTCCGGTTCCTTAGCTGGTCCCAAAGCATGAACGTAAATAAGAGCCCCAGCAATGCCTCCAAGAATGGGTCCTACCCAATATACCCAATGATCGTTAAAGGCATTTTCAATAACAGCGCTGCCCAACGATCTAGCGGGATTCATACCCGAACCTGTTCTCGGAATCTGAAAATCCGTTAGGTTAACTGAAGTTGTTTTATGTGAACCAGGTTAAGTAAAAAAAAAGCAGTTCACTCACGCCAACAATGTGACACAGTGTGACAGTAAGGCCAATGATCAACGGTGCAATTCCTTTGCTGTCAGGTTTGCCTGCATCGCAGGCACCGCAAACGACAACAACAAGAATCAAAGCCAGAAAGAACTCTACTCCCAGACCCTGGGCAGAGTTGAAATCCCCTTTCGCCAAGGCAACTGTTCCCCTCGGAATACTTTCCAAGCTTAGGGCTCGCAATACTGCAGATCCTGCTATCGCGCCAACACACTGTGCCAGCACATAGAGGATCGCCCTAATAATGGGTACCTGAGATATAGGTTAGAACGGATTAGATACCTTTTTTAATATTATCATTCCGTTGCAGGTCTATTCGATAGTTAATATGCACTGCCGAGTATGTAAACGGAGGAATGTTACCTTGCCAATGGCTGCCAGGCCGAAGGTGACTGCAGGATTAATGTGACCACCGGACACGTGACCGATGCCCTGTACAATAGCGGCGACAGCCAATCCGAAAGCGAAGCTTATCGCCAGCACATTGTTCGTGGCAACCGAACCGCAACCGAAGAAATTTAAAAGCATAGTCCCTAAAAATTCTGCGAAAAGAGCTCGGTACAGTCCAGCTTTCTTATCCATCAGTTCGTGGACACCCAGGGCCGTTCTTAGGTTCACCATCTGTTGATAAGCATAAAAGATAACACGTGTGACTGATTAGCTAAAGATCATTATTTCATGCATTACACCTTATGTTTATAAAGGTGTAACATAATCGCGACAAACAACATTAGATGTCTCAGGATGCCTGCTATCAGATACGTCACTCACATTTGTCGCCTACTTGCGCGCCTGCCCATGCGAACTGCCAGAGCCGTTTAGCAGTTCCGTTGATTTGCGTCATGAATTTAGATCGAGGACGTTACTTATACTCGCGTTTCTTTAACTATACAAACTGTATTACACATGTAGATCGGCGCATCCTTTTCAACGAACTTACATCCAACGTACAATATGTATACCCAATCTTGAAAGGCGCGAATTTCAATACGTGACTCGATTGATTATTATGTATGCCATACATGCCTTTGTACGTAGCCATATTTCTTTTATGAACTCTGCATAATTCGTGCTTTTAAAAACGTTACGAAATACAATGCGTTATCTTTGTTAATTCAAAAGTTATAGCCATTCAAAGTTGTATCCAGAATATACGATCAAGTGAAGAAATAGGCGTTGAATTTGTGTCACCGATATACGTGTTTCTCTCTCTCTCTCGCACTCGCAGCGAGTATAGAAACCGTCAAAATTCCTAACCTCCATTTCTTTAATATGCCAAATTGGCAAATTGCCAATGAATACTGGACAACGACGTGAGACATTTGAAATAGAATAAATTGTCCAATGTTCCTTGACAAAAGCAATTACATGACAGCTGCCAATCTAACTGATGCACTCGCACTGAACATTCAAATATATTGAAAGATCAGTGTCGTTATCATCAACTATAATCATAATCAAAGGAATTGATTAATTGCAACTTCTTGTTGATCTATCATTTTTTTATACGAGGGACACCTACGTTCCAGAGTTCCCTACAAGTTACACATCCGTACGAGCATACCCACACCCGTGTATATTATATGGACCATGTGGGAGTGCTGGAGGGAGTATCTCTATTTTTGAAATCTCATCGGAACGTGAAAGAGTTTAGTACGAGGATGACGCGTTTCTTAAGAATTACGTAATTCTATTTCAGAGGAGGAAATCGTGCGGGGTTGTTCTAATCCTGATGATCTCATCTAGAGCCTCAATGTTTTACATCAGTACGTATACCAAGAGATTAGTGTATCTCGCTTAACTGTGGACCAACCAATTCGCGCCATTGGCTTGTTTATGTTTGTCCAAATAATTTACGTTTTGACAAGAATTACTGTTTATACATAGGTAAACCTGACGTCCACTTTTTTCACTCATCCGGAAGAGGGATGGTTGCCGTTTAATGTAGGCGTTACGACGCGAATGAATTTAATGCGAATTTCACACTTTTATTATTACCCATGTCTTTTCTTCGCGATGACGCTATCAAATAACAGACTCGAGAAACGTTCGCCATTATATTGCAACCTGCTAAAGCAGCCTGGTAAGTTTTCATAGAAACGCCCCATTATTTCTCCTAGCAATTTATTAGCGACGCACGCTAACCGGCATGGCCATATCATCCGCGATCGTTAACCCTATATGGGCGTCCCTGACTCTTTCTAAATATTGCCAGTATGGCTCGAGCGACGCGATCCCAGGTCGACCGGTAATACGTTCGTTCTACTTTTTTGTCAGATCTGTAGACGACGTTCAATCTGGTACAGAATACAGGTATTATTATACCAGTACAACGATACAGCATCCTGGTTTGCTTTCAGAGTAAGAAGTTACTTTAGGAAGATTTGAAACGTGGAGAGAAATTCACAAGCCAATTATTTCTCCGATACACATATCCACATAGCTATTGTCAGCGTACGTGTAGAATATTATTGTTTAGTGAAAGAGTGAATTGCAGGTTTTTATCGGTTTTGCTGCACGACCTCAAGGCAGTTAGTAATTTTTTATTTTTAACTTCAGAGACGATCGTGACTCCTTTGTGTCTGCTTATTATTAAGTGTTGATAAGCCTGCTACTTCGCATATAACTTAGGTTATGAGAATTCTCGTGGGACATAATATAGAATGATATTGATTTAATTCTTATCTGAGTTCTTGTATTTTTTTTCTCTTTTGTTCTTGTACTCTTTCGTGGAGTTACTTATCACTCAGTTGGAGTATGCGTAAGCTGTACGCACCGTATGACAAATATTGACCGGATCAGGGGAGCGAGGTGAAAACATAAAAATCGAATATGTTTTCCAGTTGAGACGTTATGAAATGACATTATGCCGGGTGAGATATGCCTCAGGGTTGGTAACTATTATTTGCACCCCGAATACGAGGAAAATAAATGAAACTATTTTAACATACGAATTGTTACTTTGTTCGAATGACTATTTGACAATGTTATAGTGGATCGCCTGACAGTTATAATAATTGATTTATAATCATTCTCATTAAAAACATAAAATTACTCGATATGATTTCTTAACCTAATCAATCAGCTATTATCAGTCATCAAATATTAAAGCTGTTACCAGTAGCCTGTACAAATTTATTTTTGTCTCAGACTAAAATGAATCATGTTCAAAATCTTTATGGGCTATTTCGATATCCTTAGTTAAATATTTTCAATGGACATACCTTGAAGCTTTTTTTATTATATATAATTCACAAAGGATCGACAAGTCCTCCTCCTTTATGTTCACCGGGTTTCTTACGAGTCGTTGGATACCTCAAATCGTGAACAAAGGAACTGCAACAATGTTCACAAGAAGCGACAGAAGAACTGCGGCAGCCTCACTGTGAGAGTTCTTGGACGACAACTGAGCTATGCTATAGAGACTGCCATTCTCATATAGGTATAGTCACCCGGTCTGTCTGGTAGCAAGACTGGGACTCTGAGTGTCAGGGTAGGGATATCACGATTCAAGTTTGAAACGCCTTATAGCTGAGAAAATAAATAACTCATCTAATATTCGACAGAAGGCTGGTACTGGTATACGTACAGGATGAGGAAAAATAATTGGTTAAGGAAAGATTAAAAATAAATGTATGTTACAGTTAATCCATATCTATGGTGGATGTACCATTTATCGCATTTCCCATAAATAATGGCTTGTTCTATGTAATGCTTGATAGTCGAACCACAATATCCTGGAAATGCTAGCCTAAGGAAATGACAAGCACATAACATGAAATTAAAAAGGTTCATAGTGTATTGGCTAAACTAAATAAAAAATTTAATAATTAAAAATCAATCATGGTAAGTATCAAAAGTATCAGGGCTATAACAATTTTTTTATCAATGACAAATATTCAGTGTATCAGACTAAAAATGTATCAATTATAAGGTAAAAATAATACATTGTATTGTAGCTATTTTTTCAATTTCAAAAATGGACCACTGGATGCTGCGTTCTGTTGTTGATTCTAGTGAATTCAGTGAGTCATGCACATCGATATTATTCTTCTCGAATATCGTCCTTACTCACCTATAGCATATATTATTATTATTGTATATTGATCTTGATTTCAAGAATGACGTGTTTAGTCAATATTATCGTGATCCAAGTTGTAAAGTTGCGTCACGTTGGTACGGAACGACACGCATACAAAAGCAGGGAATAACGTATAAATGATTTTTCCCCAGACAATGAAAAATCCATGGGGGGTCGTCCTGTGCTTTAAGATTAGTATGTATTCGGCTTTGGAATCGTCTTGACGAACGTTCGTCTCTTGTCAGGTAGTAGATTCGCTGCTAAAAAAAATTCCTGTGACCAGAAGTCCATGATCTTATCTCTATTTCGTGGTACAGATACTATTTACACATCACATTATTACCAGGGAAAAAAAGACAGGAAATACAAACAAAGGAACATTCAGATAATTAAAATTACTGCCAACTACCTTAGTCGTACAGTATCAATAAACAAACTAATTAGTCTATTCTTATACCTCAAAAAGCAATATCAGTGGCTTCGTTTCTCCTGAGTAGCCCTGTATAATATATTTTCTTCTTTCTCTTATCATCACTCACAATTGTCTCTAAACAAAACCAACTAATGTTCGCATTATTTATCTTAATTATTTCTCCGTTCGTTCACTCGTATCTTAACGCGAGATCGACCTGTTTTAGTTAACGAATAGCAACCTGCCTAAAATTACACAATTATTATCTATATATGCAATATAATATATATATATATATATATATATATATATATATATATATATATTTTCTTCTTTCTCTTATCATCACTCACAATTGTCTCTAAACAAAACCAACTAATGTTCGCATTATTTATCTTAATTATTTCTCCGTTCGTTCACTCGTATCTTAACGCGAGATCGACCTGTTTTAGTTAACGAATAGCAACCTGCCTAAAATTACACAATTATTATCTATATATGCAATATAATATATATATATATTGCTTAATTCAATATATCACCATAATCAAAAGTCTAAATCTTGCATGCTTATGTGACTAGAGGTTGTCTCAGTATCTCTATAAAGATAGTAAAAATCATCATATTTTCTATGATGAATTCGTAGTTGAACGAAATATATCCGTTTACAGCAACCTTGGCAATGTCGAATCACACTAGCGTGTTTCCTGTTGTGCAACAATCACGTGAATATTAATAAAAAGTACTTGCAGCAGTGGTTCACTGAGGACTGAAAAAAAAAGGTAACAGGTAAATCGAGTATACCAGCTCTGTCACGGACTGTGGTTTCTAACGTTTTTACCAGCAGCTACCAGAATTATAATCATCATCACAATCACCATAGTAGCCGTCATCATTCTATAGTATACTGTAGTGCTCATTTTAATTCTATTTAAAATTTCATTGTGAATTTACCTATACATTTGGGACCTTAATGATAAGTGATATATAACAGGAAGGAAGATACCGAAAATATTTTTCTCTATAATTTGATGATTTATTAATCCATTACTAAATTACTATGAGTCAATTTATTTCCAGATTGCTTGTACGATTATCTCCTTGATAACTAAGTGACCAAAAATAATTAGGCCTTATCTTACTAGAAGAGATATGATACCATGAACGTTAAGTTATACCTCCTCATTTACTTAGTTAAAGATATGTACGATAAAAATGACACGTATTACGTGTATACTTTTAAGAACGTACATTTCACTTACAGTTGTAGTATTTCATTAGGTTACCTATCTTATCCAAAAACTTGCGTTGGGTGATGTTAATCTCTGAATATAACAATGACGAAAATAATGATCGACGCTCCTGAGGTATTTCTCAAGACATCACGACGACTGTGGGACGCCCACGTGATGACCGTGTTTCGGTACTGTATTCTCTTCCTGTAGCATTTCTGTAAAACTCCATGGTGACAGATTTTGCGATTTGCATTCCGTAACAAGGACGCTATTCTTCGTGATGATTTACTGTCAGTTATTTAAAGTACATTAAACTGCCGTTGATAATTTATGAAGTTGAATTAAGGATTAGTCAGTGATGTAGTATCGAGGATTAATCTGAAACACGAGCTCTTATTATTTTATCCATTGGAAGCTTTCAGCAGCTTTATTATACAACGACTACGATCTCTTGTAAACTATGCTGTAATTGTTTAACAGAATAACAGAGCGAAATCCGACGATCGTTAAAGTATGTTTGAGCTATAAAACACAAGGCCATTATCCAAACGGACTATCAAATGGGTTAATTTTAAATATCAAATAGCACCCCATGTTTATGCAATACAAATTCAATCTATACGTACGTACGCGTTGGTATTAAAATATATGCATTTTTATTGGAATTTCTGAAATATTATTATCCTCTATATCGCGATCATTGTTTTATTATAAATTGAGGACGATTACGTAAGATGCTGAGTCAGTTGTATAGTATATTGTATATTAGTGTTAGACTCTGTTTATACTTACAATTACCGGTTGATCCTGAATCCTGAATCGTCATCGTTACTCCGTTGTGACTGTGACTATTATCATCGATTACGTCTTCGAGTTTAGTATACATCGTGCAGCATCGTGGCTAATTTACGTTGGCATTTTTATTCACAGTGTTTTTCCTTCACTTCGAATTATTGGATTCCGAAACGAGGGGGCAAGTGGTTGGTAGATGCTGCGTTAGATCACCTCTCAAAGTGCTGCCGATTAACGATTCTGACAGAGTGCTGCCACTCAAGAACGCCAGACGCGTTTCATGAAAGCAGCCCTAATCTTTTGGTTTAATGAGAGAATATTATCAAAGAACTTTGTGCATCACAAGCCGATCTGTTTTTCTTATTCACCCAAAGCCTTGCACCATATGCACTTCGTAGACAGCATTCTTGTCCAGTGAATCTAAAATTTATTATTAAATCAATAGTATATATTACGGACTACTATGGATCAAGGGAATACTGTCAAAATGATTTGACAGTAAAAAAATTATTGAGAATAACAGACAGTGTTTTATAGAATGTACCTTGTAACCTTACGATATCGGAGTGGATATCACAAAAGCATTGGCCGACCTCACGTATGCTAATTGCTCTTACGTTATCTGCACGCGAATTCGCCATTGCTCTAATAGTGAAGCGCCCCTGGGAATGTAGAAAAATGTTGTAAGGATAGGTAGTATTCTAGGTAATGGGGTTGAAAAAAAATTGCAGAAAAAATATTGTAAGAAAATACCTTTGTCATCGGCTACCAATCGATATAAGTAGAGAAAATTTGAATGCTGGATTGTTCAGCTATGTACTGGACTGTCCTTGTTGATATTATTCTTGTGTTCCTTTAGGGTTTACTTTGGACCTGGTATTAAATGTGCATCTTCATGTCTGCGCGCATTTAGTCAGTGTCCGCTAACCAGACGGCGTTGCTGTAGATGAGAAATCTGACCCAAATCCGTGATTCAATCAAGACCTAAAATCTTTCAATGCTTTGAATCTTTTTATTGTTTTACTTGAACGAAGTAAGGTGGGCTATTATAAGTGTTGAAAAAGTATTTATAGGCTTGAAAATTTTTACAAATAATTATTCTGTTATTTAATGACCATTATTATGTGGAATTTTAAAATAGGTATGAATCGATTTTTCTTCTGGTATAATATAATAAAATATCCATTCCGTTGCAGGTAGGGCAGGCACGCACCTATCATAACAGGAAGAATGTCATGCTACAGTGTCAAGGTTCCGGTACATCGAGAAGGTTGATTTCCCGGTCACGCTAGATTTCGGAACGATCCAGCCAATCCTCCTCCCAGAGGACGTTCTCGTGGACACGAATCCTGTCCACTCTACTTTATTTTCATAACCAGGGACCACACCTAGAAACTCACTACCTGCCACCCTTAGACTTGCTTATCACGAATCGCTATACCGCAACGTCATATAGATATCTCGAGTGGGGTGAACCAGGGTCGACAAGGGTTGTAACCACCCCCCTGGCCGTCTTGGATAATAGGCAGACTGGACAGAGTGATGCGACGTCCAGTCGAGAATCGCTACTCGTATCTACACCTTTGGCGGGAGTTTGTCGTCTTTCACGGACGCCCGAATACAGCTAAGAGACTGACATTTGAATTGGTAAGTTTTTGAAATTCCCAGATCTTATAATTACGATGAAGAATGTAGCGAAGCCTGTTAGAAGCATTCTTGCTATTGTTTGACATTATTTTTGTAATCTCTTCTCGACGATTTTATAACTTTTCAGTTGACACTTTCATGCTTTTGGTTTTACTTTCACGGATTCTGTTTCTCAGCGACATCCAACCCTTAAGGGGAATATGTACGACTCCACTGTCTATCCGGAGGATTCCACACGCGGGGAGAGTGACAGAAAGACTGACGAAGATGCAGAAAAAGAAGCCCAAGTTCGAGAACGTATCAAGCGTAAGTTTGAATTAATTATTTTCGCGCGACAGGTATTTTTTTTTAAATAGCCTGTGATCTTTTCCGATTATAATTTCACAGAAAGACCTTGCATTGCATCACAGGATAGGATGATTCTCATATTTTCGTTGGAAAATCTGAATCACGCCGAACGATAATTACACACTCGCGTAACTTAAAGTATTTATCACCTCAATCGGCAAGGATCGACAAAAGTGACGCAATTACCGTGAAATTACCTGAGACGCCAATTAACTATGGTGAACTTCCGAAGAACCTTGTTGATCTCGTGATACAATGGCGTTTTTCTCTATTCTTAGACATACAGGAAACAAAAATTGCACAACCTCAACAAAAACTTGTGCTGCTCATCCAGTGAACGATTTGAACCACTAACACGATGCTTTCGTGTCTAGTAAAAAATTTGGTTCCACAACTATTATCTGAAAGTATAGTTATCATTAAAACTGTTGCGATCTAAAATAGTGTTACCGACCACTGATCTTGACCAGAAACATTAATAGTTTCGTGCAATAGCCGGTAGGTGTCTAGTACCTTTGAGACCCAATGTGAATTCATCCAAACTGTTTTGTCTAGTGACAAAGTATGGCGCAAACAAGCGGCACGTTACACGTACATAAAAGAATGGGAAAAAATGGGTAGTATAATTCTATACAAGTTATCGTAGCAGGAATTCGCAATCGAATAACAACATGAACAAGGAGAATAATAAAAATGAACACGAAACACGTTTTAATGTGGTCATGCATCACGTAGAGCATAGACTATGGGAATCGTGAATGACTCTAAGAGAATCCTAAGAATTTTCACGACTCACCTTGACTTTGATTCCTTGTCGTAGTGGAGACGTGTCTTACGGACACTGTTATAGCGTGCATCATGTATAGATTGATGGTATTCACGTAAACGTGACAGCGTCCATCTTGGATGATTTGTTTCTCTTTCTCTTTTTTCATGCAAGGGAGACGATGGCTGTAACGCAGTGCATCCAGAACGTGATGGGGGGCTGTAATAGATGCCGACAATAAGTGATTCTTTGATGATGCCGATAATCAAGATTCTTTTTTCGTTTCTCATAATCGGAATATATCACAGACTCGTATATAGTTGTTATAAGCAGGTAATAATTTGTATGTCTAAGGATTTCATGAAGACGAAATATCCACTGTATAAATACCACCACTATTAATGTTGCTAACCAAAAATCCGTCAATTTACAGCTTAGATTCGCTCGGACGATTAACGGTTACTCGCTAATCACGAGTCGATTTCCGATTCGATACGAGCCAATTCGCCGAATTCGCCGTGGCTCGATGGCGGACTTACTTTTTCGTCAATTTATACGGAATTACCTTCACGACTCTCTTTTATTCGCCACAACGTACAGTTGTGGCTTACATCGATTTTTCAAAGTCAAAGTTACGACCGTACATGTATCTACATAAAATTCCAAATTTTTTCCAAATGAAAAAATCCAAATACCATACTGACGTTAATAGAACAGACATAAATCATTCTTGATGAATTTGCTTGCAAAATAGTGTTTCACCAACTAAATCACAAAAGATTTGTTAAATCTGACTAGCTCCATTTAACTGAGTAATGTCGTATAGATAGTACGATTAGTTCAATGGCCCTTGAAATTCTGAGATAAGTTATTACAATGCTCTGACATTTACAAAGTTAATAAAGATCATGACAGCCATGACGATTCGTTATTATATTCCGTATACTCTTGAGACTTATTTATTTAATGCGTCCTGGTTACGTGATGCGCACTCGTTACGGAACGTTACGTGCGGCATTTGCGTATTCCTTACTCTGGCATCGACACTAGAGATTGCCCCTTGCGTTTTATTTTCAACACCCAATAAAACTTAATTAATTCGTAGAATCCATCAGGTTGTTTTACAATCACAATTTAGACAGTGATACGTATTGCACTGAGATCTTAATTCATGTTGCTCAATGCACCGCCAGCTCATTTTGCTGCGGTGGGAATAGTACAAAATTGAGATCAAGAATTTCACATGCGACGGCTAAAGCCGCTAACACAATCAGCAGTACGAGTACCGAATTCAAATTTGCATTTGATAAATACAAATTGATTGATATGAACACTTGTACAAATATCAACAAAGTATACGGTAGGAATATAATTATCTAATAAGCACAATCTCAAGGCTACCGAGATAATGCTACCAGTATTAGGGCGAGTACTCACTGCTGGTTATTTTGTTCTTCTATCTCGTGCAAGCAAATTATTCTGCGTTGATAATCCGGAACATACTTCTGGGTAGTTGTAGATGAAAATAGTACTTTTCGAAGTAACGTTTACTACTGGAAATATTACATAGTAACATTACGTTAATGGCAAGAGACACTGTTACTCTAGATTAACGAGATTGATTGAGTTAGCAAGCAATCGCGCCATCTTGTTTGTTTACTATCGTTGATAATATGCATGTAAATATGTATGTATATGGTTACTGATCATCAGGATTCACGAGACACCTTCTGGCGTTTGCCAATTTTAAAAAGACCTCGAATTCTCGACGTATTTTTGTCTTGTCACTTAAGATAGCTACACGTGCTGGTTATAATTTTATCAACTTGTGCTTTATTCTTCGATAAGGCTTTGAGCATATTTAAGTATCGACTGTCAGTGCAGCAGAGTGTAACGTCGCTGCGTTGTTTGTCGATTTACGTAATTAATGGCACTTACAACGTTCTAACCTTAACCTTACGAAGATGGACTGGGTTGTCTCGTATGCAGACTGTTAAACCAGTTTGTGGAACTGCAAATGGATTGTTCGAAGTATGTATAAACTTTTCTTGCTCCTTTTTTTTTATCTGTCTCGCTCTTATTCTGCCTGTCAAGAACCAAAGTAAACATGCTGACGCATAAGAGAAGATGATCTCGCACTTTATTTATCGAAGAATTTTTACTTTTAAACAGGTCACTATTCTGAATATTATGGTTGCCTATAAACTTATCAGAACACACCATGTACTAATAGTACTAAAATACGAATCAGAAATAATGTAACCTACGTTTCAGCAGGGATGAACACGGGTAGTTCTGAAAGGCAGCGAAACCGGTAAAATGAGTGAGGCCGATAGGTTTTCCATGCAGCCAATCAGATGCGTCGTCTTGGCCATCTTGGATTTCTATGAAGCCCAAGCCCTAGGGGAATTTTCGTAAAAAATGTAGTAGTATTTTTTACATTGTTTTTCTCACTGCGATCTGCTCGACTCTGAAACGATTGAAAATAACGAATAACGATATTTCAAATGTTTCTATATAGGCGGAATAATGGCTTATGTTTTTTTAATTCTGAAATACATTCAACATCATAGTACGTATACAATCTAATCGCTTAGAGCGTAAGTTCTGCAAGGCTGTATGTTGACTTCAACGCAACGTGGATATATCTTGCCACGCTTGTGTTTATCCCACGTCACTTTGGCGCACGTGTGAGTCTTGTACGTACGCATCTTTCCTCTAGTCAAGTGAGCTAGGTTGTTTGCAGAAGCAGCACCAACCTACTGTCCCAATTTAGCCACTTAATTACACATCCATGAGAGACTATAAGATGTAATGAGTTATTATCAGTCAGTAGAACAATTCAGTAAATACCCCTCCAACACATTTCTAAATATTTGACTAAGTAAAATAGAATAAAGAAAACTGCTATTACTACAAATCATTAAAGCAACAGGTATAAAAGCTACATATACACCTACAGCTATTACAGTACATATTCGTGAAAAATTACGAAGATGCTGGTGGAAAATCATTTTTTTTGTTTTATCATAAACTTTTTTTTAATCTTTTCGTATAATGAAACAGTTTTTAATTTTTTGCTCAAATCAATTTTGATAACAGATTTTCTTTAAAGCTTCCGTCACCAATGCGATATTACCGCTGTGTCCGAGACAATGTAGATTAAATCCAAATGCTAGGCAAATAGTCATTTGTCGATGGGTTTAAGCATCGAGCGGGAGACGGCTTTGTGGTGGGGCTGTCGTAAGTATCGAGGAGGGGTGTGGAGCGGCAATATATGAACGCGAAACCTGCGGCTCGCGCACTCAATAGCCCATACCAACAGACAAAGTCAAAAGCCACGCTCTCCGGGTCTTAACTTCTTTTTCCACTGGCTTCCTCGCAACACGATCGCGTGTTCACGTCTGATTCCATAAAGCGTACGCCATCTTTGCATTACGAATTTTGTACAGATTTCTTATCGTAATCACAAATCAGTCAGTGAAAGAAGCGTGCGAAATCGTTGCGCACCACTACGTCAACAATCATAAGCAGGAGTCTCAGAACGCAAAACCAAATCGGAATAAATAACGAATAATGAGCAAATCAATGCAAGGTGAGTCGTTTTTTTTTTATTAATTTTTGCATATTTTTAATCGTACCTTAACCTCTAACGTGGTCGCACATGTCAATGTTGAATATTAGAAAATTTTCTGTGAATAATCGAAAGATTAAGAATTTTTAGTGGATACACAAATAATGATGACTTAATCACGGATATCAATTTTGACTTTAGCTCGATGAATTAAAAAAAAAATTGATTTTATCATATTTGATTTTGCCGCCGGTGAATAGCTTAGAATCGAATGCGAAAGACACGGCTCCGGGGTAAACGGTCGCCTCTTGCTTGCGTTAAAACCACACTTAGTCGCATAATACGAAAATTAGAAAGGACTTATTGACGGTGTCTCGTTACACTCGTGTTTTTCCGGTAGCCAGTGAGAAATTGTCAAGCGTAATATTTCGAGTGATTGCTATTTCCACGGGCTAACCTACAAAGTCCTGTAAAAATCAAGTGAGTGAAATAGTTTATATCGAGAACTAACGACTACGATCGAATATCAGAATATGGTTATCTAACATTTCACTAGACGTCCGTATACATACATTTCTTTTATCAGGAATCAGTGACGTTAGACATATTTGATATCGTGCGTTTAGCCGTAAATTATAATTCATCTGAAATCCGGAATGTAAGGTAAATAAAGATATAACAAATTGATATATTCTTTCCTCCTCGGATCAGTCATTAAATAATAATAAAGTAGCCACCACGTAGATTTTGAACAACTTTGAGATTATCATTAAGTTTAAATAAAATAAAAAAAAAAAGCTTATCATTGCAACCAATAAAATGCCAAGTTGTCCAATTAAGACAGTGAGAAATAAAAGTATTTGATTCTGTGTCACTCTGACGCTGTAAGAATTCTTTTAGAAAGAAATAGAACTTATCGATGGTAAGAGAGAAAGGAAATTGGGAGCGGTCCCAGTGAAAAATAATCGTATATAACAGAACGATGAAAACATGTTTTCACGCATAGCCTATCGGTTCATATATTTTTTGTAATTTTCCTAAAACTCTTGTTACTCCACTGCACGCCATCGATTATTTGTCATTACTTACCAGACATATTATGTTTGACAGTAGCTTCTAGTCGAGTCCTCTAATTGTCTAATAGTAGAAAATTAGTAAGACCATACTAACGACTGGCGTTATCTTTCTATGTATCTACTATGGTACATACGATCGATTTACGTACCTGGAAATACTTAGAAGATTCCTGAAACATATAAGTGCATTAAAAAAGAAAACATACGAAAGGGTAATTGTTCCACGACTGCCAATCTAATTAAGTCCCCCAGAGCTGACATATTATTTGTTAATCGACTGCACGAGCCCGTCAACCATAATATGTTCCGTAATCCCGCGTATAAGTTACTGGTAAATGAATCCGTCATGAAATATCGATTATGTTCGAAGGAGTGATCTGCTTATCGCGTCAAGTCATTTCAATCCATCATAGATATATGATCATCCTCTACAACGATAAAGTGGCATTCATTGTAGTTTACGGCTACTAACGACTATTTAATCGTTACGACAGGGAATTATAATTACGTGATGAATTTCGACGCATCTATAAAGATATCTTTCTTCTAGGCGTGAACGATCTCTGTTTGCATGATTTTTCTAATCATTTTTTTTCTCAGGTGCCAAAGCGTTCGTGGGCGTTGACGAGGTGACGAAGATCGAATTTATGATTCCTCTCTTCGCCGAAGTACTGGGAACTTGCTTGCTCGTCTTCATAGGCTGTGCATCCTGTAACAATTGGAATGTCGAGCCGACAGTCCCGCAAATTGCCCTCACTTTCGGTCTCACCATTGCCAGCTTGGCGTATGTAAGTTATTCATGATTATCTTTACATAAAATTTCGAGGTTACGATGCACGCACGCATTATGGTTTCAAAAATTATTTTTAAGAGTCTTTAAAACGATCTTGCCTATGCTTGGTATTCTTTTGTAGTTTTTGGTAGAATCAGTTTCTGGTTTTTTTTTTATCCTCCTTCCTTCCTCTCTCTCTACATCTCTGTCAGTTAGCTCTCCTCCTACAAGGTGGAACGATCAATTTTGCATCTCGTATAATTATACGAGCCGCTCGGTCGTTACACGCAAGTTTTTCTGTCTCCATGTGCACTTAATTTCCAGAAAGACGGCTACTCTGATGTAAATTGTTAATTAGTTTTTTTTTTCACATATTTTTTATAACCTGCACGCACGCTGTGAATCTCGCAGTCATAGTGGATGCCCATGGGACTCTATCTGTGCCCAACCTGTCGGCGAGTGGCGAGCGGAAAGAGGAGAGGATTTGACTGCCAAAACACTGGCGAGCATACATGTGCCGGGCCCGTCGTGACGCGTGACGTTGTTAATGGAAGGCCTATGGTCAATACCAGTGGGTTGAGGCATAGAAAGATGCGGGGAATGGTCCAGAGAACGAGAGAGAGAGAGAGAGAGAGAGAGAGAGAGAAACGAAGAGTAATAAGGTTGAGAGGGTAGGAGGAGAGGGAGGTTCCATTCACCAGAGATCCAAACTTCACCGATTCTCGGAGATCTCGTATGTTTGAGAAATTTCTCTGCGGTGAGCTCCAAACCGGCGGAGATCTATCAATCGATCGGTTATACGTGATCGGATCTCGTGTCTTTGCTCTCTTACGGCCAATCAGATCAATTGAACCTGACTATAACATGGTTAGATAATAGCGCACCTGTCGTCTCTCTCGTGTTATTAGAGACCGCGCGCGAAATTCGATAGACGTCTCGCCGAAATCTGGCCAATCGTATAATCAATTCCGGGAGTGCTGAGAGAAAAACCAATAACCGAAGCTAACGACCAGACCAATGGTACCCAGAACACTATCGCTTACTACATCTCGGTCAAATAGTTATTGCGACATAAGCCGCCTGTCGGTCTCTCACAATCGGCAATGTGCGGAGGGGACTGAGGAATACGAGAGGAGCGTAGGAGAGAGAGAGAGAAACAATACGAGAGAGTACACATGGACCAAAAGAAGGAAAGAGACGAAAAATAGATTACGAGTACCGAGAGGGCTGTGGGTGGCGAGAGTGGCGTTAAGGGTGGGGGGGACTACTGGTCAAGTCTATATGTATATCGACTGAAGATAGGATCATCCTCACGAAATTCATCCTTTCGAATCGGTATCTGACCTCGACTTACTAATATTTATTATTATCACGTGTAGGACTCAACTCCGAACTCATACGATTTAAATGGGTTACATAGTCAATATCGTGAGTGAGCTAATAGATCAAATGCGAGAGATGGGTCGGAGGTTGACCAACGGCATGCGTTTAAACGTCACCAAAGATTCTCTGTTCTTGGTATATTATATTATTTTAATTTAGCACCGTTTATCTTGGCTCCTAAGACTATGCTACTTACTCTTCTGGACCATGTCCGTGAGCGGATGAGTAATGCTCGGAGATGTCGAGTCCCGACGGTGCGACCTATACGCGGTTAGTTAATCGGTTAGTTAAGGTAGCCAGTGTAGCTGGCAGCAAGCTGGTAGGGTAAATAAGGCCGCGGATTCGCCCAAGGGGGTCTAACTGTCGGGATGGTGCAATTCTGCCCTGAAGGCTCTGACAACCTACTCGTTCTCTCGCCTTCTCTCCTTCCCTACCCAGAACTCCGTGCGATCGTACTCTTTAACTCTGACTCTGACTCTGATTCTGACTTGGGACCCCTGCACTTCCCCTGTCTCACCCTGGCCTGGTACATGTCGTCCACGTACACGTGCCACGTATTGATATATATATATATATATATATACCCGTTAAATCGTATGGGCCTTATCCTAACCTCTCACAATTAGTTCATGTTTTCGTATGTGGTTTACATGTTTATTGACTGTTTACCTGCAATTAGTATTGATACTGTAGCTTTAGGTACGTTTTATTAGTAGACGGGCCCAGACTCGTAAGTCCCATTGTCGATTCCAGAACGGACTGGGTCACGCTCGACTTTCGGGGACCGGATCCTTTGCTGATTCAGCATTGTGACAACAGGCAGGACTTCTTTGCCTTGTCGCGCCTCGTATTTCTTACCTGGGATTATGTTGCGGCATGGACACTCAAATGCCCTGGCAAGTTCTCGTCTACTTTGGGACCGTTAATCTTGGGTCTATAGAGGAGAACGATATGTTATGTTACATGACGTTTATAATATATAGGGTATTACGGGGGCTGATAGTCGTTCCGAGGGTATTCAATAGGATATGAATAGGATTGTGCAACGAGAACGCACGTTGCTTAAAGGACTTCTTTACCCGCGGGCTGAGAATGCTCTGACCTCGCTAATTTGGCTAATGTTTGTTTTCTCTCGCTCTTTGGTAAATTAATGTACTGTTCCATCCAAATCGGGTGACATTTGAATATTTAATAATTTCTCGAAATTAACTTTTTTTTTTATTCAGTTCATTTCCTGTGGTGATTTAGGTGATTTAGGGTATGTTCTACGTGTGTTGCGGTACCTTCTATTTACCATAAATGGCGCAGGGGACCTGATTTTTGCTAGCTATGCGTATGAAGCATGGGAGAATCTCAGAGGGAGTCAACTTTGGCGAGGACACCTTGAAGAATATTAGAGTCATCCCGTGCGGGGCCCGGAGGCCCCGTGAGACCGCTCCCTCGACCGATATTGTGCAATTCGAGCAACGCGAAAGATCATTGTCCTGCCCTATACGCCGTGCAACTCGTACCTCGTATGCCATATAGGAGGCCCCTTGTGAGCCTCATGCCCCACGCCCCATTACCGCATTAACCATTCATACACACGAGCGAATGAGCGAGCGAGCCAGTGAGCGAATACTTTGAGAGGATAGACGTGTGAGGACTGATGACTGGGGGCTGTGGGTCGTAGGGCCCCGCGGGCACAGAACTGCGATAATGCCGAGGTATTAGTACAGTGCCCCCAGAATGTTCGTATAGATAAAGACGACGAAAATTGATATGGGCCTTATTTTTCGAGTGATTTATAGCCGTGCGCTGGTGTTCTTTTTTTATGCTCAGGAAGTGATCGCATTATTAGAATTGGCAACATCCGTCTTTTTTTTTCAAATATAATAAACGGGTCCAGACCCATTGAGCTTTCAGGCCCCGGCGGAACCTCCATAGAGCACGCGCGTATCCTGACGATGTCTATAGAGAAAAGAGAAAAAAATTACGCAATAGCCGCCAACTCGACGCATGCGTGCTGATCGCCCGGGGCCCGAGGGGACCTTGCCAGTTGGCGGTGCTCATGAGAACTGGGCCGCCGGGCCCCGCGAACCCTCGCTCTGGGGGCCCAGCCGAACACTGTACTTGCGAGTAGACGAGACGCACCCGAAAATACGAGCAGCGTACGGTCTGTCGGGTCCAAAGTTTTTTGTACCGCAGACTTTTACGCCTCTAATCGTGGGGCCCATTAATAGACACCGTCTCGTTCGTGTCTGTCGACTAACGAGGGCCTCAATGAATGACAATACCCTTTTTTATAATACATTCTCTGTCTCTCACTTGCATCTCGAGAATTACTCTGACGTGTATGTATAAACTCTAGCGATAGTAAAACAAAAGAAAACAAAATATTATGCATTGTTATTACACGTGTCTGCACTATTTTCGTTGCAGCTCTTGGGGCCCATTTCCGGATGCCACATAAATCCTGCGGTAACGCTGGGCCTACTCGTTACCGGTAACTGCACTCTTCTCAAGGGACTCTTTTACATTATCTGCCAGTGCTGCGGGGCCGTGTGCGGCGCTGCGCTATTGAAGGTACGTAGATTATAGAAATGGGCCCCGTCGAACATCGACATACGTTTATTAATCATGCGCAGGTAGAAGTATCAAAAGTACAGTTAATTAAAGTCTCCTCGAGCAAGGTCAAGGTGATCTGTTCTTCGCACGTTCCGACCAGTATCCGATATCCATTACATCAGAACTGGTCAACTGACCCAGGCAGCACATACGCGCACGCGATTCACATGTGTAATTTACACACGTGTTGGATACGTAGGTGCTCGGTGTCATCCTCCAATAAAAGCAATCTGTCGATACGTCGCCTCTGGCGGTATTACTAGCGATCCATTATCCTTCTGACTCTCCTTCACATTCCACCCCCCCCCTTCTCTTTTTTCTTTTATTATCATTTCCCATCAGTACCACTCTGCCTGCTGAACCGCTCCATGCGCTGAACTCCTCCTATCATCGTGGCATCTTCCAATTAAAGAAACCGTCCATCAATTCGCCAAGCAATATTGGCTACAATGGCAGCTCATCTTCTATCTCTCGCGTCCTTTCACCGATAAGAGAGAAAGAAAAATGTTCAGCCAGATGGTAAAGTAGTTGCATTATTATTTGTCAAGGTGATCCTGCCATCGACTCCCACAGTCAGCACCAGTGTTGGTAACACTGCACTGGGCACGAATATAACAGTGGGACAAGGAGTCCTGGTAGAAGCCATCATCACTTTCCTCCTGGTCCTCGTTGTGCACTCGGTGACGGATTCGAGACGACCCGAAATGAAGAACATGGCTGCTCTGGCTATCGGACTTACTATTACCGCTGCTCATCTTGCCTGTGTACCGGTTACCGGGAGCAGCATGAATCCGGCCCGATCATTGGGGCCTGCTGTTATCTTTGGCGTCTGGGAGGATCATTGGGTTTACTGGATCGGACCCATCCTCGGGGGTCTTGTCGCTGGTGCTATCTACAGGATAGTTTTCTGGTCGAAGATCAAAGACGACGATGAGGCCTCGTACGATTTCTAGATTACTTAGGACCCCATTGCTCTCCTGGTTTTATTGTACATTATATTATAGGAGCAAGATACCGACGGACGGGCCGTGTTTCTTTTTTTTTTTCGAATTCTCTATAACGAGATGCGAGGCTCGACACGAATCTGGTTTTGTTCTATTTTTATCCGCTATTTCTTTTTTTTTTAATTCCTTTTTTGTCTCTTTTTTACGAAATTTATTGCTCTGTAGCGGAGAGGATGAAACCTTTTTCGATATTTTTTTTACGGTCGCTTAGCGCTCATTCGGTACGGCACAATGATATTAACAATAATAACAACAGTTTTCGCGCGGACGCCATAATTTTTTCGTATTATTTCGGCTTTAGAATTTAGATATCCAAAGTGGAGAGAACCAAAGATTCGTTAGAGTGTATTTAAGGTGTTGCGGGATACATTGATAAGCGCTATCGATCTTACTCGATATATCGAATTGCAAAAAAATGACAAAGACAAAGTAATTATACATGAAATCTGATTCGAAGCAGACAGACTATTTTCTTATTCCAAATGACAAAATTCTTTCGTGTCGAGCCTCGTTTAGTCAATGATGGATTTCAATAATGTATTTTCAAAAGACAAAAACGCATTAATTTAATTCACGTGTTACGAATCGTTTTAGGTTTTAATGGGAATCAGAGACGTTATTGCATCTCCACGATGACCACGACGCGTTGTCACAAAAAATCATTCAGAACGAAAAAGAAAAGCACGGCGGGACATGTGACCTACATTAATTACGTCTCATCCAACATGCCTCGTATTAATCTCATCAAATGGTCATGAGGATCACCCTTTCGACACTAATAATAAATCATATACATTATTACCTTCCTTAACTGCTCTTATTCTGCCTCTTCTTCAGACACACGAAGTTCCCGCTTCTCCATTCCCTGAATTCCTAGAGGCTATTTTTTTACTCTACATATCCAATCTCAATTGCGACCTATTTCGGCGTGAAATTTTTATTATTTACAATACACCGAACTCTGTGCGACGTTGTTGAGATGTTCTTTAGGGACGAGATAGTGAACAATGTAAAGTAAAAAAAAAAAAAAAATATTGAAGAAGCAACTTACCAGCAGATATTACTTTAAAAGCTATAAGAGATAAATTGTATCGCTTCTCGTCCGAGAATTGTCTCAATGTATACTTGTATACTTGTATCTATGTATCATATAAGAAGTTGTATATATTGTACTTAAATTAGTGGTAAACCGTGTCACATATTGGGCCCTAGGGGCCCCGCGTAACAGATGACATTCAACATTACACTACGTGCCTGTGTGTTAATAAAACCTTAATTGAAAACTATTGGGTCTCCGGGCATTATCATTGAACCCACACGAGGAGTTAATATGTATATCGACAGGGCGTCACGACGTCGCGACGTCGTCATCCACTGGTACAGTTCTTGGGATTTTCTCTCTAACGGCGCCATTGTGTACTGCGAGACGCTTGAAATAGATGCTCAGAAATAGTTTGGGAGCGCAGTTGGTAATTTGGAAGATGCCATTGGCGTCCCGGCGCGGACGCCATGTCAAAGGAGTCTTGATACGCCGACGTCGGAAGGAGATCAGTGACTTGAGGGATTCGCCGGTTCGAGAAACGCGATTAAGGCCAAGTGATTGCTGCTCTTTCAATTTTGATTCTCTCCTTTCGGCGCCGCGACGTCGTTATGTAACGGGACGTTGCTACTAGTGCTCGAAGCTCGTGACCGGTTCTCCAGTTTTTTTCCCTCAAAGCGAAGCCAGGCGAAAAAAGGAAGGAAGCAACGAACAATAAGATATCGACGATCTTTCCGAGTCTACGCTCACTAACGATGCTCGATAACGACGTCGACGTCGAGGACGGCGAGTTCTTTCGCGCTAACTTACTCGAGGTACGTCGTGCCGTTGGTCTTCAAGACTTTAAGAAATTTTCTGCTCTGACTAACAATGGCGAACGAGTTGCTTTTCTTCTTGGATACCCAGAAGCGCGCGCTCTGCCTATTGAGGTGGAGAAGGTCGGCAGTAAAGATGCTGAAAAGACACTGAAGCTCAAAGATGTTGGAAACAAGCTCTTTGGACGTGGCGAATTTACGAAGGCACTGGAGATTTATTCCAATGCGGTTTTACTGGCTACTCGAAATGGTAGATCTGTGATAAATCATTTATAGAAGTACATTTAGTCTATCTGTATGGAGCCTGATTATGATTATCAATTTCACAGAACTTGGTGTTATCCTGGCTAATCGATCGGCAGCTCTTTATCATCTGCAACGTTACGAACTGGCCTTGTCCGACGTTGACGAAGCTGTCAAGATAGGCTACCCAGTTGAGTTGGTCTACAAATTGGAAGAACGTAGAGCCAGATGTCTTCTGGCATTGAAGAGACATTCCAACGCTGTTAAGGCCTTTAGAAGTGCTTTGAAGTCTCTGGACAATGCCAAGATCCCATTGCAGAAGAAGCAGAAGGTCGAGTCTGATATAAGGATGATGCTTGCTGTTATGGATAAGGGTAGACAATTAAATGCAGGTCTAGAGAACCTGTCGATCAACGAGACGAATGAGGATAAAAAGCTGCCAAAAATTCCTGATCGGAATCCTGTGTATCCAGCGTGCAGCAATTCCGTAGAGATAAGGGATGCCGGGGGTGCCGTTGGTCGGCACGCTGTAGCCTCTAAGGATATCTTACCTGGTGACATTCTCGTGGTAGAAAAACCTCACAGTGCGGTACTATTATCTGAATATAGGTAAAAAAAAAAGAAGTGTATTTAAAGATATTTAAGTATTTTAACATTCTTATATAAATTCAATTTCACTTAAATTATTTTCCAGGCTCAGTCATTGTCAGCTATGCTTCTCAAGGATCGTGGCTCCTATTCCAGCTGCATGTTACGCCTGCAGCTGCATCGCTTATTGCAGTCCACGTTGTCGCGATGCAGACGCGGAGGCGCATCTAATTGAATGTAACATTCTGACCACCCTGTGGCAATCGAATGCTTCGGTCACTTGTCTATTGGCCCTGAAAGCAGTGACTCAGAGGCCTTTCGCTGATCTTCTTAAGCTCCAGGAACATCTCAAAGTTAATGCGGGAAAGAGTAACGAGATCACCAAGAGTCATCCTTATAGGGGAGATCATTACGAAGCCTTTCACGGTTTAGGTAATCTTCACTAAATTAGGAAATTGCGTGGGTACCTCCTGATCATTATGAGTAAAGCACTATAAAATCTTTCAGTGACGCATGAGGATGAGAGGACGGCCGACGACCTCTTCCACAGGGCACACATGGCTGCTTGGTTACTCAGGGTTCTCAAGCGCACTTCCTACTTGCCGAAAGACGTTATCACCCCTGACGATGCTCAGCATAAATTATCTGAAATTGAAATTTTCATTGGAGGTCTTCTACTGCATAATATTCAACTTCTACAATTTAACGCGCACGAGGTTTGATTTTAATTATTCTTACCCATGGAATGAAGCTGAAGATACTTTTTTTTTTTAAATAGATTTCAGAATTACAGAGGCCAAAGTTCGAGAGGACTTTAGCCAATGCTAAAAGTATCTTTATAGGCGGAGGTGTCTATCCCACTGTAGCACTTTTCAATCACTCCTGCAATCCCGGTGTCATTCGGTAATTAATCATCATTCTTCTTCGTGAAGTCAATTGTGTCGCCTCCTTGTGGATAATTCATAAACTACAACTGTCAGGTATTTCGTGGGTACAACAATGATCATCCGTGCTGTGAGGACGATAATGTCGGGTGAGGAAATATGCGAGAATTACGGCCCGATTTTTACGACCACTCCGGAAAAGGAAAGAAAGAGAAAACTGCGATTGCAATACTGGTTCGATTGCGCCTGTGAAGCATGTACCGAACAATGGCCTCTTCTTAACGAAATAGATCCAAGAATTCTCAGGTATCTCTCATTACGGACAGTCATTATACAAGTTGGAATATCGAATAACGTGGAATATTTCTTTTTTAGGTTTAAGTGTGATACCGGTCGAGTTTGTGGTAACATCCTACCAGTAAGGACCGATTCAAATGAGTTCATGATCAACTGCTCTAAATGTACAAAAAGTACTAATATATTGAAGGGTCTAAAGGCCTTGCAAGATACTGACGCCCTCTTTAAAATAGCTTCAAGAAATCTCGAAGAGGGTAAACACGATCAAGCTCTTAAAGCGTATCTTGAAATTTTGAAACTTCTCGATGAAAATCTGGCACTTCCTATTCGTGACTATCATCTGTGTCAACAAGGCGTCAGACTGTGCTTGCTAACTATGGGTAACACTGCTACGGTTTAAGACATTAGGATAATGACGAATAAATAAAAGTAGATGTGAGATACGATACGTTACAGGTTTATTTTTAAATCTTAAATTCGTAAGAGTACAAAATAATTAATACAACGTAAAACAACTGCGTTTGCTTCTTTTGTTTTTTGTGTTGTTGCCTTCTTCAAACATTAATCACGTATCTAATTGTCCAATCGACCGGTCCTCTTCTTCGAGACCGATCGAACTGTCTTATACCGATGTGCCTAAATAAATTTTATATAATATAATGTGCATCCGTCAATGCAATTGATAAGTTTTCTCATACGCTTAGAACAGTTTTCACTGCTTTCTCTGTGTCTACAATAATAGATTTTTCTGTATCCGTATACGTGGAACGTGTTTATATATCGTATTATGTCGTGAGATGTGTTTTCCTGTGTTATGCGTGTAAAGATGTTTAACTCAGTGCTACAGCGTCAGTTTTATCCACATATGAATTGATTCGTTTTCTTTTTATTATTTCTGTCCTTCGTTTTTTTTGAATCGTGTACGTGATATTCAGTTTATATACAAATAAAACAGCTTTTCTTTCATTTTTTTTCTTCCATCCGGCACTTTAAGTCCGTCCATTTTCTCGAACACTCTTAGCACCTAACTGTAATTAAATAGAGAACAAACACGCTTTGAAATTATAGAAATTCGTCGCACTAAGTACTGATTCTAATTTATAACGTTATAGTCAATTTTGAGCTATGGATAGAAAAGAACTTCAAAAGAATCATCGTGCTTTAGGAATATATTTCATTAGTGTTACTTGATGCAATTAATGAACAAAGACGCGTAGTTATCACACTAACAAAACAAAAAAAGGGAATGACCGATTGTCAAAGGATATCTGTTATGTACAAGTAAACATTAAAATGCAAAATCACGAGACTCGAATTACTTAAGACTTTTTAGCTTCTCAATTTTTTTTTTTAAATTTAATCTCGGTCGTGCTTGTGTCACGGGAAAGTTGAGTGCAATTCAGTACCGTCTGTCGCGCGAGTCCGAACGGGAACGACGGTTTCGGCTGCGGCTACGAGACGGGGACCTTCTGCGAGGACTGCGAGAGCGTGATCTAAAAATTCCAGAGAAAGACACATATTATTTCCATTTCAGAATGAAACACGGGTCTTGTAAAGCATCGCTCTATTGCGTTTCGTACTCAATCATCGCTATAGATCATGAAACACTTGAATAGAGAAATTGACTTCAATAATCTACACACTAGGCGAATGTGCCACAATTAGCAGGAAGAGTATACAAGTATAATGAGCGATTGATAAAATGAAAAACGCAACAGGGCAAAGCGTTAAGAACACATATAGGTATGAAAATCATCGCAAGACAATTGAATCGAATTAGGACATGACTAATTCCTATTTGCCTAAGGGGATGACAAAAACTAGTTAGACACGTTAATCGATAATTAAGACAAAATGACATCTCACCAACAATGGTAAACCAAAGGAAAAAAAAAAAAAAAAAAAAAAAAAAAAAAAAAAAAAAAAAAAAGAAAAAAAGTATATAAGATTAATTTAGTAGTTAAAACAAATTTATATAAAATAATTGTTATAATTCGTCAGTGATACGGCCCAATGAATACTTCAAGTCTCAATAATAACATTGTTATGAGCATTCTGTAAACTCTGAAGAAAATGCAGTTAACGATTACACAAAAGATCCGTTCTAAATGAAAACTTAATTTCATTGGCCCGATGGACACTGACGGCTGTTGGAAAAAGATAATAAAAAATCTTTGAAAATCGGTGAAATACCAGACAACTGTGAACATGTGGTGGTTGTGATGGTAGTTGGTTGGGTTGTGGTGGGATGGTGTGTAGGTCGTGATCATTTTGCTTTGCTCGATCGAAGAGAAGTGGCGGTCGCATTGTCAGCTAAGTTAAACGTGATGGTGGACGAGTAGTAGTAGGTGGTAGTAGTAGAAGTAGCAGTAGTAGTAGTAGCAGTAGTAGTAGAAGTTGGGACGGGCGCACGGACTGACGGACGGACGAACGCGCCGATTTGTTTTTGACAGAAGTATTCGTTCGTATCGCGTTGACTCTGTTCGGTGGGTTCACGATGCTCCTAGTAGCTAGAGGTGAAGAAGGTAGCCTGAAGAAGTCATTTTGTAGGGGAACAGACGGACTGACGGACAGCTACGGACTGTCAACTGACGGACGACTTGGCTCCTACCGGTGACTGGTGGTGACTGATGGTGACTGGTTGGGAGGTTAGTGGGCAGGCAGGCAATTTTTTTTGTTCGGTTTTGATTGCTAGACTTTTTTTTCACGGTGGCTGTAGTAGTAGTAGTAGCAGTAGTAGTAGTAGTAGTAGTGGCGGGGAGATGAGCAGAGCTAGGAGCTGACGCTGGTAGAATCTGCAAACGTCAGTTTTACCAATATAACCATTATCGTTATCATACTCCTTGCCACTATTCGTTATTATAAAAATTTTCTTTTTTGCAATTTTCAATTATCTCTATTTTTCAAATCAAATTATTTTTACTTATTTTTAATATCTCTACATTGCTTATTCTTAGTTTTACATAAAATTTGGATTCCTATTTGTACTGCTCCACTCTAAGATTACTGATCAACAATTTTTGATTTAGTTTACAAATATCACTGCCTTTCACCAAAGTATCATATAACGTGCCTGTATAATCGTGCCACTGCCATTACCAATTTTACAGTTGATAGTATATAACGTCTCTCATCTCTCTGACAAACAGGTAAACATCTTGATGCATAGATCACGTTGAGAATATAAGAAACAGATAGAGAGAGAGAGAGTGAGAGAAAGAGAAAGAGAGAGAGAGAGAGGAGTCTCATGTAAGAGTAACAATTAGAATTTGAATGAGACTTGTATAACCTCGCTAATAACATAATGCTAATTCTACTACGTAAGACATTCTCTCTATGTAAATCACAAAGACGTTCACCAGACACCATTATTTCTTCACTTTTTCACTGTTATTATCGTGACCGTTGCATCTCCCGCAAATAAATTGTGTGCGAATATTCATAAATTATCGACATTCACGAAATAACACGTGATAATAAGAAGAATGATACAGTTACTGATAAAAAATAAATAAGATATAATTCCCACGTTAACTAATACTAAACCACTCTTCCGCGTATCGTCAATCACCATCTTCGCCTTTATCATTCAATGAAAACAAAAACTGCGTTCCGCGATTACAACGATTACACTTTATGATAATTCGTGAGACGCTTTCGTGATACTTCGTGCAAAGTTTGCAATGATCAAAATACAAGCGGTACGTAGGTATACCTACTTGGATTAAAGAGAATTCCGCGATGCAATGGCCCTGAAAAATGTACGAAACTACGGGGGGGAGGAATGAAGATAATAAAATGAAGAATTACCTGGAGTATCGGTTAATCGGCGACCTTCGCGGACTCCTTGATCCGGACCTACAAAAAATTAAGAAAAATGTTGTATGTCTCTCCCGTTGATAGTTTAACCAAGCGTCCCGGTATCTCCGAGTATATATGCGATTTGCTTTTGTTCTCTAGGGTGACCTGAAAACTTTGTTAAAGGGACCTGACAGAGGATACCTTACCTGGGGTAGCGACCCAGAGGTCTCCTACGCGGACTGCGCGATCTGGACCTACAAATTTTTCAGAAGACATTGTACGTGAGTTTCTCTTGAACTCTAGAGGTTTTTATAAATTCCATTATCAGATCTAAAGAAATCAAAGAAAATGGGAAAAGAGCGGGCACTAATTCATGTTACTCTCTCTCTCATTCTCGAGAGTGCTATTTCAATGGCAAGCAATCATTCGATCAGGATTCTGCAGTATGCCTAAGTTCATGCAATTCTAATGGTGAATTGTTCTTATTGACTAATAACCTGTTTTAATTGAGATATTACTGTGTATCGGAATCTTTGGCTCTCTCATAATTCTCTCGTTATGCACTATATCTTGAGTTTCCAGGTTTAACCTGATCACTAAGTATTAGTGTATATAACAGAAAAGTACTGTCCAGAAGAGCAATGAGTTCCTCCGAAGACAGTGGAACGAAAGCACATATTATAGATCTATCTGTATTACTAAAAAGATACAGTGAGTGAATATTTCATGAACCCTGTGCACCCTTCCTTGACACTCTTAGTCACAGCTTCGCTGTATACCTACTTGGCAGTGTATATAGCACCCAGCTCCAGCTCTAATGTTGCTGTAAATTGTGGAATATATATAATATAATATCTCACCTAGAGTATCTTGGGCCTGGTCTGCGACCACCACCTCCACGGCGACTTCTTCCAGAGGACATCTCAACCCTGACTCTGGTTCCACAGCAACGTCTGTAAATCAAAAAATAATTCTTCCTCTTGTAGTATTAGTTTTTTTTGTTAACACAGTCAGTTATCTCTAAAGAGTTGTACTTACGTTCCATCAAGTTCTCTTACTGCATCTTCAGCGTCCCTCGAGTCTTCAAACTCCACAAAAGCAAATCCAGGTGGGTTTCTGGCAACCCATACATTTCTCAAGGGACCATATTTGCTGAATGCACTCTCAATTTCATGCTTACTGGCACTACTGCCCAGATTACCGACGTATACTTTGCACGAAAGATCCCACTCACGGTAGCGTGACATTTTGTTCGTTGCTGCGCATAAAACATCAAAAGGTTTATTTAATTTATCGTATTCGGTTCGATGCACCACTTATAAAATGGCTGCAGGAATTTCACAGTAAGTATCCATCCGTTGTAAATTCAATACTGTAGACTCACAATTCGATATAAAGGAAGCCATACCACCCCCTTTGGCGCTATGGGTAAAATGGCGGCGGTGCGTGATGCTTGCACTGAAGGGTTGGAAAGAAAGAAAGAAGGAAAAAATGAAATAACTGTACAATTAATGGGTATTTATGCAACCAAAACTAAGTTCATAAAAACGATCGATATAACTCATTAAGACGATTTAACCGTATAAATACTCGTCAGCCGGTGAAATATCAACAAATTTAAAAAAAAAAATAAAGCAATATTGATGCGTCATATTAAGGAAAATTCTAGAAATGCGGACCTTTCCTTTAATTCTGAAAACATCGTAGCGCTGATTAACGAAACGAACGCAATGGAAATGTCCCATGGTGGTCGGTCAAAGAGTAAATGAAAAATGTTTTCGGCTAGAAGCCTACTTCGAGAGCAAAAGGAAGGGTTCCGCCATTTTGCGGTGGTGATGCGATGCCGTTGTGTGCGGCGAGGCAGGTCCCACGTCGTAAAAACAAATCACGAGGTGATCTAAAAAGGATGCACGGCAGATCCTCGTAGGTTGCGTGGACGTTACAATAGAATTCAGTCGGGTGTGATTCGATGTGTCTCGGTGATGCGATGTCTCGATGTGGTTCCGTAAACATGCAGATAATAAAGGGCGTTGCTAAGAATCCCGCCGATCGAACCGACGCCATGGAAACTTCCACGAATTTTCTTGAATTCCCGCAGCGGCTTTTCGCGTATGGATGATTTCTCGGTGCGATGCATCGAGCGTGGAACTTAGCGAGGATTGGGAGTCTGCTTACGTTGAGTGGATATCGTGTTACCCCTGATGAAAACCTCTTTTCTTCTAGCTGGTTAAACGCACGTCCGTCCCAGTACACTGCACACGTAGAAATGCCACAAAATGGTGGTGGCCGGTGATGGCGCGCACTGCGATCCTCGAGTCTTTTGCGGCCTCCTTTCGGTGCGAACGCGAAACACTAATGGTGCTACGATTTTCTTCCCTTCCCGACTCCCTACAATTTATGATTCAGGAACATATATTTTTATATTTGCAATTTGTAATACGACGAGAGTTATAGAATAATTTTGCAAAATAATTAACTTGATAAATGACTATTTATCAAACATCAATGAGAAATTGGTTTTTTGTACTTTAATACATTGAAATTGATTTATATTAAATACATAATGCATTACAGCTTATGAGATTTTACTTTCGAAAATTATGACAGAAAATTTGTATGTAGGCAAATTGTTTCTGAATCTGGAGTTCTTTTTTAATAAAAGATTTATTTTCTTGTTTAAGAGTGGAGTCTCTTTTGTATAGTATGTTTGAAAATCGATAATTTTAATTTTGGTCACGTGATACCAACATGTACATACTGCAGGTACTGTATATTAAGTGACGTCATAATACCGGCAATGGCGACGTCTCTAATTCAATCAACACAAATCTCATATCATAAATTAATATAGAAATATGGGTCATTTGGTTTTAGAGCAGAAGCCAGACTAAGTTATTTCTGTATTTAAATTTATTATATATATTCCATACAAGGTAGAATAGGATGCACAGTTGCTGATGAAGATGGAAGTAGCATTTAATGTACCAGTCTTTTATAATCAATTTTTTCAAGTTGCACTAACGGTCTTAGCTGTTCTGCAAATATTCTCATGTCTTCAGCAATTGCATCTTGCCCACTAGGTGCAAGAACACTTAGTTCTACTAAATAACTCTGAGAAATAGGTTCAACACTCTCTGGTAGTTTTCCTTGGCCCATTTTAAATATCTTGGAGACGGTAACTTTCATTCTACCTTTACGAAACATATAACCTCGCACAATATATTCAAAGTCCAATCGACAACCTAGTTCTGTTAGAAATTCTACTACAGAATTGCTTGTTGCAATGTCTATACTGCTTCTAACAATTGTAGGTCGTGACTTGTCGCCAAGTTCAGGTTGTCCAATATATCTTAGTTGCCAGGGCATATCCTGATAGTCTAGAGCACGTCTTACTCTTAAAAGAAGTGGTTGTTCTGGTGGAGGCCCTCTGTAAATGTACATATATATTATATCATTTTGGATAAAGTGTACACTTTTTGTATTCTTACCTTCTGATACTGAAACACATTTCATGGTCATGAAATGTTTCAGGACCACTGTCTACATTATCGCAAAGACCACGAAGACGGTGCAGAAGGACTTCTACTGCACTGTCTAAGACAGATCCTTGGAGAAGATACTCCTGATTCGGAATGATGTTGGATTTCAGAGCAGCACTTAAACTGTCCATTGCTGTGCTGATCGGAGCTGCCATAGTTCTGTGTTTGATATCTATAAAAATGTAAAATATATTTTTATGACAGCTGCCATAAATTATTTATTATTATATCTCATATAGAAATTTGAGCAGTTTTAAATAGTACGACTGTCTTAAAATGTTTAAAACAATAAACGCTTGTAATAATATATCATTTATATGACAATACATTCTTCATTAGTTCTAAATGTCTTTCTAATAATGTTTTATCATTCCTTTTATGCAATACTTTTATATTCACAGATAACAGAATATTATGTGCGATCGTATATTCAGATTGTCAGAGAATCCAAACTGATCTGAACAGCCAATTTACAATCTTTTCAGATGCTCGGCTATATCGCCACTTGACAGCAATTGTCAATGTAAATTTCAATCAGGGCTGCATTATGTTCACCTCTTTCCCTTCTTTTGCAATTGGCCACCTCGTCTGATTATGTTTAATTAATTATTATACATATACATTAAATGTTTATGTTCATATTCACGAAGTTTCCCTAAAAGTGAACAGTCACATTAATACGTTGTATAGATTGTGTACAGAGATCAGAAGGGACAGAGATGAGTGGGGAGATGCACAACGCTCCGGTTTTAGGCGATACCAAAAGCATGGCGCTAAATCGTAGCGGCGAGTCCGAGAGTAGGATTTCGTGATCATCGCCTCTGTCGATGTTACAGATTTCGCGTAGCCGCGCGGGTCATGATCATTGTTCCAGCCGATATTGCAGTCAGCGAAAATGAATGGATTGTTCGGTGGTGGGGAAAAAGTTGCCGCCCCTCACAAACCGTTCTTGACAAACAGGCAGGGCAGCAAGGTCTTCAGTCCAACCGAACCCTAAACATTGGTATGGACGTAATGCGCAAACAAATGTGTATATTCAAATAAATTTGAAAGTTATAAAAAATGCATAGAAATATTGGTTTTCACTCTTTACCTTTTATCATGCCGAAAATGAACATTAAAAAATGAATGGCGAAATTCGTTGGGAAATGAAACGACCGAGAACAGTTCAAAGAGAAATTTTGAAATATCATAGATAAATATCTATAATAAATTTAATTTAGTATTACACGAGCATCGTAGCTGAGTCAATAACCTGTCAAGATATAACGCTGCTGGCTGCAAAACCGGAGCGTTGTGCATCTCCCCACTCATCTCTGCCTAAGACCGTAGCGTTGTGCATCTCCCTACTCATCTATATGTAGGTAGCGAGATTGCAACTATTCACCGTTTCACCGTAATTCTGTATCATAAATAATATTGAACGGTCGATGGAAGATGTACGAATGATATGCTTTCATTGAAAACATTCTGTTAAAACCAACCCATTATGTTGTGTCAATCTGTACTTTTTAACTTGAACCCTTAAATGAGATCAATTTCCAAGGTTGATCAGGTAGGAGATTCATATCTATCGATGGATTTTCATGGATTATGAATTCATGGATTATTTTTAAATTATTGAAACAATATAAAATGGAAAAAATTAAATATATTATTCTGAGAAATCTTCATATTTTGCACTGGGTTATATGAATATTATTTGTGACGGCATAGTGTTATGCATCGATTCGGTGGAGTCCCGCAGTTCCGGAAGGAGCTGCAAGCCATACATCGGTGGCAAGAAACCGGAAGTTCGCACTGAGCAACGCTTGCGCACAATGATTCTGTTTTTCTATTACGTTGACATCAGTTATCCATGATGCAGTGCCTGTAGTAACGTTAAGATATAAGTTTTGCTTGTTCCTAAAGCAAGCGATCTGGATGCTTCACGAAATCGAAACAACGTTACTACTGTGGTCGTTTTGATTTCTTCGACATTGTGTTGAAGTAATTCGGGAACTGGATACTTGGTTAAACTGTTAGTGGCGACTCCTCTTTGAGGCAGGACAACATGCAAGTTCAAGATGCAGACGGTAACGATGGTAGGTAACCGCAAAACTAATCTTAACTACACTTGTTAGTGAAATGTTGATGCTTGACTCTTAGGGAATTGCAAAATTAATGTAATGGTGTAGTTAGTTCAGTATAATAAGTACTGTTTGATGCATCGGTTTATTGATAACCTAAACGCACAGAAAACGAAGGAAGTATTGAGTGTTGTTTTTCAATTATGTCAATTACATTGTTTCTTTCTTAGGCTCGCCCTGGAACAACTCGAGCGGCTGCGAGGAGGAACGTAGGCCAAATCAGAAGGAGGGCAAGAAATCAAATGTGTTGCCATTATGGGGTAACGAAAGGACTATGAACTTAAATCCACTGATTCTTACAAATATACAGTCCTCTCACTACTTTAAAGTGAATTTGTATGAATTGAAGACGTATCATGAAGTTATTGATGAAATTTACTATAAGGTGTCACATTTGGAACCTTGGGAGAAAGGCAGCCGGAAGACTGCGGGTCAAACTGGCATGTGTGGAGGCGTGAGTATGTTTTTTAACACGTTCTTAATGATACGAACACAACTTATTCTTAAGATAAGAATTTGTTATTATATTGAGTAGACTTATTTTCAAGAGACTTATTTATAAAGAGCATGGTTGAAGTTAATATCTTGAAAATAGGTCTATAATTTACAAGAGATTTCTAAAGAATTAAATAAAAGTGAATAGATACGATAATGGGGTATAAAAATTCTAACGCATCATGCATTTCTTTATGATTAAAATCATATTATTTCTTTCGATTTCTCTTAGTATCACAGTGACATCCATTTACCATTACAGTTAATTATTACAGAGTAGCATGTTGTTGGTCAATATCTTATACTGTAATGCGAATGTGATTAACTGACTTAAGGGGGTGTAAATTTAGCGGTTCATGCAGGTACGTGGTGTCGGTGCAGGAGGAATAGTATCAACAGCATACTGTCTCCTCTACAAATTATTCACTCTAAGACTAACCAGAAAGCAATTAAATGGTCTTATCAATCATCCGGATTCTCCGTATATAAGAGCTCTGGGCTTCATGTATATCAGGTAATGTAAACTTATACACAATTAATCTACTCATATCAGTACACTCTAAAAGCTTGACTATAATTTTCTAAATTTATTTTTTATAAATAGATACACACAACCACCAGCTGATTTATTTAGTTGGTACGACGAGTATTTAGAAGATGAGGAAGAGTTAGATGTAAAAGCAGGAGGTGGACAGACAATGAAAATGGGTGATATATTAAAACAGTTCCTTACCAAACTTGAATGGTTTTCCACGCTATTTCCCCGAATACCAGTGCCAATTCAAAAGGATCTAGAACATCGATTAGGCGAAAGGTTTCCACAGCAAACAGCAAACGCACGGAATGCAAAGCCTCAAATTACATTAAATAATCATGGAAAGTACAGTAACACCAACGCGAACACCGGTAGAAAAGACAATGGCAATGTGGCTGTACGCAATCAACAACCGCGACACATCCCGGACAGTGAGGCTCAATGGGGTGAGGCTGAGAGAGCGAGCCATTGGCGAGCCAGGTGCGTCCACGTGGTATGAATACAATCACGTTACTAATAAATATCGTCAACTAATTAATCTGTCAAATCATTAGGGATAGGCGCCAAGAGACATATACCCCCACTACAATACCCAAAGTGATTCTCGGTTTGTTTTTATAAGGGGTTCATACTTCTCGTTAGGGTGATCTGTACTAGTATTCAATTGCGTAGTACATAGATCACTCTCACGTAGTGGTCAAATAGATACCGCTTTTATTTGTTTAATATCATTTGATATTCACGCCTTACTGATCAACGATATTTATCACTGGATACTTCCTTGCTGAACGTGACATTTCAGGTCTGATGAGGATCGCAAAGACAAATATAGAGAACGTGACCGGGAACGAGACCGAAACAGGGATCGTGAGAGGGATAGACCTCGTGATCGAGAACGAGAGCGAGATCGGGATAGACACGCACGAAGATCAACTAGTAGAGACAGAAGCCGTAGACAAAGAGAATATAGAAGTAGGAGTAAAGAACGATCACACAGGGACAGGAGTAAAGATCACCATCGCGATCGAGAAAGGTATCGGGACAGGTAATTATTTATGGATAATTAATATTTACTAATTACATTCGTTGTTATTGGAATAACTTCCTAATAGAGGACTGTTTGTTTCTTCTCTTCAGAAGAGGTTCACCGTACGATTATGCTAGTGAGTTGGCACGGGAGAAGGAAAGGCAACGAAGAGATTGACATCCCGTGCAATTATGAACTTTAATATAAATTTGTTTGTACAAGTATAACGATTGCATCAATGAAACAAAGAGAAAAACGACAATTTAGAACCGAGCCATTCTACACGACTGCATTCTAAGAGAGATACTTTCACTGGGGTGTGAAGTATTAGCCTAAAGTTAAATTTACGATATCCACAATGTAGTTTACATGTTTTTATAAAATAAAATCGCAATGGAAACATTGACTCTTTTATTATTTACGTGACGGAAAATTCTGTAACTGGTTAACGAGAGTTTTGGTATTGTGTATTGAGAATTGAGATTTAACTAATCGTCATTTACATGTACCACAAGAGAAGTATTGTCTACCGAATAAAATGGATCTATCATTAACTAGTTGCAGATTTTCTTTTCTAATTTCTGTGAATTACTGAATGTAATGAATTAATACAACAGATTAGATAAGTATCTTTATACAGTTAGAAATGTGCACAGTTCAAACTTCCACATTTGCAGATATACATATGATAGATACATACATATAATCAATTTCAAATACCTCATGTAATAAGACGCGTAAATTCACAGTCGCTCCAAATGAACGGAAATAGGTACAGAGAAATAGGGCCAATGCGCAAGAGGTAAAAATGGCGGCGATAAGCAGTCGCTAGAGAGAACAGGTAGTCGAATGAATTTTTATTTTGTGCAAAATGAAGTTACCGTGGACCTCCAGATGACAATGAATCCCTGGCCAATTAAAAAGAGGTGAATCGATTAAATTCACATTCGAAAATTATCAATTTCTAAACAATTAATTTCTATTTGAAACTACAATCGTCCAGGGTCAGCCTCTTATATTTGTATATCGGTAACCTATACAAGGCAAGACTTTTTCGGGTCAAACTTAGGATATTTGATACCAAACGAAGACCATAGATAACATAGTTTTTGTCTGCCGCAATTTCCTTAAGATTTCGTATTTAGTTGGGAATTTAAAAAATAACCTATCCGACTTATTTACAAGTTAGAATATATGCATAAATCCGCGTCAATAACGAAGAGATAACAGGGCCGCTCATAATAAAAAATATCGGTTATCCTAATATGGATCATGCCTCTACTGCATAATAAATGTAGTTGAAAATATCTCCAATACAGTATTTGCTGTGGATGGAATACAAATATATTTCAGATTAGGTGTATATAACCAACTAACTTTAAATAGACTTATGTAAACTAGCAATTTTGGCATAATAATTTCAAAAAATGATTTACTTACAGATGATTGGCCGACGGTGCGCATTTATCGCCCTAGGTGGGATTTTGATTCTTGTTCTAACAGTGAACATCTATTTCATTCGGATGATCGTTGAAGATTCACCGCAAAAGGCATATCCGAAGAATCCACCGATATCCGAAACAAAACTGACCAAGAATCGCGAGCCTCGTCCTGATTATAAACAAAACGAAAAAGCAGTAGTGGAAACAGTGACTCGTGTTATGGAAGAAAGAATCAAAATAGAAATGCATACATTACCTTCTAAATATTTTAAACAAAATTCAAGCTATGCAATTCTAGTAGATGGACTTTTACAAGAATTAAAAATAATACCTAACCAGAATAAGGACATATGGAGCATCCCAAATAATAATGTTAGATTAATTCATTTGTATGTCACTTATTTACATGGAATAAGTACACTTATTTTAATTATAGTACTTTGATTATTACAGTGGCCTGATGCTCATCAATTAATACCCGCAGTTGCACCTGAGTTAGGAACTATACTAAATGGCTTGAGGAATGCCAATATTGTTAAAGCTGACAACGAACCACTTGGTACCCAATTAAAACTCATGCTCACTTTAGAACATGGAATCAGGGCATTATTCAAACCACAGTGGTATTCAAGGGATTCTGTGATTCGTGGACCAGTTTATTATGGGAAAGACAGACACAATGCTGAAATTGTTGCTTTCCATTTATCATCTTTACTTGGATTGAGAAGAGTGCCATTAGCAGTTGCAAGGAAAGGTATATCTAGTTTCGTGTGATAATTTCAGTAAGATTTACTAATATTCTAACTAATGATACTTTTATTTTAGTTAATCTCAGGACTGAGATACGTTCGAATGCTACACCTCAATTATATTCTACAATGTATCAAGAAGGAAACAATAGTTGTCTTTATGGTATATGCAGTTATTGTTCTCCTGCAGATCCTGTATGTGGAACAGGAGAAATATTAGAGGGTGCTTTAATTTTATGGTTGCCATCACACTTCAAGTTATCAAAACATCGTCATCCTTGGCAAAGAACATATAAGCTTGACAAGCTCGCTATGTGGGAGACAGACTTTAATTATTGCAAAAAGGTTTGTTTTCAACAAATCAAATTTGTTAATTGTTCAAGTTCTTAGAACAAGTATAGTGATCAATTTTGTGCCATTTAGGTAAAGAAAACAAAGACTTATGCACCTCACTTATCGAGTCGCTTACTGGGTCTGGTGGATACAGCGATATTTGATTTTCTTATGGACAATGGTGATCGTCATCATTATGAAATAATACAGAATGATTTACATAATCCTGCTGTTCTTCTCATTGATAATGGGAAGAGTCTTGGGAATCCTGACGTTGATCACTTTGATATTCTAGCACCACTTTATCAGTGCTGCATGTCAGTATTACTTTTTGTTGTATGATGCTAATGATAAATTTAATAATTTTGTAAAATTTCTATTTACGTAGGATACATAAGACTACCTGGAATCGACTGAAGCTATTAAGTGGTGGTTCTCTGAGCAGTTCATTAAGAAAATTTTCAGAATATGAATCCAACATGGCAAATGTTCCTCCATTAATTACAGAAGCACACCTAAACGCGATGGACAGAAGATTGCTGACTATTTACGCGGTGGTCGAGTACTGTCTCAAGCAAAATAAATACGCTTCTAATGTGATCCTTGACCATAGATAAAAAAACCTTCCAATAGATGACACGCTACAAATGATCCACCTTATACAACTTATTAGACGTACATTTATAGTGAGTTTTCTATGGTTTAAACACTGCCTTAAAAATATCCATCGTGTGCAATTGAAGTATGGCTGTAATAAAAGTTTAATGTTCCATGTAAAAACAGTCCTAAAGTATCTTTGTGCAGTATTCCCATAACATTCGCTGGATGGAGTAAGAGAAATATAAACAGGTAATACCAATTTGCATTTGCAGAATTTAATATTTTTATTTTATGGACACAATAATTATCTTTATTTGAGTAGAGTTCGGGTGCAGCGCCGTACAGCGTATAAATACGGTACAAACGTAAAAAACCTTTAAATGTGACTGTATAATCGTTAAATTTCATACACGTTAAGGTTATTACTTCACGTGCATTCATCCACGCGCCAGACGTATTACTGCCAGTCAATTACATACGTACAAATAATATAAAGTCCCTGTAAAAGTCATAAGTCAGGACGACATTAATGCAATTGGGCAGAATCGTTATAAAGCTGCACCAACAAATGACATCACAGTTACCTTACATTCTCGTTTACACAATTTTCTCCCAAAATCCGACTGTAAGACTCACCTTTCTAATTCCATCGAGCAATATATTTACAATATTATATGACCAGAATTACTCATGTGTCTTAGGCTAGTCTTGCAACTCTTACTCGTCCTCGTTACAATATATATAAAATTCAGCGTCATTATCATCTTTTTTTCTTCTTCTCCCGATATATATTATTATATTAACATTCTTTTAATTAAATAGAAGTTTTATAGCAAGTTGTATGTATAAATAGACTATTTTTGCACACGTTCATCAGTGTCCGCCTCGAACTGCGCTGTACACACTCAAGCGGGTCCAATAATAAATTGTTAATTAGAAATTTGATAGTCTCTGTTCGGACGTAATAATCAAAAGAGAAAAAAAAGAAGAAAAAAAATGAGTAAAACATTTATATGCACAGGTTCGACGCGTCTATTGAATTGACATATGCAGCTAGCAGTTCGAAGCCGTCATTTTTCATCTTGTTACGTCCTATAATACTGTATACATTGTTATTAATTTAATATCGTTCGTCTTTCGATTTTTAAAGAGCGGCTTATAAAATCCCGCTGAAAATACGTAATTGCAATCGTAATTGTTATTTTAATATACGAACGCTGACAAATGCTTCTTGTAAAATAGAATCGCACCTCTGTTGTTACGGCAGCGTAGCTTTATTGCATTGCATGGACGATTATTCGTAGACTTATCGAGAGACACGTATCTATGGCTTATTTGTCGTTTGCTAGTCGCTTAATTGTTTAATCAATTAATTACATATCACACCGACGTGTCCAGGCGCTTGTGTATCGTAAAAGTATAGTAGGTAGGCCTTCATTAGGCATACTCCACGGGGAAATAAATGGAAGCTTACCTGGACATAATTTTGTTGGCGAATGGCTCAATAACGTTTTTTCTTTTTAATTCTCTTATTATCTCTCGCGATTCTCGAAGACGACGAAATATGAATACATAAAAATATAAATAAAGACACGTTGTCGATAAAAAAGATCTGTTACGTGCAAATCGGAAGTTACTTTGTCGTTTCTTTGCATTTCTTTTTTTCTTTCGTCTTTAATTCGCTGAAAAACTAGGCCTAGCCGGCTGATCATCCCTCAAACAATACAGCCACTATCGACGCTGTCTATTATCTTATTATGCTCTATCCACACGAATCGTACGAAATTCGGCGTTCCGATCATTAATCTGTTTGAAGATGATACGCTTTATAAAATGCATACGGTCTTTAACGTGTTTTAGGCATTTGCGGATTGTATCGTTGAATTATGTACAAAAAAATGGAGATTGGATATTTCACTTAGAGGGCAGATTCGACGCCTCTTGAAGAGGAAGTTGATGAGCTCAGATCTTCAGAGTGTCTGGTGTGCGACGAGTCCAAGGAAGTGACCGAGTCGCTGTCATTGCTATGAGGACTGGAATAGTTGGCAGCTTCCTGTAGTCTCATAAGCATATTCAGCTGTAAATAAAAGAAGAAACTCGTTGAACTATATTTTATGACATGTTAAGAATACATTCTGATTTTAAGTAATTAAACTCACCAGAGGATCTCCTTCTGTGTCGCTGTGTGCGCTGCCAAGTGACTTCACGCTTGACGCCCCGACGCCTGAACTATGACCAGATGTGACTACGTCGTATCCAACGTCTTCGGGTCTTAGACGAAGCAGGGCGTCGCTACCGCCATGGACGGCATGAGTGGATATCCAAGGATAGCTGGACGTTATGAACTGAGCTGGATCTTCCCAGGATGACTCGCTGTTTCCATTACCACTAACTCGTCTTCCATAAAGTGTCAGACCCTCTCTGACAGCTTCCACGAGGTATGGGATAACCGAGTAATTCCAGAGATCCGTAAACCATACCTGTGACCCTGCTACCTCCATCGGACAGGAGAGGAATAACCTGGGACCTAGTAGAATATTCATTATTGACATTATCATTGAGACGACTGCACTTATCGAGCTCCTCTCAGGTTTGAGAGCACTTGACCAACCTATCGTAACGTCGCTGCTGCTGTGAGTCTCTAGGAACTTATTGAGATGCAGCCAGACTCGCGGAATCCATTCGACCACTGCAGCCATTTCCGCGTTCCTGGCGCCTCCAGATTCACGCAGCTCATGCTCCAGAAGTTTACGTCGTAGATATCTACCCAGGAATCCTTTGACAGGTTCCATATGATTTGCGCATAGGACCCACCTATTAAGAAAATAACTTAGATTAATGTGGCATATATATAACAATAATAATATTTACAAATAATTAGTTAAATATACCTAAAGTTATGATGTAACTGTAGATTCGTCGTGCTGCAGGTAGCTTGACTCATGGTGCCAATGATTGCAGGACAGGAGCTGTGTCTCGTACCAAGTAGACCACTGAATAGTTCACCAAGTGATGCCGCATGCTGAAGATTCTCCAGTATAATAACGCGTGGAAGTTCATCAGCAGCATTAGAATCGCATCGTTCAGCAATATGTGCCAAATATTGTCTCAGCTCTTTGCTGGATTTATGATCAACGTTAAAGGTAGCAACAGCAGCTGCATCCTTAGTATCCGTATCAGCGTCCACAAGTGCGTGTGCTAATTTACCAGCAAGATAACTCTTGCCAGTACCACTAGGCCCACACAGTATCACTCGCCTATGTTCTGTCAGCAGGGACACCAGTCTCTGGACAATTGACCTAGGAATGAGGGTGTCCACCGCCAGCCAGGAATATCCGGATAGCACCAGGTAAATGGTCTTCACGTGACCCACCAGATATCCACAGGGAAGTAGTTCAGGATGCTGTGAGTCTGTCGTGCATCGTGACGCTTCTCCAAGATGATAGGCGGCCACGCATTCGACGCCAAGTCCAAGATTGGTAACAGGATCCACCCTGGATACGTATTCCTTGAAGCATCTTCGAACAGTCGAGTCCAAGGCATCCCAACTGGTCTTGTTAGATATGCAAACACTGGCAATGACGCAGTGAGCCGGGTCACTAGCTCCATCTGGATTTCCTGACATGTTAAAGTTGAAGGTCTTCTCGCTACCAAGATACACGGCTACGCTTATACGTTTTCCATCAGTATCCTGCTCCATGTGCGGTTCATTAGTAGTGGCAGCTGTTGACGGCACCACAGGATGTTCCGGGACATTTAAATCCTCCAGTTGATCGGCTGCAGAGGTATTATCGCCGTTAGACAGTGCAGCCACGCTCGAGGCAACTTCGGTCATGCTAAATCGACGTTCTGGATCGCTTGGCAAAGACGACTGCGAGGAAGTTAAGGATTTCGATGTTACCAGGCGCTGCAGTCGCTCGTTATTTTGCTTCAGGTTCAGCATCTCGTTCTGTTGAGAATATAAAAATATATATAAATTTAAAAATAGCACCTGAGACACTGTCTCGTTGCATAACAATATTTTACTTACTCTCATTTTGATAACAGTATCTTTGAGTGACTCTAACTGATGTGCTGACGACAGGGCTTCCAACCTTATATCAGTAAGGACCATGTCCTTTTCTCTTAGTTGTTTCTTCAACTCATCAACGTCCTCGTCTTCCTTTTTGTACAGAGCTGAGCTGCTCTTACTTCCGGTGAGCCCGTTTTCGTGTTCCGGTGATTTCTGCCCGTTACTCCTGGTACCGTGACCTGGACCGTGACCCTGGGACAACTCGTGCTTAGCAGCAGTTGGTAGACGTGGACTGTTTGGTGCACTCAGTTCACCAGGACCGTCCTTGCAGTCTTCAGCGTCGGATACGGAACCATGCCTGTTCTTCCTGGACCTGGAGAAGGCTTTGGAGAAGGAACTTCTGAGCCAACCCTTCTTCTTGTGATGGCTACTGGCAGAGCAGGCACTGCTCAGGGAATTTAAGGAAGTCACACTGTCGGCTGAGAGCTGTCTGGCTATCGATGATCCTTGATGATTGTTACTTCCTGTGCAACCGGTAGTACCCTCCGAATCGCCCAGGGTGTGTCTTCTACCGTTAGATGATGATGCGCTATTCAAACCTGCCTCGGCACTTTGCTTCCTGAGCCTTTCTATCGTATCCCGTAGCTCCTGCAGCTCGGAATCCTGACGGAGGAAAAATTTATTGGTTCTAATAGTCATTTTAAAGAAATTATTTGAATAATCATATACCACGAAAGACATTTAACACATTAAAATTAATACTTCTTATTTTATAGAAGCAATAAAAATTATAGGTTTGGTAGAGGCTCTCCGTCGCTACGAATAAATTAACTTATGTTCGCTAGACTTATCTAAGATAAAATGGCGATCATTTGAGACTGGTTACTTTTTATTGGGTGTTAACATGGTCGAATGAGCGGTAAATAATTTTATTTCTTATCTATACCCTTCCCGTGTATCGGACAAGCTTCTTTCCCGTGACAGCAGGTACAACTATCCGAGTGACTTGTTACGGAATCGCTGCTCCAGGAGTCGGCCATGCTGTACAGTTGCCTCATAGATTTTGAGCCGGGATCACTAGGTTTGTCGGAACTGTCCACCAGTTCGTTTGATTTTTTAATACTTCGAGCAGCGTTACCAATTCCGAGATTTCCTCCAGCATTAGTCAAAAAGGATGGCAGAAGGTTTCTGTGTTGCTCGAGATTCGACTTTCTATCTGTATTTCTACTGGTAAGACTCCTTAACCCACGTTCCAGTTTAGCCTGAAAACTTCTGGAACTTTCCGGCGGGAGTTTTGAATTTTTCGAATTCATCCTGCCTGTGTCCCTCGTAACGCTGTCTCGTTCAGGAATCCTCAGTCCCAGAGCTCTGGCATCTTGCGGTGGGATTGGTATGATTATTGGAAATTTGGAATTTGGCAAAATTTCCCCTTGATGTTCTGACATCAATAAGCGAGCGTTATCATTGACCTGACCTGGACGATCTAACCTCCGACCTTTGTTATATCCCGGACGAGTAGATTGATCGAAATTTCCTGGAGTCTCGATAGATCGATCTTTGCCAGTGGACAACGATCCACGAATACCGATATTCTCCTGATAATTCGGATCTGTCATATTGGTAGTGCCAAGAACTCGTTTCAGTTCGATCTTCGACCGCGAGTTCGATTCTTCGAGGGACGATGATTGGCCATTTTCCAATCGCTTAATTTTATCAATCGGTCAACGCTGAACACGAGAGAGAATCGAAAACCGTTATCGCAAATGCAATAGATTTAACGTAGCAAAAATTTGACAAATCTTTCCCAACGAAAGATCCTCCATTGTTTTCAACTGTAGCAACCAGCGCCATCTGCATCGTTTCGAACCCACTGCCAATATCCAGTTAATCGGTACTCCTCAAAGGTACGATACTGCTCCAAATGAAGCTTTAAAAATAGCCACAACAACTTCTGAGAATCCTCTTACGATTTCGCAGTCGCCAGTCAAAGATTTTTAAATTCAAAGGATCCCCGGAGGCACTGACGGTTATTTTCATCGAAGCTACAGATATCTAATCGCAGAGTCCGATGAGGCTCGTGAAAGCCCGAAGACATTACAGCCATAAAATCAGAGCCGGGTGATTAGCTAAATTCGTCGCGTCACTGAGAGATTAGGCTCGCTAGCATGCCATCTCACTTGCTTTCGCGGTCAAGCCTATAATATACCGTAATCTCGACCCAGGAAAATGCAACTTATATATATACTACAATACAGCCACAGTACTAAGGTGAATAAATAAGTACTTGTCGTAGTTACCTTCTTCTCGGCAGTGGCCGTGAGCTGCTGCAACCTCTGCGTCATATTCGACAGGGACTGTTCAAAGGCAGACACAACGTGGGCCTGAAACACATCAAATAAAATCGACAATGAATGTCAGTGATTATAGATTCCCACGCCGTGCGAAGAAAAGTGAACAAAAAAAGAATATTTATTTCCTTAAGAAAAAAAAAAAAAAAAAAAAAAATTGCCCCAAGGAACCAGAGGTATCAGTGTTGACTTTTTTTCACAAGAGCTTCTTACACCATCGTAACCAGCGCTGGAAAGATAGTAGAAGCCCTTCTGGCTTCAAGGCACAAAATATGTAATTACGTTGATATTTCCCAACACTCTATGGCTGACAGCTAAGAGATAATCAGCCTTCTGTCAGGTGTATGCTGTTCTATTAGAACAACCTAGAGAACCAGTCCACGGGATGAATCCGTTTAAACTAGACTGACAGAAATTGCCCCCAAGTAGGACTCTCGAACAGATTTTGTTTTAAATATTTTTTCTTGGTACCTTTACACGTGGACAAGCGTTGCGAGTTTTATCGACAAGGTACAGGGATATTTCGATCATCCGGATCCGGTACCAGGTTATACGGATAATCCTTATATCCTTTGGACCCTGAAGGTATCAATATGTGAGTCATGCCACGTGCGCAGTTCGACTGATACACGCAATATATTATTTATATTTAGCCCATTGCAAGAGTCCTCGGTAAAAATAAGTAGTGGGTTGGCAAACGCGAATGATAGAGATGAAGAAATAATCGGGAGAGGAATTATTTTCAAGAGGTGCCCAAATCCGTCGAGAGTAACAACGATTAAAATAGATGCACTGCTAGTGCACCGACCTCAAGAGTCACTAGATACGTAGTACGTATGTATTTATATATAGATATGGCGTATATGCATCTAGGGAATTTCATTCGTCAAATTATAACAGTCGGTGCCTTCCTGTCTCGAAGATGATTTAGGAGTGTACCTTATTATTTCACGGGACATCCCTAATACGCATGATTATATTATAGAGCCGTACGATATACGGAGTACCAGTCCTGAGAGAACGTAGGCGACTGACCCACAATGCGTCCCACACGGCCGTTATAGTTTCTTCTCTTCTTCTTCATTTTTTCTTCTCTTTATTCTTCATCCTCGTCCTCTACTTTATTTCCCATACGCGTGTGACCGCGTGCGTGTGCCATACACCATCCTGTACGTACGATTCCGTAAATGGCTCGGGCGTCCCTTGTATCCGTAAACGTGTCCGTAAAAAATCGGAGAGGATGAGGTAAGAGCGAATAAAGGAGGCGAGGAGGAAGAAAAAAGAGAAGGCTTCATAAAAATGAAGGCAAAAGAGCACGAATGTGGAAATCCTGTACGTGATGTCGGGGTCGGTAAAGAAATTTTTTTTAAAATAATAAGTACGTAAAGTATTTGCACAAGAACGTGAGTTTATTCTTTGTCGTATCAAAAGTCGAGTTGATGTTAAAATTGTAGAAAATGGCCGATATGCGGACTTAACGTAAGATGCGCCTTCTTACCGACACTGTGTAATCGCTATATGTACGTCTCTATCGTCTCTTTGAAAACTGCCTGGGATTTCGACTTTACGATGGCAATTCACGAGCTGTACTTTCAATGCGTATTCATGGAGATTCGTAGGGTACCGGGTGTTGCATATGTTTAGAGAGAAATTTATTATGGGAATCAAAGATACGGGAGAATCTATTTCTAATAAAATGGGAACACCCACAAGGTTGGGATCGCCCTGGTTGTGGGTATCGTAAATTTTTATCCAAATTCGTAGGGCATCCACCCACGCGATTGTATACATAAATATGTATATGACAGACAATGGATAATTCAAGAATCAATTCTCAATTCACTACGAGAAACGTGAGATCACATTCCCTTCTTAGAATTTTATCTTGGAATATAAAACAGAAATTCCCATAACTCATCGCGTCACTCTCGATAATTGATACTTCCGCAAGAAAATGAATCAAACGACTAAAGAAAATGGCTCACCTTAATTTCATTGGAATTTATTGGTCTACGGTTGTCAGACGCCCACGTGAGATCTTATCAATGAGGGAAAGCAAATGACGAGTGTGGGAGATTTCAAAGTGCATAATAACATATAAATTTATCAAACACTTAATTTTCCCCAAGCATACGAAGCTAATGCGTACGGACTGTAGGTAAAGCAGGTAGTAGAAGGCCGACGCTGTCCTCTCTTCTAGATTTGTTACACAAACGTCCCCTCGAGGGCTTGCCGGAAAGTCAAGCGTTTCAAGAAATAAATTATACCTCATGGACACGCGCGCCTCTATGGGCCTATACGTATACTCGTGCATTTGTCGGGTTGCGGAAAATTACTACAGTGCGTTAGACTTTTGAGACAGAGAATAGTAAGCATTGGTGGAGGAACGTCCTTGCTCGCGTAGTGCAACGCGGAGAATAATGCTGAGCCAGTATAAACGTAACGAATTCCACTCTACGGCGTTTCTTGGTTATATTATGACCCTCCTGGTTATGGTGTTTCGCCAGGCTTTACAGCCACGAGAGAACAAGGAAGGTCACTGTGGCCCCAATGGGTTTCGCGTTACGCGGGCTGGACGCTGACTTTTTTTCGGTAAGACTTTCCGGTCCAGTTTTTATCATTTCAAGAGCGGACCCTTACCCGTCCGTCTGTCTGTCAGTCATTTTGTCAGTGAGTCCGTGCGTTTCTGAAAGCCACTAACCTACAACTGGACGTAGGAGTGCACAGCCCATAAACGTTGTACACAGTGACATTTGGTAAAGACATAAAAATCCCATGAGGAGAAATATTCTCGGTATAAAATCTAAATAACGAGTAGTCTGTGCAGTGAGAATATTATGGCGGAAGTCGAGGAGTCATCGATTATGCATTTCCTAGATGGTAAGACCAGTGTAAACGTAACGCGTGCGGTTTAACATCCATAGGATTTATTTCCACTGAGTGAGATGACTGTTTTACTTTTGCTCTTCCTATTTGCATCATTCCATGCGTGTCTCTTTCCAAGCTTCCCGACGCGTACCGCATAGAGACTTCAAGACGTAGAATTGGTATTATATGGTTTAATCCAGTATTCTCGTTGTGAATGCACCATAACCTCACAGTCTCTACCATCTAGCCAACTGGGGTAACAGTTCCCAAGCCGCAGAAGGCTCCGTTGAAACACTATCCCAACGTCTTCTCTAACGTAGGTTCAACAACGTATATTACACATGTGCATGACTATGGCTACATGCGTGATCACGCATGGTCTGCCATGTGTGCAGGTATATGTGTTTGTACGTATTTCTACTGACTTGACTTCAGGCACCCTCTTTCGATAGTGTACTTATCATGCACATGTAACATAGAGAAACCATGTGCGGAGATGGTATACGACTATATATATATACATATATTACAAGGCATACGTCATATAGACTGCAAAGGGATCCCGTAAACCGCGTATCGCACCAGAGGAGCGAAACACGTGATGCCCATCTTGTCGCGGTTCATAATAAGATTAATGAAACGACTGGGAATTATGAATCTGACGTCACTCGCGGGGTCCGTTTTATATTAGTTAAACAGTCCAATATGAGAAACGTATATCTAAGCTCTTGACCAAGAAAACCCGTCCCACCATTACGAATGATGACTTTGACTATCCGAATGGAAGAGATGAAAGTTTTCCTTGAGATTAAGAAAAAAAGGTAAATAAAATACATAAATCATGGGACGGGAACGTCTTTTTTTTTATTTCTATGGTGCAGCTAAGGTGTTGGACGTAGGTACTCACTGTGTCCCACGCGTTTCAGATATCTATTGGGACTGTGGGACAGAGTTTTACCAGAGTGACTTTGGGATTCGTGGGATCCAGGTAACCGGACTATTTTTTTTTTCTTGATTTCTCGAGAAAAACAGTCTACCTGGCTTACTGCGCTCTTCTTTATTCTTCGGGGCGAGCTGCCTGGGAATCACAGTGGGTTGAAACTCGCGATACTTTCTGTATAGTAATAAATGAACGTAAAGAGGTCTCAAGTAGGTATGTCTAATTATTCAATCAGAATCGCCTGCATGCTGTGCAATGCCCACGCCTTATTACAATACGCGGTACGTACGCCCGTCGCGATGGTTGACTACGCTACTTACACGTAATGTAACGTATGTATATTGGACGTTATTTTCATTTTATCACGACTCCGACAAGGCGGCGCGGCGTCCTATGTTCTCTATTGAATTTCATTGGCAAGTTTCATGGCGCGTGACGTCCTTATTGAATTTATCGCTTCTGGGTTACGGGGTGAGATATCTTCTTGAATAGCTTAGTAATATATAGTCTATTTGAATTATGTATATATGACGAGTAGTGCCATTGATCGATTTGGTTCGATTAGAACCTCGTGATACGATTGTCAATGTGATATACGTGGACGGCACAGATGTCGGATAATTCATATGCGTATCGTTGAGGCTTATTAATATTGTATTATTTGGTGTCTTATAGCATTTTCAAAATTTACCTGGAGCGAAGGACAACTTCTGTGACGGTACTTTCTAGTGGCCAATTCCCACCAAGGTATGACGTTGTCGGTGCTCCGTGGTTTTACCGGATCACTCACTGCGTGTTCGTAAAGCGGCTCCAGGGTGCTTACTGTTCCTGACAGTCTCTTAGGTGTGTCGGTCAAATTTGGATCTCTGGACGCGTTTCCTCTTCTCGGTAGAGTTGCGAAATTTTGTGACTGAGGGACAGCCTTTTCGTCCATTTCAGACTCTAGGGAATTGTGTCGGGTCCTGGTGGAGAATCTTCCAGAAGATTGCTCCTTGACAGTCTCAAAACTTTCGCCACGGAATTGCGCCTGTAGCGCGGCGTAGTGGTCAACCACCTTACTACCGTCTTCGGGAGTTCCTCCAGGAGTAATGTCATCCTTGCTGTACCGTGCTAATCGCCCATTTAAAATTACGTCAGTCGCGTCCATCAGGCACAATGGCAGGAAGTTCAGTCGTCCATTGCCAAAATTTCCGAGAGCAGCTGTTCTATCCTCCACGTGGTTTCG